TATCGATCGGAATTGCTATCTGCACTGGACCCTCGAAGCGTGAAGGCGCTATGTAAAAGGTACCACATCACGCCACAGGTCCTAGCTCAGGGATGTTGGGCACCGGTGCTCGCTTTGATTTCAAAATCCCTCGACGTCATTTTCGGCGTAGTATTATCAGGAAGAGACACGGACGAGGCTCGAAATTTATTATTCCCTACCATGAATACTGTACCTCTAAGAGTCATACTTCACGGAACAATAGCGGAGTATTTCGACTACTTACAGGCTAGCATGTCAGACATCATGGAATTCCAGCACTTTCCACTTCGAGAAGTGCAGAAATTATCCAAATTTAAGGGACAAAATATCTTCAATACACTCTTCCTCTTACAAAATACTGGAGATCATACAGTCGGGTCGGATAGCGCCATTCTACGATCAGTTCGTGCATCGTCCGCTGTGGATTATCCCGTGTGCGTTGAAATGGAGATCACTGAGAAGTCGGTGGTGTGGCGCATAGCCGGTGACGAGCGTTATATATCCTCAGAGGATACGAATCGAATTCTTGCCAATGTTGAACATGTTCTAGGATATTTTAGCGGAGATCATGCAGATATCCTCGAGTTTGACATGTCAGATAAGGTGTCCGTTTGTGGGTTAGAGCCGTTCGAACCGGACAGCGATACTATTGACGGAATAAAAACAACTTTGGATGACGAAGCATCACGAGAAATAAATGCCGCGAGCTTAGAATCACCAGTGTTGGAAGTTTTGTCTGAGCTATCGGGGATAGATAAGCACATTATCAGCCTTAATCATTCCATATATTACCTGGGTCTGGATTCTATCAGCGCGATCAAAGCGTCATCTATGATCCGAAAACGGGGTCTAGACGTTTCTGTCCGTGATCTACTCAAAGCAGCATCTATACGCGAAATAATAGACCAGGTAGCAAGTCACGATAAGCAGTCAAAACCTCACCTTACCGATTCGCCGTTACGACTCGACTCAATACTTAAACAAGTTGAAATCGATTCTCTTCTCAAGGATGCCGGGTTAGATGAAGCTGATGTCGAAGCTGTTTTACCAGCTCTACCCATGCAAGTGCACATGCTAAGTACCTGGCAAAACACGAATGGGCTTCTCTTCTTCCCGCGATTTACTTTCCAGCTTCATGGAAACACCAGCTTCGAAGCAATCTCAGAAGCATGGTCAATCCTTATATCTGAGACTCAAGCATTCCGAACACACTTTGTCGCGACCAAATTCACCGAGATCCCCTTCGTCCAAATCATTATGAAATCAAAGCCAATAGATTATTCCAAGCGCAGCCCGCCGGATATCGTACAGGATCACCAGGTCTACGAGGAGTCCGTGACGCCCTTCTTCTATATTCACGTTGAGAATTTAAGCCGAGAAAATTACCTTATGCATCTACAGATTCATCATGCCCTATACGACGCCATCAGCCTACCAATTTTAATGAGCCGTTTCTCGGAGATATGCGAGAAGAACCTGACACCAACCCTAAGCACTTATCGACCAAGGTGGTACGAGTTCGTGTTGAATCACTATTCCCCTACTATACAACAGCGAAGGAGAAAGTTCTGGTCTGCATATCTTCAAGGAATAGCGCCAATGCGCATACTGCCTCCGCAAAATACTTCAGCAAATATTCAGAAGACTAGAGTAATATCACTGTTTAGGCGCAATGAGATAAACGACGTGTCGAGAGTTAAAATGGTAGGTTCAGCCCACGGGGTGACGCTGCAGGCGCTCTTTTTTGCAGCCTACTCAAAGGCTTTAGCAGCTATACGACAATCTGACGAGCCAGGCGAACATGATAGAGACGTTATTTTCGGAGTTTATCTCGCAAATAGAACAAGCTTTACTGGCATTGAAGATGTGCCATTTCCGACGTTGAGCATCGTACCTCTTCTCGTCAGAAAACCATTGACCCAGTCAGTCCTTAATTTAGCTATCGAGATTCAAAAAGATATTCTTGAAATCAGCAGCTTCGAAAATACTAGCGTGAGCTTGTGGGAGATTTACGCTTGGACGGGGATACGGATTGAGAGTTCTGTCAACTTCCTCGCTACCCCCACGAGTCCAAGCACCGCATACACGACGCGCAGTGTTACGATGACCGAAATATCTGATAATCCGATATCAACCCCCGATAGGGACGGCTCATCGTGGAGCGCTCCACGACCAAATTGGCGCTTTACGTCACAAAACGAAGCGATGGAGGCGTACATGGTGAGTTCATTCTTATACATCCAAAACAGGTACGCGGCGACGCTAACGTAAGATATATTAACAGCATACACTGGATGTCGAAGTGGCCATACGTGAGGGTAAGATGGATATTGGCATATTCAACCCCCCCTTTCTCTCAGAGTCCCAATCCCAGAAAGTAATTGAGGACATTATCACTATATTGGAGGCTATTCATTAGGCTACGGTGAGCAAAATCTTCGAATGTCACTATAGACGACTTAGACCAGTTGCTTCCTGATATTACAAACAGCAGATAGGAAGTCCGACTGAATGGACTTAAGAGGCTAGTTTAATTGCGACGATTTTCATATATCTCTCTTTCCAGTAACGACAAAATGTTACTTTCTTTCTCTCGATTCTATCTTATAGATTCTTAACCCTCCATCCCGTCGTGCGGTCTTGTTTTGCCTTTATCTTAAAACCCATATTCGTTTACTACCAGATTATAATTTATACTATATTACACGAGGACAGTATAAGATAATTAACACCACCTACGAGGTAATGGCATTACCAACCATCCTTGGAGTTGAAATGGCAAAATCATACGATTCGCTCGGTTGTTGCTTCTTGAGATATACTACATCCCCGCTATTATGTAAACGTTAGAGTCCATCGCACAAGACAGGATAGGTGAGGCCGTTTCTTCATCGCCAGATGGATTGTCGCAGCCGCAATTAACGCATACGAGATTGCCAAGTTCGCTCGAGCACCACCTGCTGAAGCTAAGCCGATGAGGCAGTTAGAACCCCTCGTATAACGCTACTGTAGGTAGGTAATGTCAATGCTATCGTGTCATGTATTTATCATTAGGGCGAAAGGATGACCTAAAGAGGAAACAAGCTCACTAGAAGCCTCGGTGAGTATATCTACAACTAAATCGGCGAAAGAACCCACTTACTCAAGAGCAGAGCATGTTTCCCCCATACCAGCATAGTGTTACCTGGCTACGAACAATTGGGGGTTCAGTATGCCAAGCCTAATGACACTAGGGTTGAGTGGAACGAACAGTGGCACGTTACCTAGGTAGTCATACTTCAACCCTTAGGTTAGGTGCTCTATAGAATTAGTTGCTATAGGAAAAGTCCCCAATGCGCAACATCCAGATATAGAAGTAATTAGTCAAAGCCCTACGTTATAGGTATTCATTATAAGTATTCGTTAGTTATAGGTATTTAAGACTCGTTGTCTGGGGAAGTCCAACAACTTGCAGAGAATCTAGGCCTTTGTAAACTTCGGGATCACCCCCAGGATTTCAATGCACTGCTACGCATGCATTAGCAACCCAGGTGACCCGGGCGAGCTTCAACCTCTTAACCTCTTTTGCATGCTGCTTCAGTCGTTAGTTTACTATGTCGCATGCGACGAAGCCGAAGGAGTGATAAACAGGTTGGAGGGAGTATAGAACCAGTAAACTGTTGTGCCTGACAATTGCTTCGTATCTAGTTCGCATTGCGATAAAGTTGCAATATCGTGGTCCAAGTCTCGGCCGTCTTACTTCTCTAGGAAGGTCTGCAATAAAAGCACCAATCAATTACCAGGTCATAAGAGTTGTATCGACCACTGTTTAAGCGCCAGACCAGTCGCGACCATCTAACAACTAAGGTTAATTTATAATGACAACTTAATAGGGGATAGGCCTACAACTTTCTCTCTCGCAGACGGCAGCCTTAGGACTTAAGCAACGAATATTGCATCTGCCAAGCCAAGAGTCCTTATCTTAACATGTCCTACAATAGGACTCAGCGCGTCACACACCCGCCCTAATGAGGTAGTGTTGCTTCTTCGTCTGCCGGGATACAGATTGCAACATTGGCGCAGCGGAGGTCAGCCGATGCGCCAAGGCTGACCCCCGGGATTGCCAAAAGATTGGAGCTAAGCCTTGACAAGAATGTGCCATAGTCGAGATATACTTGAGAGATGTGAGTAACAAAGACAATCTCGAATTGGAAGTTGCATGAATGCATATCAAAGCTCCAATAGCATTTACGAGCTCGTGGGGGTCGTGTGTAGTTCATCAGGCGCCCTGGCAGCTCGGGGTATTGAAAACATACTGCAAGGGAGAGCGAACGATATAACTCTAAAGCCTTGAAGAAAGCGATTGCAATTCTTGGCCCAGATGGTAAGTGGTAAATCCACAAGGCTAATCGAATAAAGGGCTTAGCCTTGTCCGGTGTGTACACCGTATACGTGAAATTGAAGCCCAACAGATTGAGCAGTCCGGCGCTATTTCGTCCCAGTCAAACCTCCGACGTCTTGGCATACCAACAAGCCGGCCTACCGTGTCCAGGGACCTACTCCGAACGCCATAGGCCCCTGTTAAGACGTGCGGTACGTCGCTGCAACTGACAATCACTTTCCTTTCGTGAACTCGTATCCAGCAAGGGGGGGGAAGCTGTCGAGCTTATTGTGCATCCCGCCAATGAGAGTCGTGCTCGTGAATCTTGAAGGCCTTCTTGAACGGAAGAATATCTGTGAGATGTTCAGTCAAAGGCACACGACCGTAATCAGCGGGCGGACAAATCAAGGCATGCCAAACTCCAACCCTACCGATAAGCATAATGTCTGTCAGCCATCACGAACCTTTTCGAAAGAGGAAGTTCAATGAAGAGGGATACCAGGGTCGAGGCCGAATACCCAGAAGCTCGAACTATATAAACACTCGACGTTGAACGATCGTAGAACCATCAAGCTCAAGCACAAGCACAGCAAGTCATCTTTGCTGCTTCTCCTTCGTGATGATCCGATCATTGTTGTTACTCGGCCTTCTAGGCGCATCGCTTCCCGCCCATGGCCACCCTACCCAATCTTACAAGTCTGGGCTTCGGCGCCGAACGGTAGACCTAAACGCCTATCGTCTAAAGGAGACGGCCGAGTATACGAACAAGGCTGCAGCAAGCACCAACAAGGCCGTCCGTCTTCTAAAGCGGGATTCCTACGTCGACACCGCGACTGAGCTCGTCAAGAGCACTATCCCCGGAGCCACGTTCCGCCTCGTTGACGACCACTACGTTGGCAAGAACGGAATTGCTCACGTAAACTTCAAGCAGACTGCTCATGGATTGGACATTGACAATGCCGACTTCAACGTCAATGTAAGCCTCGAAGCCTAGCTATGGGAGAAATCGACGAGTTTGAAAACTAATTGCTTATTAGATTGGAGCCGATGGGAATGTCTTCTCGTATGGTAACTCATTTTTCACGGGTTCCATCCCCGAAGAAAGCCCTCTTCACAAGCGGGAGTTCTCGGACCCGACTCAAGCACTCTCGGGGGCTACTAAGCTTTTGGAGTTGCCTGTAACCGGAGATGCCTCCGCAGAGGCGACCGAAGGCACCGAAACTTTTGTACTCAAAGGAACTTCAGGCGCTCAGAAAGACCCCGAAGCCCGCCTAGTCTACTTCGCCAAGCCTGACGGAAACCTAGCTCTTACATGGAGGGTAGAGACCGACATCTTAGACAATTGGCTATTGTCGTACGTTGATGCAAACACCAACGAAGAAATTCACGGTGTGGTCGACTACGTCGCCGATGCTACGTACCTAGTCTAGTGAGTTTAATCCGCACATCTAGTCGAAATCTCATGTCTAATGCTTCGATAGCCCGTGGGGAGTAAACGACCCTGATGTTGGCAAGCGAGAAGTCGTGACGGACCCGTGGGACCTCACGACATCCGAGTTCACGTGGATATCCGATGGAACGACCAACTACACGACTACACGAGGAAGTGAGTTAATATCTAAACCATATATTGTGTCGTCTTGAACACATATAGTGCGCTTTTAGGATATAATAACTGACCTTAAAATCTTATCAACAGACAACGGCATTGCGCACACTAACCCGGATGGTGGATCAGACTACCTTAACAACTACCGCCCAACCAGCTCGTCCCTAAAGTTCGAGTATAAGTGGGATGCGACTTTAACGCCGCCGTCGACTTACGCAGATGCTTCGGTCGCTCAGCTCTTCTATACGGCAAACACGTACCATGATTTACTGTATGACCTCGGCTTCACCGAGGAGGCCGGAAACTTCGAAACCAATAACAACGGACAGGGTGGCAAAGGCAATGACTTCGTCATCCTCAACGCGCAGGACGGCTCCGGCACCAACAATGCTAACTTTGCCACCCCTCCCGATGGACAGAACGGACGGATGAGGATGTACATCTGGACACAGTCGACCCCTTATAGAGACTGCGCCTTTGAGGCTGGTGTCATTATCCACGAATACAGCCACGGATGTAAGTGACAATCCATTCTTTATCGAGTAGTCCGAAGAAATAGCATCGCTGACATTCCTCCCGTATTAGTGTCGAACCGCCTGACCGGTGGTCCTGCAAACTCCAACTGCCTGAACGCTCTTGAATCAGGTGGTATGGGCGAGGGCTGGGGTGACTTCTTCGCAACAGCTATCCGCCTACAGCCTGGTGATACTCGGGAAACGGATTACAGCTTAGGCGCGTGGGTTTATAACAACCCCGAGGGTATCCGAAACTATCTATACTCGACAAGCCTCGACACCAACCCATACCAATACGTCACGCTTAACACGTATAATGAAGTGCACGATATTGGTGAGGTGTGGGCTACAATCTTGTACGAAGTATTATGGAATCTCATCGACAAGCACGGTAAGAATGACGGCCCCAAGCCCGAATTCGACCAGAACGGTGTCCCGACCGACGGAAAGTACTTGGCTCTGAAGCTTGTCGTTGACGGCATGGCCCTGTAAGTACCAGAACCTAAAACATGGCGTGACGCCTTGAAATAGTACGACGAGCTGACCCTTTATTTTTTCTAGCCAACCCTGCAACCCCAACTTCATTCAAGCCCGTGATGCCATCATTGATGCTGATGAGGCATTGACCGGCGGTGACAACGTCTGCGAGCTGTAAGTAAATCTAGAAACTCAGGAAACTCAAACAAACTCAATGACTGACAAATATTTTTTTAGCTGGACTGCATTCGCTAAGCGGGGTCTCGGTGAGGGTGCTGCGTACTCAAGCACCAGGCGCACAGGAAGCAACAAGATACCTAGCGGAGTCTGTTAGATGAATCCTTAGCCAGAACTATGCACACTGTCTATGAGCTACCGAGCCGGAGCTTTAGAGCTACGGAGGAGTTCTTAGTCGAGATGGATAGCAAAGGTAATACTGAGGGTATACCAAAGTTACGGCAAGCTAGCCTCGTTTGATAGCATACCTAATTAATTAAAATATTATTTTATTCCCTGACTTCTATTACATCGCATGCGGAGTAGAGTGAACGGCTTTTTGTCTTAGGGATGAGCTTAGATAAATAAATAAGGGTTAAAGTCCGCGGTTTGGGGGAGCCCGTAGCTATTAATAATAGCAAATAGTCCACCAAGGTACTCATTTTTTATGATCTAAAGCTAGAGAACTGCAACGTTCTTTAAGCAGCTATCTACCTACCTAATACAGGTAGTCCTATTCGTAGTTAATCAGGATAAAATCCTACGTTGATGGTATGCTGCAAATATAAACACGATATAATACATGTATATTAGCATACCGATAACTAGATATTTTTCACGCAGCTTCTCAGTTGACTAAATTGTATGTGCGAGCCGATCCTGGTGAGCGGTCCAATCTTTTTTCTCATATAGCCTGACTAAAGATTCTTGAAAAACCTGTCTGTCTCCTTGCCAATCCAGTTTGATCTCTCTATGATATTTTCCACAGACCAAAGCCCCTCGTCAGTGGCATACGCATGGATGAAAGTAGCGGGAATCCATTCAAAGTATGAATTCCTTACGCGGACCTTTTTTCCTCGTACTTCATTATGCTCACTATCACTCGAAATCTTTTCTACGAGATCAGCACCTTTTGCGATCCCCTTCCATGTACGTATGACTTCTGTTGAGCTGTTTTCCTCCGCTAGGTGATCTTTAATCAAGCCTGGGCGAGCTATCTTTTCTGTTTCGCTTAGTATAATAACCTTCGCGTTTGGTGCAACATATCTCTGGCAGAGAATGGCAGGGAGTGATCCAATTTTCTAAGAGTATGATTAGTACATGAGTATAGATGCCAGCAGAGTTTTGGTAAAAGACAACAAAAGATATACGGTATACGTAGGTAGGTATTGACTTACATTACTAACGTCGCCCAACGTGCTAATACGGTCAGCCCCGAGGACGACGATATCAATTCCATCAGCGGCAAGAGCCGAAGAGGCATCTGTATAGAGTGTCACATTTAAATCTACCGAGTCGTTTTCTACCTCAAGTAGTTTCGAGGCTAACGTCACACCTTCATAGAGGGGTCTCGATTCTAGAATTCGAAGATCAACCGAAACGTCTAGGCGGGCAGCAGCCTGCAAAAGGCATGCCGATATAGTAGAGCTAGAGGACAATGTAAGGATAGAAACAGATTTCTTCGATCCCATAGATTGCATAACGTGTTGGCGGAGATAGTCGACAAATGCGTCACGAATGCGATCGGTCGTATATTTACGTTGGCTCAACTGGTTCTCGAGGGCATCAGCAATCATCCGGACCTTCTCTTGTGTCGGTATGTCTTGTGTGATTATGTTCTCAATTTGATCGAGTGCCTTGACTGTAGCACTAGTGATTGCAGCTCCCATGCTCTCGCGAGTTTGACAGATATGCCATGCGGCCATTCGGATATTCGCCCACCAGTTGTCATCAATCACATCGAAATTCATCTCTAGAATAAGGTTCCTCAAAGTTGATATCGCCATGTCAGCGAGCTGTCTAGCACCGCTTTCATGATCATCTCGTAGCTGTTGTAGGCCGGACGTTAGGACTTCAGCCGCTCTCTGGCCCAGATCGTACTCGGGCCACACCCTTCGCAAGCTATTGACGAGCTTCGGTACGCCGCCAAACTCGTCCGACTCATTCACATCTAATGGATTAAACCATTCAAATCCTTCATGCTCCCAGTCGATGGTGATCCCTTCTTCACCTTTCCCTCCTTCGGACTTTTCCTTGAGACGGAAGCCAAATGGGTTGATGGTCCACTCGCGACCAATAGACTCATCGACGAAAGAGTATGGTTTACCAACGCGAAACAGTTCGATTGAGGACGTTGTCAATCCCGTCTCCTCGTTTATCTCCCGCAAAGCGGTGGCGAGTGGAGTAGCATCGTACTTCTCGACACTGCCAGATATGGGAGCAAATTTGTGTTGGTAAGTACTGACTTTACCACTGCGTTTAAACAAGGCTACCTGGACCTTCTTCTCGTCGCCGTAGGGGAACTTGAAAAGAAAGGATCCTGCGACAGATCGCTTTTTGAGCCCGTCTTTTACTTTCGTGGCATCGCTTGTGGCATCGCTTGAAGACATTATGTATCTCCGATCGAGTGAAAATTTAGTATGAGGTATTCTTGTAAATGGTCTTAATACGCATCGAGGAGAGATGGCCAGTACGGCTTTAAAGAAGGAGCCATGGTATATCCCGTACATCACAGGGTAGCCGCAGATTGTTAGTCGGCTCGTGGTACGTTTTCCTCATCATAAGTGAACGCCACTTGCCAATCAACCAGTTGGAGGGAGGATTTGGTTACAAGATGATAACGGATATAGAGCATAGAAATATTGCATGTCGAGCTTCGGCTCTAAGTGGGATTTTTATAATAAAGAATTTTATGAATTAAATCAAAACCGCAACATCAATGTATTTTCAAAATATACAGGTACCAATATATGTATTTTTCCTAACGTTTCATGCCTAATAGCATCGTTAATTCGCACTTTTGTCCTTATTTTTCTACCCCCCATAACGAATAAGAATGTTCTTTTAAACGCAATCCCGCTAAACCCAAACGACACAAAGAATACCGCCAGCATGCTGTTTTATTTTCCTATCCCCATGATTAAAAAAGATTTTACGAAGAATTTTCCAGAAATGTAAGTGTATATAGCTTCGCGGAAATAATAGGCTTTTCTTAAGGGGGATATAAGAGCATGAATTATGTTTGAGAGAGCTGCTTCTCTATGCCCGAGTTTACGAGGGATATTGTCTTAGGGTCTGGTTTACGAAGTAGGAAGTTCGTCTGTGCGCGAATTTTAGGCATTTTTATTGGGTGCATCCCTAAAATAAGTGGAATTTTCCAAAGTCCCCACTTTCATCTTTTTCTTAAAATACGTATCTTTTTGCTTCCGAATCCCTGGGTGCCAAGTCCTCCTTTTGGGTGGGTGAGGGTATCGAGGTCAGGGTGCCGAGCCCTCCTTTTGGGTGGGTGAGGGTATTGAGGGTGAGGGTTTCGAGGGTGTTATAGGTAAGGGCTTCGGGCCCTTTTCCTGGGTGCTGAGGCCCTTTTCCTGGGTGACAAGTTCTCCTTTTGGGTGCCGAGCCGTGGGTGAGGGTATCAAGGATGAGGGTATCGAGGGTGAGGGTATCAAGGTCAGGGTGCCGAGCCCTTTTCTTGGGTGCCGAGTCCTCTTTCAAAATATTCAATATATTTAACTATATAACCTCTGTAAACTCGGGCTATTGTGGCAGCCCTCTGGGGTGCCCTCCAGTTAATAGATAGAGTCGCAGCAATCCCGAAACTGCTCTATATCCTAGAACTAGTCCGACGTCGCAATCTTATACGCTCTGAGCTCCCGTTCCGCTACTCCCTTCCATCTTGTCAAATCCGGCATGGGGCCGGTTCCGTAGCGCGCTCCGAATAGTTGACTCGGGTCGCTGTACCCATACGCTGTAGCCCGATTCGCTATGAGGATATAAGACCTTATTCTTCGGGTTCTCGACCCATTCGGAGAGACGAGGTTTGGGTCGTGCCGCAATGGTTTCCATATCCTGGACGATTTGCTGACAGAATAGATCTAGAGGCAAGTCGTTGACATCGTTGCCGAAAGGGTTCTCAACTTCGTGGCCGATGAAAAAAATGCCTAGTATAATATAGGACGCAGCTACGGTGGCCGGAATTGTTATCCAGTCGAGTTCGAGAAACAATTGGAACGGCAGGAGGAACACATAAATCCAGGTGATTTGCGAAATGGCGATGGCATAAGCAATAGGAAGGGGAGTGTTAAGAACTCGCTCGGTACCGACTAGGACGTCGTTCAAGGCTTGAAGTTGGTTATCTGTAGGTTATGTCATGTCAGTAAAACTTTCGCATTCATTCAGCTGGAAACGACTTACAGGCGGAAGTCTGTTGCATTCCAACAGGTAACTGGCCATTGAGGGCCAGTTCATCTACGTATGCCGTAAGATAACAGAGGATCTCCAATGGAAGATTGCCCAATGGGGTCTGGGCCTTCTTCATTAATTTCCGGGGATTCGAAGCTGCAAAGGATAAACCGAGATTCTCTCCGACCGCCTTGAACAATCCCGACCTCGGTTTTATCGCATTTTCTTCCGTAGCGGACCTAGCAAAGGTATCTAGATGATCGACTAACTCTACGAGGTCGTCGTAGTACGTGTACGGTTCGAATCTAAGCTTGTGCTTCAAGGATACCGCGAAGGCTACGATTAAATTCATGGCAGTTCTGGCCCTAGTTAGCGGATATGGACAAACGTCAAAGCTTTAATCAGAACCTTACAATTTCGCCAGCAGGTCCTTCTTGGAAGACCCCTCGCGTTCGACGGCATTAATCCAGAAGACTCGGCCGAGCCCTTGGCAGGTGAATATCAATTGACTCCAGTATTTTCTGCCCTCGGCATATCGCTCATACGCTGTCGAGCTGCGGAAGGATAAGCCCAGACCCACGACGAAACCAGTAACAGTGAGCAATATGGAACTGATTCCCAAGTTAACCCCTGGGACCTTCTTTGAGACGACAGTTACAAGACTCGCCCAGGCGGCAACGACAAGTAGTGGAACAATCATCTTGGGAAGAATGCTGCCGTGTAGCTGCATGAACAGAGGCCATTTTGAGTGCTTGGAGAGATCACGAGGACCGGTCTAAAGAATGGAAGAGTTAGCACTCATTACACAGCATAATTGGAATTTACACCGTACAAAATAGTCATCTATATCCATGCTGGTATTTCTCCGGCTGAAGGGGTTTGGCGTCGTCGTATTCCGTCGGGGTGAAGTAGGATATGCATCTTCCTGGACAGTAGGTTGTCTCTTTTCTTGCTCGGTCGAGATATGAAGCGCGGTCGGTTCGCCATAGTGTTGTTGCGCATGAGCAGCGGGCATTCCTGTGGCACCTGCGTCCTCCGACATCTCGAGAGAAGCTTAAGAAGTGGGAACGTGTGGGGAGATCGAGGGACGACGATGTGATCGGCAAAGAGTAGGTAGTATTGCACAATTATATGGGGATCTACAAAGAACAGTAAGGAGTTGTGCCTTGGTGATCGACTGGGCCACAGTATAACAGTTTATTAATAATCGCAGCCGCGAGCTGGAAGCTGTCTAAGTGAAAATGAAGGAGAGGATAGGTACACAAGGATCGGTGAAAGTTGAGGTTGAGTATCCAAGGGGTGAAAATAATAGAATAGAAAGAAATTTCAAAACGGAGACCTTAAGTATGTCCCTGTCAAATCCTACTTCCTTGCGCATAAACGAGCTGGGCATCGCAGCTTTAAATATCTGCTTCAGCATTGAGAACTTGTCAGCCCGAGATTTTATTAGAGCCCTAGTGTACTGGGGATATTCTACGTGACTGGTCTAGGTCTAGTCGTCACCTCGGTGGAGTTAATTGAAACGGAGAGAAATGCTCAAGGGGACCAATTAGAGTGAATCATGTAGAATAACGAGCGAATTAGATGCTACCAGCAACGTGGGTTTCTAGAATTCCTAGAATAGGATCTTGGCAGCGCAGGGGGATTTTAGCATGGGTTGTTTTGTAGTGTATGTATCATGGGGTGGTATTTTGTGGCTATCGTCTGTACGCCAGCCTGTAACCAGATGAGTTACATCAATGTTCGTTCTTAAATGCAGGTATTCGGAACGCAGCAAGACTACAAAGATAGACCTCTAGCCAACTTGACTCGATGGGAGTCAGGAGAGCGTACAATATGTACATAGCACTCCAGATGCAATTCAAGGAATACGAGTGATATGAACTTCTTGCCCCACAGAAGCTGATGAGATGGTCCTAGTCGGTAGCCACTAAGCGGGATCGAACGTTTGAAACCTTCGGTCCAGAACGTCTGTTAAGGAACGGCGTTATTCCAAAATAAGCATTCGATCGGTTCGGTACGTACCGCAGTCCTATCCAAAAACCTATGCAGGTACTGCGGGATACATGGATGATGGTGGCTGAGGGAAGCGGAATAATAAGCCCGTAGGAATTACCTACCTAAGTAAAGAAAGAAGCTATAGCCTATAGGGAGTAGATTCAAGCGGGAATAAACTAACATCTCTGCAAGAGATACGCTGACTGCCCATACAGTATATTCAAGTATATTTCTAGACCTACATATGTAATATAACGTGGCAACTGCGTGGCATTGAATGTCTTCTCTCCTTGAGGTTTGTGTATACGATACTAGTGGAGCAGGGCTCTAGGGATGAAAGGCTATTAAGCCAACATATATCTATGCTTATTATACGAATATATAATTTATTTAGTTGGCTAATTGTATTTAATTGACATCTAATGATTTTGATCATTTTGGTCCTATCCCTACTCGGGCTGCCAGAAAACCAGAAAGCATGCCAACAACTCTCAAACCGAACGGCCCCTACCTTTGAATCCTTCCGGATCTACATATTGCATTGCCTATCACACATATATATAACTAGACGATCTTGTATCGTAAGATGTAAAGATGCAAAACAAATATCGCACTCAAAACTCAAACTATACCTAGGCGTCTCAAACTTGGGGAAATACTATGCGAATTTCACTCTCTGCATTGATCTTCGTATGTCTTCGTACCTAAAGTAGCTAACTGCTATAAAACAGATTTCATGATGGGCGACCACCCGCTATATGCATCATGCTAATATATAATATGAATACCGCCCATAAACTCCCGTAAATGAACATTTTGAAATCTAAGGAGCCTGGTGTCCTCCTATTTTGTAATTCGATGCATGTAACCGAATATGGACGAACCCTCAAATATAAACAACATCACCGAACAACCGAGTAAGCCCGTTCTTTATCTTCGCGGTCCTTCTTCTTCTTGAATAAGGATTTAAGCATGTTGTCCTTCTTCGGGCGAAGCGCGACGCTGAGTGATTTTTCTCGGTCGTTGTTACTGTCGTCGATGGCCTTTACCTCTACCTTTTCGGATCGCTTAGATTTGGAGTGACGTTCCGTCTTATCGCTCCGATGACTCTGGACGCTTTGGTGGCTGCGATGACTCTGGGTACTTCGGTGGCTTCGGTGACTACCCGCTTCACTTGCGTTATCGACATCTTTGCTACCATTCTTGGGAACGTCATGATGCTCTCCTGTGTCGCCCTTCCGGCTCTTCGGTGGTTTGTGCGACTTGCTAGTCTTGGTCGTTTTACTTGTCTTGGATGTCTTGTCTGTGCGCCCAGTTCTATTCGTGCGAACGCTACGCTCGGTCCGCGCATCATCACCACCGTACTGACTGCGAATCGCACGATCAGCTTCTGGGCTGATAAGCTCAAGGTCGGCCTGACCATCCTCGCCAAAAGGTGCAATGCCCCTACGCCATATTTCGATACTGCTTAACTCTTCTTCGAGCACAAGAGCTTCGTCGAAGCCCGCGCTTACTTCCGATTCCGGATATGGAGCCCGATTGTTTTCACCAGGCGCTGGTTGGTGCGCCAAGAAAGCCATCGGAGAAGCAGCAGCAGAGTTAGCTTCCTGGATACGCTTCACAATCTTCCAACCTCCGAACATGACCACCGTCACTCCGACCGTCACACCAGCCGCAATAAGGAACTGGGGGCTGGCTAGAAGAGCAAAAATTGCAGGACTTCCACCTTTGAGGACGGCAAGGAAAGAAGGCGACATCTTTCCCAGTAGCGCAGAAAGCTCGGCGAGCGTAAGAGCAACAGCAGCGGCAGCTTCCGGGTTTCCCTGTAGATGCTGAATAATATGCGTTGCGGTATGGTGTAAACATTGAGCTTCTGTTAGTAGATTCTCGATCTTCTCTATTACACTCATTGCTTCGCGCTCTTTTTCGACATTCTTGTGGACAGGGTCTAGGTCCACCCTCTCTTCTAGATCGGGAGGAAGACTTCCATATGCTAAGTTCATGTCAATGTCCTTCCCCTTCTCCCTTAGGGCCGGATCCGATGTTGATCGGGACACGGGCACGATATGCGTCGGGGTCGAGTTGACCAGCTCGCCGGCGTAGATAGGCATCGTTGGCGCATGCGCTAATGTTGGTCGACTCAACATCATGTCTCTAGGGGCTGTCTCGGCATAGGGAGAACGGTATGTAACTGGAGGGCGCGAAGGAGCCGTAGAGGAGACTTCAGTAAGAGTCTTAAGATTGCGTTCAGTCAAGGCAGTTCCCGCCTGAGAAGTAGACCGCTTTGAGCGGTAACTTCTACGAGAGGAAGCTTGAGAAGCACCGTCATCGTGAGACGCCCGGCGAGGCCATCCATCATATTCGATGCTGTCATAGTAGCGAGATGCGCTCGGTATGTCGATAGTCTCACTACGCTTGATGGCGCGTTCAGCTTTAATAGCCGCCTTTTTCTCTTGATAGGAGGCCTTGGCTTCTTTAAGAACATTGATCAGGTGTCTGCCCTGTCGAAGCGATAATTGTTAGGTTACATATCGGCAATGGAATAAATAAAATGAAAAGGATCTCTGCTTATGTTGGACTGAAAACGCTGGAAGGAAGAAAGATATTTTTGCGGGGCATATTGTAGAGAGTAAATCCATAGTGTAGATGTAGCACCGGTAATACAATATTATGACGGTAACAGTGACAAGTAACACGAAATTGTGAAAGGCCATAGCCGCAAACTTACATTGCTGATTATCTTCCCCGACGAGTTCACGATCGTAACAACTTCCACAGGCATTATAGCAACACTTGTTATTCTCCTATAAAGTTGGGAATGAAAATAACAAAGATGAGTTCTAGTTTAATTACTTATGAAGTAGCGGGAAAAGAGACGAGGCGGGAACGCAACCGGTTAGCTAACCAGCACGGTTGTCATTCGTCTGTCCGGCCAACACGCGGCGGTGAAGGGATCGCTGAACATGGACGGGGGTAATAAAGTGGGAATAGGAGGTTTAACATCGATGCACTTGACAAAACTTCGCGAGCAGAAGAACATGAGTTTTATTTAGGTTAACTAAGTAAGTAGGTACTCTAGGTAATATAAGTACTATTGAGAGCCGACGAACCGGTCAATATAAGAGGAGCATTAAGAGGAATAAGAAAAACCACCTATTTTGGAAAGAATCCACCCAAAGACCAACAGCACATCCCGCCCGAGCTATCGGTCTCGGAGAAAGATATCGTTTGATTGGTTGGGTAAGAGGTAGATCAGGCGTGCGTGCAGGCGCTTCAACTGCACCACGTTGTTGACGACTTTGTGGCGGCCGAGGCGCACGAGGGATAAGTGAGATCAGTATGCAATATGATGTTATCTTTTACTTGCAGGCCCAGTTTACGCTGCATCTGTATAAACGAAATGGCGTACCGTATGCGACCGCTTTCGTAATTCCAGAGGCTCGGATCGCAAAGATCCAGCTTAGAGGCCGCCTGGGAGAAAAAAAAGAAAAAAAAGGAGAAGAAAAAACGGGGGGAAAGGGGGTAATAGGTATAATACTAAGGTAATACATATACGTACATAGGGAAAAGAGGGCATGAACAAGCATAACGCAAAAAGCCGAAGATAAATTAGATTATCTTTGGTAGGTATTATTACAATTGATCAATTTCAAGGGACCGTCTTAATCCAGTCATAAATTATCATATCCAGCGCGCTCGCCTCGTTACTACGTTGTAGCACATAGTGGGAGTGGAAGACGGGTGAATTGTAAATCGCTGCTGATCGCGCGGGAGGAGGCCGAACGGCAGTGTTAAAGTCAATCGGGGAGTGATCGGGCAACGCACGATTTGCTTGGCTTCTACGTTATCAAGTCAATCTAGTGTAGCGAAGAAAAATGCAGGCTTTGAATGGAGACAAGTGGCGGCTATCGTGACCGCTCAATCACTCAATCAAGCCAACGATCCTCCCTTCGAGCCGGGATACGCCCTGGTAGGAAGAGGGGATCGCGACAGCGGCTCTAACGGGATATGCCCGCGAAAGAAGCTAGTGTAATCTAGGGCTGGACCCTCTTACTACCTAGGCATCGAAGCAGTGGTAAGAATGATAGGAATGATAGGAATGGTGATGTGAATGGCTTTGATGGCTTTTGATCCACTTCACCATATCCAGTCATCATCGGGATTTAACGCCCTTTTTCTGTATTGATCTTATGTCGTGCGCTCTTTCGTGTCCACCTCGTCCACCTCGTCCACCTCATCTATCCAGTCCGGCCACGACTTTTTCCTTTTTCTAGTGTAGGTACGATGTGCACACGATTCAAACTCGGCTGATCTACCTAAGTAGGATACGTCAGTTGTTTTTATAGGCCAGTTATGTACCAACCAGTCGCCGATGTTTCAAATTGCTGCAAAAATGTTGTAATATTAAGGTTATCCTTATACGACAGAATGATGGTTGATTGTCTAAGTTGGGGGTTGAATAAAAGGGGATCCAACTTGGGGAATTTGGAGAATTTGTGCGACCTGTTCGGACCGTTATTTGATTTACTCCAGGTTTACCGTAAGCTTTCATGGTTTGGGTAGACCAACCAATAAACGCCACATTGTGGCTAATACAATGATACGTTTAAGCATCTGATATAAGGTCACTGGGCTTCCATTGCAGCGTAAAGTCACTTTTCCCATGTACGAAAAATAAGGTCAAATTAATTAAGATGAAATATAATACCTAACTTATACGTTTTAGTGTTTACTAACTACCCTCATTCCTTTGCTGGACGTCCCCTTCTAATCCGAATCCATAATGCACATCACCGCCATCCCAAACCCGTCTTTCGGGATATTGTGTATCCTCTTGTAGAACCTCGAGGCCGCTCATCCTATGAACAATTCCGTAGCCAACCTTTAAGTTTTTAATGTCTCGCGGTAAATTACCCCTATCTTCTCCAACCCAGCCCAGTTTTTCCAATGCTGGTCCTCGAGTTGCTGCTACGATGCTGGAGAAGCGCGTACTGCGCAGCACCCCCTCGTTCTCTAGGATCGCGAGAGTGCCCGACCCTACCCCGGCCGCGGCCAGAAAAATAGCAATACTGTATACGATCCACAAGTCTCGTGAGTGATAGTTGTATCTGTTCTCAAGCCGGGACCGGACGCACGGGTACTTGGTTGACTCGTCTCCCGCGCCTGTCCCGGACATCACGTCCGACTTAGCTGCCCATACGACGCTTAGAAACTGCCTATTTGAAAATAACGAAAGTATCATGTCTTCGTACAACTCTTGTACTAAATCCGCAAGGGTTGGGAACGCGAAATAGTCGTTCCTAGGGTTTAGTAACTTCGTTTGATCCGCCTTCGTGTTTCCAATTGGATTGTTGAGCTGTGCTGAGTTCATCGTACCGTTCAGGAATCCCCGCAGCTGAGAGCCTATCGCATGAAATGCTGCAACCCGGCGGTACTGACGAACATTTCTTGGGTAGATATAATTGCTTTTCGGCCGCGCTGTGGTATTGTCGTTTGTACCATCGTTTGCGTCCGTACCTTGGATCCAAGTCGTACTGGGTGTTGTTAGTATTATTCGGACGTGTTAACTGAATATTTAGTCGAAGCAAGACACTCCCAATTGCCTGGTCATCCTACAAAGAACTGAATATTTCCCTTCTGCTGATCTCCACTTACTCAATAATACGGCGTTGGAATTTACGCTCAGTCACTTTTGTAACCTGCTGGCCGCTAGTCAGGTTAAACATGACAGTGTAATCAGTCTCGTAGTGCTCGCATCCGATCACCTTAGGAATGAAGGCGTCGCTCCAACCTGGCATCGATCTGTTGAGAGGCGCCACTTCGTTCGGATTCGTTTTCACAGAATACCCTATCCATATTACAGGTTCGGTACGGAATGCTCCTAAAGCTTCTGGAAACGGCGGCTCCATAGTCGGAATGCCTCCGGGGTTAGTATCTTTCATTTGTTGGGTGGAATATTCGCCGCCGCTCGCGTAGGCATAGTAGCTATAATCACCTTCGGGGACGAGGAGTTTAGTGCTGAACCCGTCCGGAGGCTTCTGGTTTTCAAGCGTCTTGACCTCTGATCCAACACCACTGGCAAGTTCAGAACACTTATACGCTGGCGCTGTAAAGTTAATAGTGTATGTGCAATTCCAGCCAGAGCTACATATGTCGATGTTAATGCCACTCTTACTCACCGCTTGCCCCATGAATGCCGCATTAGTTGCAACTCGGATTAAGGGGTTGCTGGGGCTGGTGTAGTAATCGAACCAGTCCGGCGAGGTAATATCAGACGCAGTCGTATTCCATATCGACATTGACAAGCCGTATAGATTATCGGACTTGGTAGGATTCCTCCATTCCTATACGCTCCTTAGACATAAATAGAGATAAAGCACCATTTGAAAAAGGAAGCTAGTCACCTCGAGTTCATCTTTCGTAAAATTTAAAGTCCGGATACCTGAGCACGTCGTGTTCTCTATGCTCAAAGCTAATTCCATAGTTAAAGTATTGCTCGTCAATATTATCAATATAGGTGTCAGCCATACAAACGCCGCTAAGAGCATAGCTATCTTAGCTTGTTTGTATATCTCAATGTTGAGCAGCGCCGACGCATCCTCTGCCGCAGCAAATAAGGAATCCAAAACCGCCAAGCTCAGAAATTTGCTCCTCACAGTAACCCATATTCTTTGCTTGAAAGCAATGACTACAGCTGCTACAAGACCAGCTTTAGCTGCGAATGAAATCACCGTACCGTATCGAAGCATAGCGAGCTGGTCGACGGCGGGCTTCCCGTTCAAAGACGCATAAAATACGTGATGACCAATTGCGCAAGCAACGCCAAAGAGGAATGACAGATACATAAACCATGTAGGTCGCCAATGCCACCATTTCCTAGGAGAGGATATCACGCCAGAGTAAGGGGGTGGTGTTCGGGGGCTTCTCCATACTGTACTTGGCGTATTCAAGAGATTGGCGCGAGAGTCTGTACGACTATACTGAAATCTGTCGCGGGGAGAAAAAATAGAATGCGAGGATGTAACAGGGGACTGGTAGCCCATAGGAATATCCTCAAACTGCATTGGAGTTGGCCTTGGCCGTGGTGCTCGAGGAGGCTCTAAGGACTTATAAAAGCTACCTGGCTTCTGGTATCGATTGGAGGTATCTGGAGTTGAGTTCGGTGGTAGCATAAATGATTGAGAGCCGAGGTCCCCATCATCTTGCCAATTCATTATCGATGTCGTTACTGACGGACTAGCCGGTCTGGTTGCACCCATGATAGGAAGCCATTCCCGCGATCTAAGCGATACAGAGGAAGGGCGAATGGATCCAAAAGTATTGTCAGGCAGAGACCTAGAGGTAAGAGGTACACCATCGCTAGCGGCTCGACGATGAGTTGCCGACGGCGGTAACGACACTAAGTTCTTCATATCTGAGCGTCGGTCGTGTTGAGACTGAATAGAAGGCTGGCTAGCCCAGTCGCTAGATTCATCCATGCCAAAGACTGCTACATGTGGATTAATGAAAAGCAAGGAATGAAAAGAACTCCATTAAGCCTTATCTAGGGGAGCGAAGGGAAATTTTATAGATACCTACTTGGTATTAGGTAGCTATCGGTGAAATATGAAAGACGAAATACACATTTGGGGAGGGATTCGGTAGAAGACCGGTCATCTCCGTAAGCCCTCCCGGGCCTTATTTAGGTAGGTACTCGAATTATAGAGAATACGTGATGCGAACTAATACTATGTGAGAAAAGGTGCGTAAGCAGTCGAGACTTCCAGAACACGGCGAAAGTCCGATCAATATTCGACAATAGCTGTTATACCGTGTACGTATCACATAATATAAGTCCCGGTATGTTATACAGCAGCTCACCCCGATGACGAAACCCCGCTGTTTGGTCTCACGATACGGGAGATAAAATCAACCAATATATCATCCAAAGCTGACAAGCCAGCGAGTCCTTGAGAAACCCCGCCTCGAGTTACCAATGTGTAACGACCCTAATAACACCCGACTTGGACGCCGAGAAAGAAGGAATGCTCTAAATTCTTACGGGGGCTTGTATATCAAGACTAGATTTGCTACGAAAGTGAAATTTCGTAATCACAGCCTGTGCGGCTGAAGATATGTCTCACTTCTCTTATTTTAGCATACGTAGATCCTGACAACAGACGTGTATGGATATGAGTTTTCGGTCTTGGCAGCTTCAAGTAGGTTGAATAGCTACCTACCTACTCAATGGGCTCAACTCTTAACAGGAATTTGATAAGAATCACAATACGATACGTGTAGATGTTTCATAGTATAGGGAATACGAGAGCAATCCAGTATGTTTTAAGTACTGATGATATCTAACTAACTGGAAATACTTGCTTGTGGTATCGAGTAGACTAATGGCTCTATATGAAGGCATACCTTCTAGAGAAACGGCAAAGATTTATTTACCTATGGCTACTCTACTGAGTTTACGTAGACCATGAGATCGTGCCCCACGCCAAGATATACCTACCTACCTGATGTACAATAATACAACCGGTAGCCGTATTGTGATAATGTCATTTCTTCTATACATGTTTCTCAATTTAGTAAAGTGCTACTTCTATGGTAAGCAGTCTTAATACTAAACATAGTATCACCCTTTTGTGAATGGGGGGGGGGGAAGTAAAAAGTAGACTATCATACGCAGCTAGCTGGCTCACAAACTACCTAATGCTAGGCTAACAAGTGGCGCTCGGCCGTAGTAGAATCTCTATCATTTGCTTACGAGGTTCCCGACCCCTATTTTGTGATACCCTGTCGGACGCATGGAGACTGGTTCATCCAGATGCTTAATCCTTTACTTTTCCATCCCATTCTATCCATACCATATTTGGTTGTCCATATGCTTGTATTTACAAGTCTTACGTGTTTTCGTGTATTGTGTACCTAAATTGTATCTTCTATAGGCCGTAGCCTTTCAACCTAGGAGTACTCGAAGCAGTGTACTGATGTTGTATACCGGGACCACAAACGATAATTATCAAGGGTCACTCGTATACCCCCTAGCATGTTTGGCTCACTCATGTACAGGTCTTGATGTTAGCGTGGTTAGAGTTCTGGCTTTACGCACATCTACCTCGACTTGGTAATTGAATAAATTTTTTGTTTGGATATCCTCTAGGAGGATATCACCAAGGATAGTCGGTATTATATGCGGCAAGTTCGCGTCTAGCTTCTTTGCTAACCGATCTATTGAGTAGATAACATGACTACAGCTTTCGATGTTAGTTACGAGATCCGGACTCCCCACATCACGATGCGAATAGTAGTACACGCTCCGTGTAGATATAAGAATAGGAAGCCAAGCGACCAGCTTTGCGACGTTGAGGATACCTCAAGGAGGACCTAGAAACACAATGCCTAAATAGATCACTGCTACTAAAATAGAATCCCGTTAGACGAGGCTCATCTCTGACGAATGTTCTTAGGCTTTCGCTTCTTAAAAACCACAGTAGGCAGGTCGGTCTCCGCGTTTCCTTCTTGCTTGACGGGCGCATCTTCATAATTCTCTTGGAGCTCTGGTTTAATAGACCATAGCGCTTGGTCGTCGGTCGTTTCCTCCTTTTTTATATCAGATGTTGGGTTTTCTTTCGTCTCGCTCGATAAGCTGGCCTTTTCATCAATAGAATTCTGAGGATTATCTTCCAACTTGGGTGGTTTCGCTAAGGCACCGCTGAGCAGAGCGTCTAGCTCTTCGTCATCCTCCGGAGCCTGTCTTGTATCGCGACCCCATTTCCTAGGCTTCTTGAATAGACTCTTGACTGCATTCTCCTCTTCTTCCTCATCTACCCCACTTTCATGTTTCGGTCGTTTCCGTACGCCAGACGCGATGGCATCGACGTTTTGAGATTTGGCATCTGAGTCGTCTTCGGCCTTGGGTGTATCATCGATAACCCTCTTGCTGGTAACGGTCCACTCGCTGGCCATGGCCATCTCTCCCCTTAGTTCGGTTGGTACATCAATGCCCATCTCGGCTAATTGTTCCCATTGCTGTTGACGTTGCGAACCGGCGGCTTGTGTTTGGGTTTGCGACGAGGCTGAAGTCGATATTCTACTAGTGCTCGCTGCATGGTGATGATCTGAAGAGGTAGAGCCAACTACGCCATTGAGTCTCTCGACCTCCCGCTTGGCGCGATCCTTTTCTCGTTGCTCTTGTTCGTGATTTCGGTGTAGGTCTCTTAGGAAACGCTTTAAGGCGCCTTGATGCTTGGCGGTAGCTTCGTGATTTTGACGCTCGAGTTTAGTATCGCGTACGTAGGTGCTACAATGCTTACACCAGTATTTAGGAGTTGATTTCCAGTATTCGGACATGATGCGAATATCACTTCTAACGGTAGGTAGGTAGGTAGGTACCTAAGGTAATAAATTATGAGATGAAAAGGAATATATCTTAGTTTAGGTACCTACACGTAAGTAACTAAAGGTGTTTGTATTGCTTAAGGTTTACTTGGCGTTATCGATAGTCACTTAACCAAGCTTGAATAAACTGCACTATTCGTAAATGGAGATACCTTAATTAGATACTTACCTCTTACAACCACTTCTACCATTCAACTTTATTTAAAGGTAACCAAACAATTGGATTCACAGGATTAACATTAGGTATATTTTGTTGATGAATCCAATCAATATCTCTTCGTATCGTGTACTACTTGAGCCACCTAGATAAGTAGTCCCTTTTCCGTCAGAAAACTGGCAGATACACCAAGACAAAAAAGTTCGAACCATAATATTACATCTATATGCTACGGTTGTTGTTTTTTGCATTATGTCCTAACTCCTATGTTGCTATCATTGTGTTGCTCCTCATTTCCCTCGTATCTCACATTAAACCATCTCATGATGGTATACACATGCATTAGTTCCAAGCTTTCCAAGCCAAAGCAAAGCAAAGCAATCCCCGTGACTTGCAACCCTTACTGGCATACGATCGTTTCTGATAAACTTATCCGAATATTGTACTGGTTTCATTTACAGGTAGAAAAAGGCCACCATTGCGGTGAAGACTAACGCACCGACAGATCCAACCGAGATACGCGATGATCCGCTCTGGGGCGGTGCCGAAGTCTCACTAGGAGCACTGGGAATCGGTGACGATGAGCTCACCGGAACGGTAGCACTAGCACTAGAGCTAATGCTGGCACTGGCGCTAGTATAGGAGCTCGGTACACTGCTGCTGGGTGCGGGAACCGAGGGCCCGGGAGCTGACGAAACCGGAACAGAAGGGGCGGATGGGGCGGGTGTGGGAGTGGCCGTCGGAGTAGCCGGGGGAGCAGGTGCGCTGCCTGGTGGTGTGACTTGGACCTGGCCATCCGTATGCTCGCTCACAGGAACATACGTGCTCGTTGGGCTAGATGTTACCGAGGCGCAAGGCGTAGTAACCTGTTGCACTTGGCCATCGCCGATCTGACAGATAGGGACAGGCACTGAAGTCGTAACAACTTGCGGCTGGCCGTCTGGCAAGGCGGTGACGATAGTAGTCAGAACAACGCTGGTGCCGACAACTTGGCCATCGGGTATCTGCGAGGCTGGGTCATCTGAACCGCACGGGACGGCGATGATCGAGACAGGCGAACACTGGGGAGCCCAATCGCGATCGTACAGGTTATAAAAATCGCCAGACAGACATCGGTAGAAAGTCTTGGAGTCTCCCAACGCCACGATATTGTTCTCACAGAGGGAAAATCCACTAGTGTAGAGAGCACCAGCTTGAGCAGGAGCATCGAATTGAAACTGGTAGTTGGACGCGATATAACCAGTTCGGTCTTTGGCGTCAAACGTTGAACCATCCTTCAATGTCAACACAAGAACGCCATCGCTTCCGCACTCGGCGCGCTTCTATTACAATCGTTAGCAGCCATTACGCGTATATCCTAATCAAGATCCGGCTTCAATTTAAACCTATCTTGCCCATACGTACCTGAGGCTGAGAAATGCTTCGCTTCTCAGTAACCTCTGCGACACTGATCTCAAACTTGCCGTCGAAGCTACCTGTGCAACCAGCTGGTGCAGCACCGGTCGGAGTTAACTTGTCGGTGATGCCTTGAGGAGCCGCAATAGCGATGCCTAGAAAGGCGGAAACGAAAGCGAGCGTGAATCGCATATTGTAAAGGTGGGTAAGGCTCCTTAAACGATTGACAGTATATGCTGATGGTTGGTTGGAGTTGATAGATGCTTAGTAGGTGGTTGAATTATTGTACAAGCCGGTTTTAGTAACGAATGACTTTGCCTCCAATGTTTCACTCGTCGACTCTTGCCTCTCGTCCTACTCTTATTACGGGGCCTATTCTGAACAGTAAAGGGATGGAAAGAAAACAGGGCAGAATCAGGTAGAAGGGGGGGAGCCGCCCTTTTCACCTATTTTATATTGTTATGTCTGTTTTCAAAGCCAGGATTCCTTTGGAACCGTACTCCTAAATCTCATTCGTTGGAATTTATCCTCATGCCTTGAGGTCACGTACGTACTCCACGTACGTACCTACCTAGGTAGCTACACACATATCCGACATCCCATTGTTTTCGGTTCACATATTGCATCTAAACAACCTTGCGGGTAGGCTGCATGTACGCGGTACTCACCCCAGTTCGCCCTTGCAACCAACTATCTACACTTATGTATACATGTACTTTGTAGTTGATCTCTCTAAATTTCTATATCTGGAAGATTATTTGCTTGAAAAAGTGATGTGCAGTTTAAATATCGCTCCTATTCAGGCGTATTAAAGTAGACCAACTAACCGTCCTTAGTACCTAATATACCTATCTAGGGAGGCAATTGTCACACTCACACACCTTTTCAATGTATCATTTCGGAGGCCTGAGCGAACATTGATAAGTAAAATTGCTGGTCAAAGGAATTTATATCTTGTATATGAAGTAACTACCTGATGGGAACCGATATGTATGCACGGATGTATATATCTGTAAACAAGTTTCCATCAACAACCACCCACGGATATATCTGGTACCTACATGGGATTTGTATAGGTACTGCATGTAGAATGTTATGTATAGTTGACCCAGTGTTCTTATCTTTCAATTTCAATATGTACCTATACATAGATCTAATGTATATTGTGGTTATAATAAGAATACTATATGTATTACACCGGCTAATATGGTAATAACGCTTCCCATACCTCATGTAACTATCGTATGAACCTAACTTGGGTACCTCTTATCTACCTAAGGTACTATAGGTAGGTACCTAGGTAATTATATAAACTCAACCAAATCTCTCTTCTTTCATATACAAATATTTTCCTGTTCAAGACCTAATATCTATTGTTACGTAGGAGCTGTCAACTTACACAACGTGATTAAGATTGATATGTGTTACATGCCACTACTGCAAGTAACCTCCGCCTCGCGGCTGTATTTCGCATCGTATCGCCGCCGATAGAATGGATGGGCTGAATTAAGATTACATACCTTAGGTAGCTTCGGTATGCATGAGGTAACTTGGAGTCACCTTAATAGCTCACTATTTCTACGTATTTTTTTTTTTTTTCACATAGTAATATCTTGCCTATTTAAGTCAGTGCATATCTCTTTATCTCTTCATCATGACCAGTCTTAGGATCGAAATCAAGCTTTTCCCCCGGGGAACCCCAAGACTACAACCCCAGGTGCCAATCGCCATTTCCCGTCCCACAGCGGCAATCGAATGTTAGTAACATAGATCGGAGATGATCTTCCCTCCCTAGTGATCCACTAGACCCACTGGTATGTAGGTGGGAAATATCGTCTTTTTTTTTTTTTTCCCTTGTTTTTTCTCACCTACCTAATACCAAAATCATAAACCGTACTTTCTATACTACCTATCCGGCGTTCAATTAACTCCGATATATATCACTACCTGGGTTAGCTACTTAAGCAAGTTACATATCTTAGTTACCTACGTAAATTTATTTTATAAGAATGTATGGTCTGATAGCGCAGTCTAAGGAAAGGGAGGCAAAAGGAACGAGCTTATCAAGACGACGATCTACATAGACACGAATGCAGCCGTGATTGGAAGACCTCGCAGAATGCAACCCTCCATAGAGCTAATAGTCCAATGAAGTTCATAGATATGGCTATGAGAAACAATATCAACCTGTTGCAGGCAGGTTCTTTTTCCTATTGGATATACCTTCCATCCAAACTGGTTCCTGTCACATTTTCAAACAAAAACCAACAGTACCAAGGCTTAACAAGTGCAAGACGCAGGGGTAGTCGTTGTAATGTAGTTTATAATATGCATGATTAGTCTCTCCCCGGCTCGGCTCGGCAGGGGACGAGAAATGCAGGGATGACGGTCGTGACGCGCTACGATACAAACCCGTCAGTCAATCCAACCCAACCCCCTCGATACATATGGCCGAAATGGATGTCAGTCCTACCCTACCATGTATTCCGTCAATGCGCCAGAATAATGACATCAAGGGAACGAGTAGCAGCTAAAAAGAGGAAAAAAAAACCTTCATCTCCGGAGGCCTACTCATCGTGTAGTACAAGATAATCTCATAAGAACGGACAACATAGGTACACGTGAAATATCGTGAATACTTAGTAAGGGCTTCTTGCGGTAGAGCGGCAATATGGTTCTGTAACAGCCCATAACAGCCTGATGTTATGAGTATACATAGTACCACGAACGGCTTGGTATCAACCTGTTATAACATCTAATGTGGTGCTCGGACGCATAAAGTACGAATCTTCGACGCTGAACGTTTTGTTAATTACTAGTTCCGAGATAGCAATCCTCATAATCACAAGCACGTCTCGAAATATTGGCTTGTAGTCCGTACACTGCCATGAATTTCTTACTGATATGTCGTAGCAGATGTAGTGGGCTTAGCTATAACTAGTAGTCTCTCGGAGGACACTTAAAAACAATCATTCGGGGGGAATCATCTATGTGAAAACAACGGTAGCCACCGCATCTCTCCCATCCTTCATTCGCTCATGACTTCATGCAACCATATCCATATCCATTTTCCAGAAGACCTTTCCCTCGTTTAAACCGTTTCGCATAACCGTCCTATTTGGTCAGGATGCGTACCATATCCTGTACCACTTCTCTCGTCTCTGGTTCAAGTTGTTCTTCCGGCGGTCCGAGGACCTGCTGGAAGACATTTAACAGCTTCGGCGTTAGTTCTTGCACCGTTGGGTTTGAGAGCACATCTGGAAGTTTATGATCAGCATAATATCCTCGAGGTAGTCTTACATGGCCATTTTGAGGCGGCGATGACAGGGTATGCAGAATGCGGACTTACATAGTTTGTGTAGGCACTGATAAACTGGCTTGTTCTCCTCGTAGTCTTCTTTTAGAGGCAGCAAGTCAACAAGGACAGGCAGTACATCCGCAATCGGAACCTGGTCGGGGTAGGCTAGTATCATACGGCATAAGCATCCAGCAGCGTTGTCTTGCAACCGGGCATCCTTGATCTGCAGTAAGGGCTCCAACTTCCCTAGAACTTGGTTATAAGCAGGGAGGTACGTCTTTGCGTCCTCTGAATGATAAATGAGCTGTCCAGTTGCGTACGCCGCGTTGGACTTGGTCTCTTTATCCTCATCGGAGAGGCGATGCAGTAACGGGCGTAACAATGTTGAGGTATAAGGCGTCACTCCACTGCCCATGTATGCGACGCATTCAGCTACCACACCGACAGCGGTTGATCGCTCAATGGCTTCGTTAGAACTTAGGAGTTTGATGATGGGCTTCTCAAAAACCTTCCAGACCTCGGCAAACTGCGGGCCTAGGGCACAGGCGAGTCCGATCAAAACATCTAAAGCGGTGTCTACTACTAACCAATCCCACTCGGAGCTTCCTTGGGACTCTTCCTGGTCATCTTCCTCGCCGAGATCTAGCTGGCAGGGGTGCGATCGGGTAATGATGGTACCGAGTATGGTCACGACCTGCTCCATCATATCCTTCTGTCCCAAGATAGCCGGGCCGCAAGTTTTCAGCGTGGAGGCAACGCTGCGGTTGATCTCTGTGACAGCGTCCCTAATGAATGTTAGCGTCCGTCTCGTCTTCATTGTTTAAGGTAAAAATTGTATATAGAAATAGTTAAAATCAGATCTAGTTCAAAATACGTGTTCTCAGCAACCGCATAAAGCGTCTGAGTGAGCTGGGTATAACGTAAAGTAGTCATCATTGGAATCGGAATAGGAAACAGTAGCAGGTGCACATAAGGAACAACTTACCGATCGGACTCATCGGGCCAGATATGTAACGTAGCGGTAGATACGATCTCGCCAAGCTTGGCGATGTTGGCGACCGGCTCTAGCTTAAGGGGAAAACCAGGTTCCCACTTGCGGCCGGTTTGCTTTTCCATGACTTCCCATACGCAAGCATATGTTCGCCAAAGGGTTCCAATTGAAGTCTTTCGGCACCCCTCGTATGAGTGCTCGGCAAAGGGAGCTACAAGCTCTATAGCCTTTTCGATGTAGGGCGTGCTCCTCTCTTTCGCGGCGTAGATGACGTCGCCTAGCACCTCCAAGGCAATTTCTTTCTCGAATGCTTGTGCAGACACGCCGACGAGGTCATCCCAATCATCGTCATCGTCGTCGTCATCCATGAAATCTTCATCTTCGTCATCTGCGCCCTCAACACCCTTGACCTTATTTTTTTTGCTGTGCAAGACAACCTCCTCGTCGACAAGGCCATCTTGATCTTCGGGGAGGTCGAACTCAGTTTCCTCTTCCTCTTGTTCTAGGCAGTCAAATAAACCCTTGAAGATACCCGCGAGAGAGTCACCCAAATTACCTTCGTATACGGTAGCCAGCTGGCTCCATAATATGAATGTAGTCTCTCGGAGGCGTGGATTACTAAGGTGAAGAGCCTTCTCGCTGGCCACTAACAGCGGCAAGACGTACGGGCTGAACTCCTGTGCGCCGACACCGACAGCGATGCGGCCCATAGCGTCACAGACCAGACTTCTCAATACGAGCTCTTCTTCACCACTCTCAACCATGATGTAGGAAGACAAGGCTTCCATAGTCTGCTTGAGAAAAGGGATGAATGCGCTCTTGATGGAGACAGCGATGGCACCAAGTGCACCCGCCGCGGAAGACTTGACCTTGGGGTCTGGATGCGACAAGAACGTTCCAATCCGATGTATCATGTTCTCTCCATATTTAGCCATGATATCCGCTCCTAAACCCTCGGCCATAGAGTCGATGGCACCACAGACGGACCGAATAATCTCGACATTTTTTTTATCAGACTCATCACTGCCAGCTGCGTCCAAGTTCAAGACTAAAGCGGTCATGATGCCATCGTGGTGAGGAGACATGGTATCAGATAGATCCTCGCCTAAGCGTATGAGACCTAGGAGAGCCGCATGGCGAACACTTTGTACAGGATCCTTGAGGAGGTTTAAGACCATAGGCATGACTGACGCTATCTGGGTAGACACGAACTCGGGCGCACCTTCGGCACACGTACCGAGGGCAAGTACACAAGCCTTGCGTTGCCCTGGGTTCTGCGAACTGGCATAGGCGGGAAATTCGTCGAGCAAAGACACGATAACCTGTCTTGGCGGCAAGTCTGTAGCCAACTGATCTATCAGAGATAGAGCCGTCCGGGCGGGTGTTGTGTCTTCATCGTCGTCGTCATCCGCCAACTCGGATAAGATTACCAAACTTTTCTTCATGAGCTGTGCACCCATGTCAGGGATGCCTTGTATCTTCATCCGACGGTATTTGACGCACTGCGCGAGGAAGGAGATCGCTTGAACTCGCACGTCGTCCTCGGCGTTGGTGTTGATAGCTAGGTCAAGCATAAACTGGACCAAGTCTTTAAAGTAACGGGATATCAGAGCAGGGTCGTAAGCCAAGAAGGATTGGAAGACTTCGAACGACTGCTGTATTCGCTCGTCATCGCCACCGTCAACAGCATCTTTGAGTACTTCAACCATGGTAGGAACAAACCCCTGGACGATATTGACAGATTGTTCATCATCGTCGCAGTCGATCAGCATCAATAGGGCACTGATAGACTGCATAGTATTGACTCGCACGTCACGGCTCTCGGGATCCCGAATAGTCTTGGTGAAGAGCTCAAACAGAGTAGATAGATGATCTTCAAAGTAGGCGGGGTTCGCTTCCAGGAGGCTGAATATGATGTAGGAGCCGACCTCACGGTGGGCGACATTGTCGGAATTAGTCAATTGCATGACGGCAGGCAGTAAGTCACCCCATTGCTCATTATTGAAATCAACCGTTGCGATTGCAGCAATAATACGGGATTGGCCATGACGGCACTTCGCGTCTTGCTCTCGGACGATGGCTTGAAGGAGCTCATTGCGCACAGCAGGCTTCTGGTCGTCGGCAATCTTCTCCCAATGCTTAGGAACGAGCCGTAAGGCTTGAACAGCCGCCAACATGCGAACGGTTGCCTCAGGATGAGAAACTATGACATGAAGCAGCCCGAGTAAGGAATCCGGGTGAGGATAGAAGTTCTTGCGGAGCTCAGCAGTTGCGGCCTTGACCTTCTGCGTGTCAGCTGTGAGGTTAGGGAAGAGAAAAAGTTAGCAAATCTGAGACTAGCTAATTGTCGGCTCTGTTTATGTATATATATGAAGTACATGTATATGAATATCAATTACTTACGAATTTGAGATGCCTGCAGCAGCTCGACAAGCCTTTGTTGATCCATGGTGAAGAAAGTCAACGTAGAAGTTCTGGCGTTTCTTGAGCGTATAGATCAGCGCAGAATTCTAGCAAGTGCTAGATATAGTAAGGAAATAGAATGGTCTGGGTTACGTCGACGACCTTACGTCTACGACGTGGTCCTTGGCCCAGATTCTTATTCCTTTTCTAACGCTGCTCCTCGGTTGACGATGAAGGGTTGGGCAACAATGAGGATGAAAAAGAGAAGAAAAAAAAGTATTTAAGGTGTGTTGGAAATTGTTAGGTGGGGTTCGTCGCATAGAAATTTTAATTTTTTATTGGAGACCTCTGATAAGGTATGATACCTAACTGATTCGCTAACCAAATTAGGTACAAGGTACTTTACCCCTCCGTCCCTCTACCCCTCTAATATGCTTTAAGTAATTAAGACTCTTTTTTTACATACTTAGGTACCTAGGTAAGGTATTTACTTAATGCACAAAATTTACCTAATCTAGGTAAGTAGGGGTATTGTACCTGAAATACTTTATCTCTTTGCTCAATCAATCATTAGAATTCATTATTCTCATAATTCATTATCTCCAAGTAAATCGACCATGCTCTTATATAATTTCTTCGTACAACCAAAACAATGGCCTAAGCTTCGTTAAACCATAGTTCTTAACATCAAATATCTTCTAAATAATTAATTAAATAGGAGAGGGTTAACTCATCCTACATCCATTATAACATTACGCTGCTAACGTTATAATGTTTCTCAGTATACCGAATTTGAGGGTCATAATCTTGTAAAAAGTGTAAACGTGGGACCGCGCTTTGCCTACTCCAGCATCGTCAACATTACTCTGGGCCTTGATGGTGATAGTTTATTTACCTAGCGTCGCTAGTCCCGACACGAGATTAGATGATTGGGAGAAGAAGATGAAGGAACACAATGTGTCACTGAAGCTGAAAAGACCAATATTCTTGGCAGCAAGCTGAAGGTTTCTCATAGCATAACTTTTTCATCCAGCTTGTTGGTCGGACTAGTGTAAAATTTGTTAACTTCAGGTGCGTGCTCATAATAAAAGAAAACCTTATGAACCATGGGGCGCGCCTTGTTATTCTTCTCAGTTCGACTCGGGTTGCTTCTTACGGCTTCGGCTTCCAAACTCCTTTTCCAGCCCTTATCCACGCAGGCCGGAGATGGCGCGTTTGCGGCCTTACAGCCTATACCTACCGTGGCCCCGGAATATTACGCGTCAACCGAGCTGCTAAGGCGTGATGAATTTCATATGGGTCATGATACATGCGGATTTGGTGCTCTCAACTGTAAGGGCCTTGCTCTTCAAGTAATGCGCTGCGTAGGAGGCCTAGCTACTAACTTAACTATGTAGCTGGTATTACTTATACCTGTTACTCAAGTATTGGAACATGCGAGAATATCGGCGACTACAGGGGATGTTGTACGGGAGAGCTGAAGGCATGTTCGTCGAGTTTTTGGACCAAGTGTGACGATTATGATCCGACGAGTTTCTGCGGCACGAGTTCAAAGACGCGTTGCTGGTATGGAAGCACCTAATTTGACTATATCATTCTTCAGATCTAAGTTAACTCTCCATACGATAGTCCATCGGCACTACCATACTGCATCACCTGGCTATTCTCTGTAAGTACAAAATGACAAGCTCCTGAACGGTGATAGGCTCAGGGGTTTCCGACGTCAGATAGCCACGCCACGGCCATCGTAGCTTTTCTTAAGAGTCGAAGTACTAATTTGATTACCGAAGACGAGTGGTTCAACCGTTACAGCATGGGATTGTGATACGCAAAGCAAAACTCGAGTTCTTGAGCTACTAGCCACCCCCTTAAGCCTAATTAATAGCACGGCATCGTCGACTACGAACGATTTAACGACTACTTCTTCAACTCACGAATCTACTAATTCACATTCCGTAGCAACGAGTAGTTCGTCCGTTTTATCCTCAGCATCGATAGATACTACTTCCGTACCATCGAGTAACAGTTCCGGGACTCCTATCGGAGCTATTGTTGGCGGCGTTGTGGGTGGGGTTGCTGTTATTGGATTGACTATCCTAGGAATCTTCTTCATCAAGAAATACCACAAGGACACTCATAAAACTGCATCACCGCCACCGCAGCTTTCTGGACCTCAGGAACTTCCCGACTCTGGAATGTCTTCTTCCTATCCGACTCCTTCCCATGGGAACTACGCTCCCATCTTGCAACACGACACTTCAATACAACCTAAGTATCAAGCACCAGTAGCGCAAGCAATGCAATTTGCTGAGGCACCGTATACTCCCGCCACTGGGACAGGGTACAACCGAGCCGAGTTAGGATAACGGTACAAGGACTTTGCTTTGTAAGACTTATATTACTTAGGTCCATGTGATATTATACGCAGAGGATTGTACCATTTGTTATAATATACGGTTAACAGGAGCCAGCATGAGGTAGAAAAGATGTACTACAAGCGAAGGTATAATTAGGTACTTAGGACAAGTTTGTGTTTTAAAGACTGTTCGGCAGAACTTTTTATAATGGTATAAATGTAGGGTGTGCATTTTATGTATCTGTTCACTAGATATAACGGTAGTTGAAGTGGTTATCCCATTCTATATAAATATTAGGGGGCTTAATATTAGCGTCCAGTATGAAGGTGTATGGGTACCTAGGGAGCTATTATTTGTTTCGGTTACTATACATTAGTAAATACACTTAGTATAGAGCTTTGAAATCTCCCAGTAGTGGAAGAAAAGGCAGTATGATAGATAAAGGTAATCCAGGTAGAATGCTTAATATTCTCAAATTTAAAGATGAGTTATACTAAGCGCTATACTTTTATGGAAGATCAAGGCTATCGAGTTTATGAGATATAACTAAATTATATAACTAACTAAATTATAGACCTGAGTTTTATCTAGTATCTACCTCTATCTGTCTATCCTTACCTACATGTACATAGATAAAGCATCAACTACCTACATGTAGGTACCTTGCTTATACTTTGCTTAGCGTAACTTCGGATTGAACAGCCTCACGGCCTGCTTGCATGATAGAAATGTACCTACCTAAGCATAGAAAAGTTGCCTACCTAATGAAGCTTTAACTAAAAGTATAAAAAAGGTGAAACTACCTAGGTACCCACGTAAATGCATTAGCTACCTACATGTATATAGGAGGCAACCAGAGTATACAGAAAATACGTCATTCTAATTAGTTGTGACTAAACCAAAAATATCATCCAGGCCATATCTCCTTGGATGATACTGTTTATATACATTCGCTACAATATATTCTACATCCATTAGCATTAGATTATATTTATTTTTGATATACGTAAAGTTAAGCCAAGGGACATAAGGCAGACAGGTACTGGATCTCGAATACCCTCGTCCTTCAACGTGGACACCACCGTCTAGTTAGACCAATATCATCTTCAAAACGCGACCTAAATGCCAGAATGAGAAGACATTCGAGGAAGAGGGAGAAGGCGATAGTTGACTATAGACACCGTTGGCCGACTCAGCAAACATTATACGAGTCTCGAGAACTCCGAGAAGGAGAGGCTAAAGACAAGCCAAAATCACGACGAGTAAAGGCGCTTGAGGCAGTCTCGATTCCCTTATTATGGATAAATATGAAGATTGAGTCTTAGCAAGACGGAATTGACGATTATGTAGAAGCAATAGAGTCACAGAAGCAAAAAAGACCGAGCGCATCGACATTGTCTGACAATCCTAGGATACGAAATTCTATATCCGCAAATACTAAGCCTGGCAAGAGCACGCATCCCTATGACACTGGAATTGAAGACACAACCGCAATAATTAGAGACGGCAGACAATTGACACCCGCGTCTCTTCATACGGAACGAGCCGAGACCTTGAGAGAACAAACACCACAAGCTCCGGACCAATTACGAAAGAACAAGAGAGTCAACTCAGTTTCCAGTCTCCGGAATCAGATATTTGCACCTACACCACAGAGAAGGAGTAAATTAACGTATACCCCGGAATCTCAGGCCAGTTTCGAGCGCTCGAACGAACATAGAACTAGGTTTCGTGGCATTCTTGGACTGACCAAGAATAAAACGAAGATGTCAAATGCTAGTCCTTTAGAGGGCATATCGACATCTCTAGGCCAGCTTTCGACAGAACCAGAATCCCAAGTAGAAGAAACTCGTCAAGAATCTTGGTGGTCCTTCAAGAGGCGGACGAGCGCATATAATGGAGATGGAGACACGAACTCCGGCCCAGCAGATAAATTAATGCCTCACAACAAGGAAGGCGGAAACAACCTAGAGGAATTACGGAATAGTGGTATAAATGGTGGCGGAAGCGGTTATATACGGGATAAGATGATGAAGAAGTCGTCGGAAAGAAATGTCGACCAAGCGCAGAAAGCATATGGTGGTGAAACGGAGAAAACGGAGAAGGAATGTTTATCTCCACGAACAGACGCGGAACTAGCGAAAATACCGGGGACATCAAAGCGGCGCCGAAGGAGCTTATCTTCATCCCAGGTTCGTGCGAGCACGGCCGGAACTAGTTCCACACCTAGCAACGTAGCAACGCACAAGGATGTCACTCGAGAAGAATGGAGGCATCAAACTCCATCCCCTATGATTCCCACTCAGGTTTTAAGATTGTTGCTAGGTCCCGGAAAGTCGCCGTCACCGAAAATAGGAACACAGTTAGACCGGGAGGATATGGAAACTCGTACATCGGCATCATCCACGGCTATACTGGGACGACAAAGTCGGGAGGGCCGTACTTCTGGCAGACAGTCGATAGAGCAGAAGAATAGAGCATGGGTTCCATTCTGGGTATCATCTCGGCCGCAGGTAGGACTCTCACGGCACGATAATGCCGATGAGGCGTCAAGACAGGGTGATCTTCCGGAGCCGACTACGGGGGAGCAGGGGAGAATTACACGCAGGAGATGGAAAAGTGGATAAATGGCCCTATGCTCGACCGGAAGTCATCGAAGCCGCAGGTCTCCTGAGTTGAGGCTCGTCGTAAGAGTAGCTCTGTAGGTTAGAATGAGTGCGAGAGTTATGCTTCATAAAGGTAACGATCATTGTTATATAATATCCTTAATTAGTATATTAGATGCCTAAATACTATATTTCCACGATGCTAGATAGAGGAGTAAGATGGTGGTGAAGCTGTAGGCCAATGTCCGACTTTTTTGTTGTGCCTCTTAAAGAATGTTGACATGCAAGTTTCAAGGTTATCAGATATGGAAACCGGGTTTAGTTAATGGTCGATGATCGGTGGTCGGTGCATTGCACGTGGGGATATCAAATAAAAAAGCCTCGAAATGTGCCTGCATGCTGACGCGATTCGGGGTGGGGTTTGTCTTACTATGAGGTAGGTAGGCTTTGCAGGCGTCGGCACCGCGGACGGCTAGTAGAAAGTACATGAACGTAGAACCGGGAACTACATACATGGATGTAATTAGGTAGGAGGTACCTAGGTGGGGTGGAGGGGTCAACTAGGGCCCTACCTTTCATAAAGCGAAAGAGCGAACAAGCTGTAACAAGCTGTAACAATAGAAATGTTGTTGCTGCTGATAAATCTCGAGGACCAAGGACTTGTTAGCGTCAATTTTTATATTTAAGCCTCTTTCATCTCGTTCCTGACATTGGTTGTTGATCTTCTTTTTACTCATCCCAAGTTGAATATACCTTCTTCTTTCTGTCATATCTATATTATAGTTCTCACTGCACATTACCTCGTAATCCTCTACTCGTCAATACGCATATAAAAGATAAATATCTTAGGTACCAATACTAAGAATTCAAGATGGCTTCAAATCCTCCTGGAGACTGCTGCGTCAAGGGTGTCAAGCACGAGTAAGTTACTCCTATGCTTTAAACTTCTACACTTGAGCATGTGTATATATGAATCTAACCTAGGTATATCTTATTATTCCTTGGATCCTTATACTAACCCCGTATTGTTATGTAGGGGCACGCCCACAGGTGTAGACATCAATGTAGGCATACACCAGGCCTACCTAGCTACTCCCGATCCATCTACTGCCAAAGACGCTGCTATCCTGTTTATCCCCGACGTCATCAGCATCTGGCAGAATAGCAGGTTAATGGCTGATCAATATGCCGCCAATGGCTATCTTACCCTCATCATTGACCCTTTTAAAGGCGACGCCTTATCGCTGAACCGCCCCGATGGTTTCGATTTCGTATCTTGGCTGTCTAAGGGTTCTACTGGCGACAATCCCCACACTAAGGAGGCTGTCGATCCTATTATTGAAGCTGCTATTCAGTACCTCACGATTGTGAAGGGTTTCAAGAAGCTGGGAGCCGTCGGGTACTGCTTCGGAGCAAAGGTATATTTAAATTAGTTATCCCGTCTTGTTTCTGTACGTTCGAGCCGCTAACAATAACTTATATAGTACGTCGCCCGTCACTTCAAGAACGGTATCCAGGTTGGCTTTATGGCGCACCCGTCCTTTGTTGATGAGGATGAGCTTGCAGGATTCAAGGCACCGCTATCTATCGCGGCCGCTGAGACAGATCAGATCTTCCCGGCCGACAAGCGACACAGGTCTGAAGAAATCCTAGCTCAAGGCGGATTACCCTACCAGATCAACTTGTACTCGCAGGTGGTCCATGGATTTTCAGTCCGTTGTGACACTAGTAAAAAGAATGAGCGCTTCGCTAAGGAGCAGGCTTTCCTGCAGGCTGTGACCTGGTTCGATAATTGGCTGCTATGATCGGATAACGAAGAGATAACGAAGACACCGACGAAGGGAAGACTGTGAAGGAACTTCGAGATACTCTAGATATTCCTTGATAGTTGTTAACTGATACCAAATATTAACTATAATTATATTTCATAGCGAAGGTGAACTTGCGAATCATGTTTATAATAGTGTGGGTACCTATATTGAGAAAGTACTCAACTACCCAGCAACATTATCAGTCTTATTCGCGGCTAAAAGTTGACTCTGCAGGCCTTTTTTCCCCACGTGCATAGCTCTCTCTAGTTCCCGCTCCTCCTCTCGTAGGGCTGCTTTTCCGTATTCCAGCTGTCTCTTTTGCTTTCGCTTTTCTTCTGCGACAATTCGCTCTCGTTCTTCAAGCGCTTTCTCCCGCTTTTTCCGTTCCTCTTTTGCCTTGCGTGCCGCCTCGCCATCGTCGCCAGCCCCATCATCTGCGGGTGGTTGTCCTAGTGTCTGGACATATGCCTCTATTAAAGGGTCCCGAATCTGCGGATCTAGGCTGATATAGCGCAAGTCGGCTAGTATTTGAGCAGGGAGGTTTTCTAGATGGGTCTTGTTATTTAATGCGCGGAGAGGGATGCTGCGTAAAAGTGTAGCCAGATCTTTCTTAAGGGAGTCTTGAGGTAATTTTAGTCGATTGATATGCTCACGATACCACTTCTCCCGATCGCGATCGTTTAGGTTGGTGTCGCGCATGGGCGCTTCTTTCTTGTATTTGCGCCGAAACTCTGGCCAGTAGAGCTTTGGCGTTGCTTTCTGCTGGAGAAATGCCAGGTACGGGATCCGGGGGTCTTTCTTTTCTTCTTTCGCACGCTGCTCTTTGAGAATCTGTATTCGCTCGCGGCTCCACTCTTCCCAGGCGTCTTTGCGTGCCTTCATCGTATTAAGCACCGTATACCGCCCGTCTTCAATGATGCGACCCTCTTCGATGAGTTTTTCCCATGATGAGTAAGGGTTGATACCATAATCGTTTAGTAAATCTTTGAATAGCTCTATTGCATCCGTCTCAGATAGGGGGAGACCTTCAGCACCTTCGGGCCACGCGTCTGGGTTACCGTCGTCGTATTCGCCCGGGTCCAGACCGTACTCGTCTCCCATCGCTTGTAACTGGTATGCAATATCGTCCTCGTTAAATTCTACCGGTATGTCTGCGGTAGGATCTTCCGTACGCTGTCGTTTCGGAGGGCGCTCATTGTCTTTATCTTCATCTTCCACTGCTTCATCGGTTTTCTCTTCTTCGCCTTCATCATCCGTGACCTCAACCTCTTCATAATCAGAACCTATTTCTACTTGCTCCTCTGTCTCCTCCACCGTATCTATTGTAAGAGTTCCTATTTGCGGTTCCGTGGACGGAGTTGCAGATGTCTTAACATCCGCCCCCTCACCTTGCGTGCCTGTAGCCTTCTCTTTGATCCCTCTGATGTCCAGTTCTAGTACCCCCTTCATGACCTTCTCGGGAATCCGCCAATAACTCGCATTTTTGGTGGGATTATACGCAAAGCGCCGACCATATTTGGTGTACACTAGCAACCATGGCTCACAACCTGGAATGGCAACTTTGGATTTTGGCTTGTCTGCCGGCTGAGGGCGGGGACGATCTTTTCCTTCATGATGTCCACGATGACCACCACGGCCACCATGCTGCTGCGCATTGCGCTGGTGTGCTGGGTCATACTGAGCAAGGAAGGCATTGGCGGTCGCGGGATCGGAAAGTTGAGGAACGGTGGAATATTGGAGGAAGTTGGCGTGGGGGTTCTGTGGAGGAGGTGAAGACTGAAAAATAGAAGTAGTAGTAGGTAGAGGCGATGCGCCTGGACGAGTATACGTAGATTCTTTTGTAGCTGCGTTGTGGTAAAAAGTATGGCCCGTAGGAGCTTTGTGCTCTGTCCAACCAGGAGGTAAAGGTGGTGGTCGTGGTGGCTGGTTCGACGAGGGTTTATATGTTGATTTCAACATATTATAGTATAAAAGATATAATAGATGTAGCTGATGTAGCCGATGGTGGATAGCTAACGAAGAGCGGGAAATTCGGTGTCGCAAAAGGTTGTTCTTATTAACATTGACGGACGTAATATTTTGACCAAGGCTTTTGCAAAAGAAAATAAAGTTTTAAATTTAAAGGTCACCGAGGTGAAGTACCTAATCTTAGGTTAGGTACTAAAGATGCCGCTAGAATTAGGTCCATATCAGGTACCTTGTAGACGCCTAAAATAAATCCCGAATGCGCTAATCGCTAATCGTCATCATGTCTTCTGATCTTATATCTTAATTTGGCACGCGACCTCCAACTCTCATCCTTTCTTAACCTCTTATATTTAGGTACCTATAATATATACATAGGTATTTACCTACCTACCTAGGTATTATAAAATAATAATACATCATTATTTCCTATTCCCTAATCTATTTTAATTCATCGTGAACTAGGTACTCGTACCGTTGCTTCTCCGCGGCCATCTCCTTTTGTATCGGTCGTTACTAGGAAATGCTGTGGAGCGTTTTTAAATCTATACGTGGACGGTGACTTGCAACTATTGCAACCATGACGCCGCGGAACGACTCTTTCCAGCAAGGAGGAATATTAGGATCGATAGCTAAGTTCTGGACTGTATGGTGATATCATTTTTTTTTTCATCCCTTCATACCTAAATCACCAGAATTTAAAGCAAGTCTAACTAATTTCAAGCATTCATATGCACCCGACTATGTAGGATTTGCTGGCCTGTTGACGGCCTACCTCTTAATTCAATTTCTCGTCGAACCTTTCCATCGCATGTTCTATATCAATAACTTAAATATCTCATTCCCTCATGCCGAAGTCGAGCGGGTGCCAGTCTGGTTAAACTTTGTTTACGCTCTGTTCGTTCCTCTCGGATTTCTACTGCTATACAATACCTTCGCCCGAGCCTCGTTCCATAAGCATCACAGCACCATTCTTGGCCTTGCCATCGCCCTCATCCTCAGTTCGTTCCTTACCGACATTGTAAAGAACACCGTTGGTCGCCCTAGGCCGGACCTAATCGCCAGGTGCAAACCTGTCGCCGGCACTAAACCTAACGTCTTGGTGACTATCGATGTATGTACCGAGACGGATCACCATACCCTCCATGACGGTTGGCGGTCTTTCCCCTCGGGGCACTCTAGCTTCTCCTTTAGCGGTCTTGGATACGTAGCTTGCTTTCTAGCTGGCCAATTGAGGATTTTTCGCGATAGGAAGGATCTTGGCCGTTCGTTGATTTGCCTCGCGCCCCTGGTTGGAGCGGCTATGATAGCTATCAGTCGGTGTCAGGACTATCGTCATGACGTATATGACGTCTGTGTGGGATCAGCACTGGGGTTTACAGTTGGACTTTTTACTTACCGGAGGTACTGGCCACGTCTGAGTAGCCGTGAGTGCGACGAGCCATACCCGGCGCCTGGCACCGAGACCGAAGATAGGGAAGGCTGGGGGAGAATCCGAGATGAAGAAGAAGGCGGCTTAATCATAGGAAGAAATACTGGGTATGAGATGGTCAACTTGATAGGAACTCCTGGCTAACATGTTTATTAGATAATCGATTCGCGGAGACTTCAAGTTAAAATTATTGAGTACATAGGTATTGTGATATGCATGAACCATTGTTCGATATATGTTCAACCATTCCTAGAGTGGTATCTACGCAGGATTTAGTTGGATACTATATGGTTATATTTATCTATTTGTAATGAGGCCCCCGAATAGGATCTTGTCAAAGTCAATCTTGGCCCAGAGCTTAACCTATAGGTTGGTCTCTGTGGTGTGAGGTAGTAGTAAGGCCTAATGTAAATTGAAGATTGTAAAAACTATACTGATTTGGTATGGATAGCTACAGAATAAGCAGGCCTTGAGGCTAGAGATGGTAGTTAGGATATGGGCAATCTTTGTGATATCTTACCTACTCCCCTTGTTTGTAAAAAGAAATCGAGTATTTCTATATATGGTTCCTCCGATAGTGTAGATTTCTATTCGCTTTTTCTTGAGGGAGGGTAGAAGTCTTTTTTCTTTTTTCTTTTTCTTTTTCCTTTTCTTCTCCATCATCTCTAATTTCCCCTATTTTCCTATAAATCAGGAAATTCCCTATACGTAGATATTTATCAGTAGTATAATAACCCCACTATATGTACCAGCCACCATGCAACCCCACTTTCTAAAATCTGTTACTCTTTTTACGCGTGAACGATTTCTAGTTGATACTCGATACTTAGATAGTGCTTGTTAGTGCTTGGACCTGTTTAGGCAGGTTGCCCTAACAACGTCCATTATTTCAAGGAGGTAGCCTCAAGTCAACTTCACAATTAATACATTTACTCGAGTAAAGTGTGAATTTTCTCTCTTTTTTCCTCACGCACTTTCTTCATTCTTTCTCCTTCTTACTATCACCAACACGAGTCTATCATTCCTTCTCTTTTCCCCTACAATATTTAAATCCTCATCCTATTTAATACTTTCTGTACTTGATAAAAGTGGACGCTTCTAGAGCCTGCACTGTTTGAGTATCACTGATTCTTGGCAGCCGCATCTATTCCTACCCCAGGTTTCCAGATTTCCAGATTTGGTAACTTAACTCTTTACTACCTTGGGTGTTAGATAGTATAACATTGTGCTCCGCTATATATTTGTTCAGGCTTCACTTCTAATAACCACAACCATCAAATCACCACGAAAGGTAAAGTCTCTGGTGACTTTCTGCCATATAAAGTCCAGTTGTTTGTTGAGCTATCTTCTACAGAGTAATATTTCTAACCATAGTCAGAATGCCGCGACATAATGGTGGCGTTAAGTACGAACGTGGTGGCTCACCTGTGCCGAGTGTGAGATCAGGGACTATGGGGCCGCCCTCTCCCAACCCTCTCAAGCGGAAAGTTCCTCCTAGTGAGAGTCATCATTCCATGGCTCGAACATTTAATCGTTCCCATGCTCGTGAGTAATTACTCCCTTCCTTGCCCTGCCTACTTGATCGTTTCTATCGTTGCTAAATCTATTCCGCCCTACAGCTAGTGCTGAAACACATCATCGGAGGGATGATGAAACAGAGCCTATGTTCATGGAACTGAGGTACCGACCGGACAGCTTCAGAAACGGCCAGCAAGGCTCTCCAGTATCACAGAATGCCGATGCCAGCTTTCTCCAGCAGAGTTTCTCTCACCCAACCTTTGCCGATATTGGACTCAGACAGAAAGCTTGTAATGATACATTAGGAGATCTTCAGACGCTCGGCGTGTCTCGTAAGTACTCTTCCCTCCAGGTCTCTAGCAGCCTACGTTACGCTGTTAGGGATAAACCAAGCAATAGCTCACCTATGGTTGAGGCGTGTCTGCTAATCATGTATTTCTAGACGTCGCCCCCCTTCCTGAGCTTGTTCTTGTTGGCGACCAGTCATCTGGCAAGTCAAGCCTGATGTCCGGTCTGGCTCGTATAAACCTCCCGAGGAGTGCTGGCGTGTGCACGCGTTGCCCTCTTCATATTCGGTTGATCAGTAGCAAGACCGATCACTGGTCATGCACTGTCTCTTTACAACAGGATTATGATTTCCAGCCACATCCTGATCGTAAACCGGAGCTGTCAGATGTTACCGTGGCAAAGCCATTCCCTCCCTGGGTTAAGAGTAATCACAGGGATATCAAACCGTTCAAGACTATCTTTAATCCTTCCGAGATTGAGGAGGTTCTTCGCTGGGCCCAGATTGCAATATTAAATCACAATCGCAACTTTGAGATTTTTGTCCCTGGTGAAGGTGCTTTTGCTAAAGAAACGCCCCTTGATGGTGAGTCAATGGCCACTTCATGCTATGGGCAACTCGAAGTGCTTCTTACTAAACGACACCCTCACATCTTGAATTTTCGTTTTCAATTCCACGTCTATGCCAGTCTTTAGACTAACCAATTTTTCCTCCAGTTGCGGCTCGGGAGACAGATGCCCAATTCTCTCCGAACATCGTAGCCTTAGAGATGAGAGGGCCTGGGCTTCCAGATCTAAGCTTCTACGACCTGCCTGGCGTCTTCCAATCTCCAGAAAAAGAAGAGGATATGTACGTGGTGAAAGTCGTAGAGAACCTGACACTTGACTATATCAAACGGCCCAGGGCAATTATTATGTGGGCTCTTCCGATGAACGTCGATGTGGAAAATTCCATCTCTTTAAGCATCATCCGCAGAGCCAAAGCGACCGGCCGAACCATCGGTGTTATGACAAAGGCAGACCAACTTCCCCCTCAGAACATTTCCAATTGGTTATCTATGTTCCAAAATGAGAAGCAACTCGTTGGGCATGGTTTCTTTGCTACATCGCGTCCGCCGGATCAGGCGCTAGAGAACGCAGCAAAATGGGAAGAACTCTTCTTTAATCGCGAGATCAGCGGTATTCAATGGCCTACCGAATTTGCAGAGTTTAAAGACCGCTGTGGTGTCGAGGTCCTATTAAGGGTAAGTGGCCACATTCGTAATAGGTTCGGTTTGCCTAGTTACTGATGTACCCCTGGTGAATCTTGCGAACTGCTTGGGTATAAGAGAAGCTAACTGGTAGTTTGTTATAGTACCTATCCTCTAAGCTCGGGGAAGCCTTTACTGAGAGTCTTCCGTCAATTAAAAATACCGTTTTCACCCGCCTCAAGGTTGTCGAGGGCGAATTAGCCGCCTTGCCCGAACTTCCCCCTAATGTAGAATATGAGGTGAAAAAGAGCCTCTTTGATTTTCTTCAGCAGATGAAAACCGCCATGAAGAATACTACGTTTTCGTCTGAATGGAATGCATTGAATAGCCAATTTCAAGAATGCATATTCAGAATAAAACCAACCTGCACAGTCAAAGATTCGGAGCTTCAGACAATCGATATTTCTGGAGGTGATTCAGAACCTACCACACCGACACCACACAGACATCGACCTACTGATTCGACTATGCGAAGCCTCGCAACCCCCAGCAGGCGACACCGCCAAGAAGGTGCCGGTACCCCTGTAAAGAATGAAGACATTGCGGTGGGAATGTCACGCACATCGTCCATCGTCGGCGGTCTAGGAGCCGGTGTGTCGGACCCATTCACCAAGTATTACAATCTTGGTCGGTTCGCAATGGACATTAAGGATATCCGCAATGAGATTCTATCAAAGAAACGACCTGGCATGCCGCGAGACTTGGTCCCCGACGAAGTTCGCGAGAATTTATGCTTGAAAGCAGTCAGAAAGTGGGAAGCGCCACTAGAAACCTACATCAATAAGACAGCGGAACTGCTAAAGAGGACCGCTAATGCCGCCCTCGAAAGCTCTCTAGAGTCACTGCGCAGCCGCTTAATCTTCAAAGACTGCAGGAAGTATTTAAGTGAATTTATTGACAAGACAGTCGCTAGCCAAAGGGCACGCCTAGAGGAGATATTCGGATCCGAAACGTATCAACTTTACATGATGAACGACGATGCGTTCCATCGCTATAAAGCACAGGAAATGGAAGAAATTACACGCATGCGAGGCATCCTACGTCTAAAGGCCTTGACTTTGATTGACTGGGGTTATAAGGTCAATAAATTAGAAAAGATGTCGGAGGAGGACAAGGCCAAGGAACGAAAAATGCTTGATGCTAACCTCCACAAGGCTGGGAAGGACCCCTACGATACTGAAATTGAGGTGGCCGGTTTTGTTCGTGGATATTATATGAGTACGACTTCTCAATTGTTATTCTGACCCGGTTCTTCTTGCTAATCATTTTATATGGGTAGTGGCCGCAGCGCGGTTCGTAGAGGGTGTGACGATGAATGTAAATTCAAACCTCTTCCGCACATATCGAGAAAGCCAGCTCGATGAGTTCTTGAACGCCAAGTTCTATATATTCAGTCAATCTGGTAAGATAACCCCCTCATAGATAAATCTAGCAGATGAAATTGGTAAAGAATGCTAACAATAGTTTACCAATTGGTAGAGCCAGGTCTTTATGAGAGGTTGATGGAGGAAGACGCGAACACTGCCAAAAGACGGGAACAGCTTAAAGGAGAAATGGATAAGCTGGTGAGGGCCATGCATAGCATTAACAATCTCGAGAGGTCCTCCAACGATACCAGCCTCAGGCCCACATATGTAAATTCCATCTCCGATAGTGAGATGGATGATGTTGTGTAGTGGTGGACATGGATGACTTTAGGAGATGCAGTTGTTTTATGTTGGCGGAGATCTCATCGGTCTGTTATTGTCCTTGCTTTCTGATTTGGGTCAAAATCTGTTTAACAAATGTACGACTGATGCCGGTTCACAGTTCTACGACTGGATACTATTGCAGGTTTTTAAAGAATAGGGTGGTAAGGCAAATTATCATTAGGATTCCCAGGATGGCTTGCTTGCTTGCTAGTGTGTATTGATTCTACAATCCTACCTACCTAGGTAACAATGAAACTAATAAAATGAGTGAAATGCTGGCAACCTATATGTAAATGAACCATGCCTAGGTACCTAGGTATGTACTGTGTTGCCACGCGATTTCAGCTTACCAATACTTTTGCTGTAGGATAATGGTACCTACCAGTCTTCTTCATTTACTACCAAGCTTGTTTGACACATGTAATTTAGCTTGGATTCGTGTATTTTCTTTCCACCAGCTCTAATCGGATTTCACGTACCGTTTTCCTTCCCACCAACATCTACATCCCTTCCCCCAACTAAGAAAAAAAAAAGAGAAAAACTAACCCCACCATCAATTTTATAGGTTGTCCTCAGTGTCAGTTGCAACATATAATAGGTGATAGCTAATAATAGGATACCGCTAAACTAAACTAAACTAAGGAGGGGAGGGAGTTATAACACGCGGTGGAAGTAATAGCAATAATAAATAGCCAAGCAAAGAAGCAGACTTCTCTATTATTTAGGAACTACCTTACATAAAAAGATGTAAATAATGTAGTTTGGTTGGCCAGAATACTTTAGGTTATGTTCCTTGTTCCGTTGCCAAGCTTCCCCCTTAGGAAGACTCGTTATGTTTCATTCCGACTTTTGCCAAATAACCAGCCGGTCCTATTCTGGTCCACCGCCAACTATTCTTACCTATGGTTACCTATAGTAATGCACCGGAAAGACGAGTCATACGCCCAATAGCAGTTGAACTATTGACCAGGTTCTCGGTCCGCACATACACATATGCGGTGAAAGTTATATTGCCGAAGCTTCCATGTTATGCTATATAGTTGAAGCGTCCCGTACGTTCGATGCTCTCTTCTAAATCTGGACGGCCTGAGCAGGGCCTTGTAGTCCCCCAAACCCGGACAGGTAGGGTGTTATTCAACGGCGATTGAACGACCTGCCGGAGGGATAAGTAACGGGATTGGTCTAGCGCTGTCACTTGCTGTCCTAGCTCATCGTTCATGTTCCATTGGGGATCATCGCTGCCGTGCATAACATACCTGGGGAAGCGGGTCTTTTACTGCTATGCAGATTTCTTCTATGTCATCTATTGGGTCATTCCACTTTAGTTGCCATATGCTCGACGACCAATGGCGGTGGGGTTGTAATGTCTAGATACGTTACTAGGGTAGACGTCCTTATATACAATACTTGTGACGATCAAATAAAAAGGATAAACGCACTAGAGGCACAGCATTCGAAGCATAGACTAGCTCTAGGTAAGGGTAATAGAATGCTTATGCGTTAGTTCTTCGCCTTGCAAAAGGGTCTTGAATCATAAGCAACCTACGTATAGTCGGGGTAGGAAAATCGAAAGTGAACTCCGCATCAACTGACTACTGCATACTTCCCGAAAACGTCAACTCGGAGCCTCAAATATGCCATAAGACTCTTCTTTTTGGGTATGAGGAGGTGAGTATCATGACTAGATCGTAGCCGGGCTGTCGGTTTGATAGGCCGCTAGTTTGTCGAATCCTAGTCGAGGGTCCTCCCCAACTGCTACCCTCTGCGATCCTCTCTATATTATCCCCGCATTATCGTAACAGCAACGATATACCTAGCGGCGGGTTTAGGGTAGGATGACAAGGGTTGATTTTCATGCTGGTCTATATGTCTTCTTTCATGAAGGACATAGACAGGCGCTGTGTTGTTATGCTTTTAATTACCGACCCCGGCCTCTCCCTGCAGATAGAGTACTTGAATAACATCATATCCTTCCCCGTGTCGTGCATGCGTCTCCCCCCTAATACCTAGACCTCTACTTGCCCTCTAAGGTTGAAGCACGAACCCGAACTTGAACGATACCATACGTCAATAGACCACACATGAGAACGAGAATCTAGAGGAATCAGAATGGTTCGCCCTCGCCAGCCCGCAGCCAAGGGTCATGAAGAGGAACATGAGCAGTTAGCGCGTAGGGAAGGACCCGTATTCGAATATGTATATTGGACGAAGGAGCCTCACCTCCGAAAGCTTTATGCGTGGGCGTGCGTTTTAATGATAGCCTCAGCGACTACTGGATACGATGGGTAAGGCAAAGAGAGGATGCCGAAAGTAGTGTCTCGCTGGATGTCTGGCTAACAAGTCGCACGCAGAATGTTAGTCAATACGTCTCAACAGATTGACCGATGGAAGCAATATTTTCCAAAGACGCAGGCTGGGCCCGATAATCCCCAGGAGGTAGCCGATAGCTGGTTAGGACTCCTCGTAAATATGTTCAATATCGGGAGCATCTTAAGTTTCTTCCTCACGTATGACCTCTACCACATATTGGACTCTATAAGATATTAATATATGCTTTAGGCCATATGTTGCTGACAATTGGGGCCGGAAAACGTCGATAGCAATTGGATGTGTCTTTATGATAATAGGAGGTTGCATATCTGCGTTTTGTAATGGATACGAGAGTAAGTGAAAACGGAGAAGTTTTCAACTGACTTGAATTTGAACTTATTGACATATGATTTAGTGTTCATTGCCGGTCGCTTGATTCTCGGTTTCGGTAACAGTTTATCGCAAATGGCCTCTCCCCTACTGCTCACCGAGATCTGTCATCCTCAACATCGTGGACCTGTCACGGCCGTCTACAACTGCTTATGGAATCTAGGCGCTCTTCTAGTTGCCTGGGTCGGTTGGGGCACCGCGCAGATCCGTAACGATTGGAGTTGGAGGTCGATAACCCTGATCCAAATCCTGCCCTCTTTAATCCAGATTATTTTCATCTATTGGATCCCTGAGTCGCCGCGATATCTCATGGCGAAGGACCGGCATGAAGAGGCGCTCGATATCTTAGCTAAATATCACGCTGGCGGCGATAAGAATGATGTTCTAGTCCAGTTTGAGTTCCGCGAGATTAAAGAGACGATGCGAATGGAGAAACAAGTTGCCCGCGCTGCCGGTTATCTCGACTTTTTACGCACCAAGGGTAACCTATGGCGGCTGGCCATCCTCGTCTCCCTAGGCGTCATCTCCCAGTACAGCGGAAACGCGCTCTTTTCTAATTATATGGATACCGTCTACGAGGGGGCTGGAATCAGGGTCCAAGATCAAAAGCTTGCTGTAAGAAACATTCTGTCAATGTTGCAGTCCGATGTTCATTATTGTATGCTGACACTCCCGTCTAGTTAAGCGGCGGCAAGACAATTCTTGACCTTATAGTGACAATATTAGCTGCCTTGAATGTCGATAGGTTCGGACGACGGCCGCTATTCTTAATTTCCACGTCGGGCATGGTAGTCTCGTTCGTGAGCTGGACCATCTGTGGTGCTATTTACGAGAATTCAAATATGACCAACGCCGCTTCTGGATATGCGCAGCTGGTATTTATCTGGTTGTTCGGTATATTCTACGATATCGGCTTCTCAGGCCTGTTGATAGCCTACGCGCTCGAAGTCCTACCTTTTAAGCTACGTGCTAAGGGGATGATGATCATGAATATTACAGTGCAGGCTATCCTCGCATTGAGTAATCAGACTAACAAGATCGCCTGGAATAAATTCCCAAAGCACTGGAACTTTATGCTTTTCTATACTGTGAGTTTATTTTCCCCATTGCCTAATCCGCATATCTTCATGTTTGCCTGTATTAACGAGACCATTTACTAATATCTGACTCTTGCGTAGCTCTGGGATTTCTGCGAACTGGCTTTCGTTTATTTCTTTTACGTTGAGACGAAGGGACCCACGTTGGAAGAGATCGCATGGATCTTCGATGGCGCAGATGCAGTCGCCAACATCGATATACGACAAGTTGAGAAGGAAATGCATGAGATTGAGCGAGAACAAAGCATCGATTCGAGGGCTATATCGTCGAGAGGGAAGGGAGCTGTTTAACCTGGTAGACTTTCGTTCTGCTATTAAGGTCGAGGTGTTGACGATTTAATGAATTAATGATCATAGCGCAGTGATCTAGGTTGCATATTGACTATTCTGTCGAGGTGGGGAGATACCCAAAAAGGAGACAAAGGGAAAATGGAGGGTGGAACTGGTATATGTATATCTCATTATAATTTGAGGAAAAGGGATCTTACGATTATACTTCATTCTTCAAGCTTCATACTTAGTATATGCTATCATTCTATATTTACCACTATAATCATTTGTTGAGGCTAACAACTAACACAATACACCATAGTGCTACTATCCTTCATGCAACGCAACCCCAGTTTCGTCCGAATGGTATCAGCATGTACCTAAGATATTATTGGGTAAACATCGTTTTATAAGACGAGATAACTACGCTCGCTATGCAGAATAATACTCTGATCCCCCCCTTTATTCAGCGCTTCATCTCTTCAATGATCCGAGAAGCACCGGCAAAATTGAGTTCTTCCAACGTCTCTTCCCATACCCTCTCTCTTATTTCCTGTCCTTCTTTTGTGTATACGACCTTAGGATACCTACTATAGTTAGCTCAAGTGTCTTATTGTCATGACGTGTTGTTTACACATACGGTCGGATACCCCAATCACTGACGTAGCTTCCATGACTCTCTTTACCCTTCGTGACGACACCATCAACTACGGCGCTGGCTCCATTCTCTACCGTTCTTCCGTTTAGGTTTTGGAAGATCCAGAATGTCAGTGCAGATATAAAGGATTTTACAGCTCCATCTCCGAACTGTGTGCCTCTACAGAAACCCGGATTGGATGCGTTGACGATGACGTCGTCGGCTTTAACGTGCTCCGCTAGCTTAGAGATGAAATATAGTTGTAATAACTTACTCCTCGGGTAAGACCGCATCGACTTGAACTCCTCGGGAATGTCGAACTGGGGCAGCACCGGTCCCGCCTCGAGCGGATCCGCCCAATATGAAGTATCTGACGTGACGATTGAAAGCCGGGGAGGGAATAAACTGTTCGATGACAGTTTCTTTGACTTAAGGACCGGAAGCAGGAGGATGGCAAGTAGGATGGTTGAAAGGTAGTTTACCTGGAAGGTCTTCTCGTGGCCCGTAGCCTCGACAACTGTGAAATTATCGCATCGTAGACCAGCGTTTAATATGGCGATATCGATGCGCGGAAGTGTCTCGCATTTCTTTGCAAATGCCATGATGGAATCGTACGACTCCATATCGACAAGCCAGACCGAGATGGTTGAGTCTGGGAACTCTTCCCGGAGCTTGTCTGCAGCTATGTTACCGCGTGTTTCTGATCTCACGCCCATGACGAGGTGTGCAAGACCGAGCTGGAGTAGCTGTCGCGCAGCTTCAAATCCGAGACCAGAGTTGGAGCCGGTCACGATGGCCGTTTGACCTGAGATGGTTGTTCCCTTGGGGATTGGTTTCCGGTGGATTAGCCATTGACGATAGAGAAACCCGATGAAGTGACCCTCAAACGTAGCTTCGCTCTCAAGATATTGTGACATGGTTAAATTATATATGAGATTCTAGTGTATAAGATGTACAAGTCTAGCGGACATCGAGCTCAGATAAATACCTATGATCAGTGAACTCGTTTGACGACATTACATTCTCCATGTTCGAATATATATTGTGTACCTTTTGCCTATGTTAACTAGGTATATATAGTACTATATAACCGTTGTCATCTATTCTACAGTTGTCTAGATCATAAGTGGCTTGTTTGCATGACGCGACTAAGCGGGAGAGTCGGTCATCCGAAGACCGTCGAGACCAAGATTATTATTTCCTGTATGGGTATCGTCCCAAAGATATATCCATAAATGTCTCATTCAAAACTACCTTAGGACTACCCCACGATGATGCAAATGAACGGGATTGGGTAAACAGCTTCGTCATCAAACACTTCAACTTGTAAGCCTTGTGTATCACGAAATATTCACGTACGGGGCGGAATCATTGACATGCCAGACACCGAAACTTCCTGCAGCTAAACAATGAATCCCGGTATATAACGGTATTCGGGACCGACGTCTTAAACCCATCTCTTATATCCATATTTTTGTCTATCGTCTTATTTAAAGGGACAAGACGATTGATAATAATTAGTCAACTCTAGTTAATCTATGAGAGGACAATTTATTTTTCTTTTTCATAAAACAATAATAACCAACTGCTGCTTTTTATAACAACTTTGCACTTCGGGAAATAATAGGTCCCCGACGCCCCGAGGGGACTTACACAAGTAGGTTATGTATCTAGGAGGTAGGTATTTATTTTATAATTTATAATTTCTCATGTAAACAAGCTATCTCAACAGGAATCTATATAAAGGAGAGGTTATTGATTACCATACGTCTCGTGGCTTGATCCTTTTCCATCATAGGAAAGGAGATGTCTTAAGAAGCCAACACTCAGTGCCCATGCGCTTGAAACACTGCGGCAACAGCCTTCTGTAAGGGCGGGGGAGGCGCTGCAGTCAATTCGTCGATATTGAGATCCGGATCTCCCTTCTGCATTGCATTCTTATACCCATCTCGTGCAGCTACGCGCTTAAGGTAGGCTAGGATATTTGGATAGTCACTAAGATCGTACTTTATAAAGCAACGCATCGTCGTAAGGCTAGTCACGTTCATGATATCAGCCGCAGTGAACTCCTCGCCCGCGAGCCAGGGTACCTCAGATAGACGCTGATCCATAAACCCAAGAACCTGCTTCCGCCTAGAGTCGTTTCGTTTTATGACCTCATTATCTTCCCCTAGCCCTGTCCGGGATAGTGATAAAGCCAATAATAGCGCAGGCTGTAAGGTACCATTCGCGAAATCTAGACTTATCGTCAGCCGCAAGAACATAGGGTACCTAGTTTTCCTACATATAGCATATAGGACAAAACAATTATCTTACGAAACCAGTATAAATACTCGGCAAAGTCTTTTTGTCCCGGCTTAGCGACGAGTTTCCCATTTCCCCGAGTCTGCAATATGTACTCAATACAAGCGCCAGATTCAGCCAGTTTGATGCTTCCGTCTTCGATCACGGGAGCCGATCCGATGGGGTGCAAGGCCTTGTACTCCGGCGGGGCCCAAATAGGTGATCGATCGTACTTCTTAAGTTCGTAATCAATGCCAAGCTCTTCGCAGAGCCAGACAACTCTATCCGATTGCGAAACGCCGAGATGGTGAACTATGAGAGTCATTTTTAACAGAGGTCACGATAGTCACAGTGTATTTGAGATATGGCAAAATAGTAAACAAGATGTCATATATATAAGGTACACTCACCTCCCAACATCATTACATTAATGAGTCATGAGAGGGGTAGATTGGTAATTAGTTCACCCCTAACACCGGTAGGCTTCTCTTATATACGTAACCTTGAATCTAACCAATCGATTAGCTCAGAACTAAAGCCTCCATCGTAATTAGCATCTATAGAACAACCTTAGAAGCACGTTGGTGGCGCGGGTGGTACTATCTTAGACAAGCTAGCTTTGAAGATCTCTCAGGGGTACTACAATATAATAATCATCAAACTAAGAGAGCTAATAACACTAGTATTAGATATACCACATTACCTACATCAAGTCTTGTCTAAAAGCAGTCATGCCAGTAGTAGGTAAAGGTCACGACGTTCGTCTAAACCAAGCCTTTAACTATAATTAGCAGCGTGGGCTTAAACGTTATTGAGTAAAGTCTATCTGATAGTATGGACTAAATATTCTATTCTTAAAAGAAAACTTGAGAGGTATCAAAGAAGAGACTCGATAAGTTGAGGGTTCTGCATTTATATATAAGTATTTCTTAACCCTGTAAGTTAATACCCAAATAAAAGGTTTCGAGGTTGAGTCATTATCTACTTAGAAAAACGATGAGAATGCGATTCCGATTAATACTGAAACGTGGGCAACAGATCAGTTGTTTATACTATAAGTATGAGTATCCCGCTTTAGCAGTGTTATGTCAGAAGCAACAAGTGTAGATCGAGAGCATATACCAACAATAGGGGTAAATGAAACTTAGGCTATCTTTCCCAGACGTATTTCGCTTCTATTTCTGATTATTTACGACTCTAATAGCAATACTCTAAGTTGTATTTTCTTATTATGTCACCAAGTAAAGTAAAGAAAAGTTTTGATATAAATGGTTGCCAGTTTCGCGCGAGGCTCTGCTTCCTTCTAATTCCCCGCTACCCTCTATGGTTGGCAACACGTGGCTGTGCGTGCAAACTCGACGTATTGGAGGTCGGAGGGCCGCCGAGATTGGTCGCACAGCATGCCAAACGAGGTCCTCGCGTCCACTTCTTATAGGTGCCCAGGCTGAATTCTCGATCCCCAAAATACCACATCACCCCGCCTAGCTTTACAAGTTAAAAGAACAATGGATCTTCTCTCATCATCGTAGCCGAAAAGTAACCACCTACAACTACATATCTATGAATTATTGTCCGGGGGCATGCTTGACCCGGCATTTTTCCAAGGAATAAATGCCCGGCGTGACAGCATCGTCGGTAACGGCAACCTCAGTTCGTAGGCCACGCGAGCCCCGTGAGATCGCCACACCACGACCACATCAGCAGCTAGCAGGCTGTATACTATGGCTACCGCCTAAGCCTGAGTTACGAGAGGACTCCGGGTCTGACATTGAGGCGGACCGATGTAATCATCCGGTGGTAATCCTCTCACCACAAGCAGAAGATGGAAATGTGGTATATCTCATGGTGTGTCCTCTTGATATACGAGACCTGTAGTCTCGGTGTTATCTACGTGACCACTTCGTTCTAACGACCGAAATTTTAGATCACGTCACTAAAGGGTACAGAGCTCAAGACTCGCTTTAAGCATGATCAAAATCTTAGGCTTGAACACATCCCTATCCGGCCAAGCCACCCGCATCCAGACAATGGAATGCTCCTCAGTCTCGATGATGTGACACTCGTGCTGCGGAAGAAATCTTATGTCAAGACGAAGACGCAGTACCGCATTCAGATCGCGTCCCTACGGCCCTACGAGCGTCGAGGACCTGAGTATATTCTATCGCGCAAATCTTACCAAGAACTTATCAACTATGCCAAATTCACACCTCCGGCTCCTCATCCCTCCTTGAATAATGTCTCTTCTCCTAGTCGTGTATGGGGGTACGGTCAACCCGTGCCTATTACTCGGGAGCGTAGCGGTAGCTATGGCGAGTATGTGTCTGCTCAGAGACGCTTAGAAAGTGCTGCAGTGAGCCCGCCCCGCGCTCACTATGTACCGACCACGAATACGAATCCATCCCAGTACGTTCGTACCGCTGTTCGGAGCGAACGAGATCCACTGCTCGCCCAATCATCGTATACATATTCTCGCAGTTCATATCCCAGCTATCCAGGAGGCTATCCGAGCAGCTATTCAAACAATAACCCGCCATACACGTATAGAACCTCGGCCCGAGCTGGACACCAGAGCTCGGCACCTCCGGTACCGTTCGACTCGGAGAGAGCCTGGAGGAGGATAAAGATACTCTTCTGGGTTTTCGCAGCGCTCATAGGAGCGTATGGAGCGTACCGTGGTGTGACCTGGTTAGTAGATGTAGCTAAGCAGGCTGGTTTCGTGGTTAAAAGTGGCATCGAGCAGACCGGAAATAAAATTGGCATCTTTTGGTCAACCCTAGCGAGGATAGGTACTCCCTAGGGCTTGCTCTCTCCTTTCCCCTTCTACTTCTTATGTTTCGGGTATCTTGTGAGCTTTTCTAGCTATAATCTCACGATTGTATGGATGGATATGGGACGGAATCGGTAGCAAAACGGAAAATGTACAATTGGCATTTTGTATTTGAATAGGCTTATATACGGGGATCTTCACGATATGAAGTAGAATGGCGACATCGATTAATGAATTCCATTACTCATTTGTTGCTGGGACCTCAGTATCAGAGATATCGCAATTCTTTATATATTGCTGAGGGGAAGAAGTCTCTTTGCAGTCCGGCGTAAGTGTCGCCGTAGCAACTTGTCTCACAACAGTTCTAGATTAATACTTAGTAGTGTTCATGTCACGTAACTATCACTGACAGCTCGCAGTAGGCAAGAAGTGGAAAGGGACAGGTGAGAGAGTGCGGAAACAAGCGTACCGGTCATCGCAGTTCCAGGTCTGGTTTACTCTTAATTTCCAGCTGTCGTCCCAAAGGAAGTTTGCGCCGGTGCTTATAGGGTACTCGGATCCGTCAACCTCGTAGTTTCGGTCTGAACATTTAAACCAATAATTGCTAAGGTCCGGCCATACATTGTCGTGCTCGACGTTTTGGAGGCCGCAGCCAGTTGAGACACCGTTGGCGTTGTTAATCACCTCGAATGCAAGTTGCGTCGAATTGGGAAATGCATCGATAGCATATGGGGATGTTTCGACCCTAACGTAAATTGCACTTTTAAGGGAAAATGTCGTTGTCGACGCTTCGGTACAAGACTGTGCCTTTTTGGAGGATGATAATTCCTGACTAGACCCTGCTTGGACGAACGATTGCGCAAACGGTAGCGCTAGGAGGAGATGGCACGGGTGAGGCATTGTCGATTCGTATTTCTAAGAAGAAATCGAAGTATAGCGAACGTATCTGCCATGTCCTCCAAGGTACGGATCTATTGGTAGTTTTATCATATTATCGGTTCCTGAGTCCGGGTAAAATCACCGTTCCTATGATCTTATGATCTTACGATCTAGGTAGTATCTTTCTCGTCCTTCCTATTCTACGACTAAGATCCTGGTGTCAAAGTGTTTGTCATGATATGCAGCGGAGTCGGATATCCCGGTCGACGTCACATTATCTTGGGTTTATCCACAACGGGTACTCGCGTTGGTGGTAACACTATGTAGGGTTCCTTATATGGCCAATGATGTCTGTTTGATTGGCTCGATGGTACCGGTACCAGATAAAGGGTAATACGACGCGTGTATTCACAATAAAGGATCATGGTCTCAACATGGTCTTGGTGCAAACCGACATGGTCGACATGGATTGCCTATCTTGTTACATATAGCAAGTGAACCCCTGCATGTAGATTATGAAGACTTACTTTTTGACCTTCTCCCTAGAGCCTCTTCTCTAGATCGATCACCTAGTCCCCGATTAGGAAAAAAAGTTCTACATCAACGAGTGAGACCTGATCGGCCTGTATCCTGTATCCTATGCGCCCTGACGCCCACTCCGATCCTTAAACCCCGCAAACTCACATGCTCGAGTAAACTCTCTCAATAAGGACTAAGTTATAAATTGTTAGCTCGATTAGGACTTACTTGACCTAGATAATAGATTAGATCCAACAACTCACCTTGAAATCATGATCTGCCAACGACATAAATATGTCTTTCTGGTGGAGTTTAAGCTGCATGACCCGAGGGCTTTTGATCCCGAACGCGACGCGCGCTAAAAATCTCGGATCGTCCCGGACATGGCAGACATCAAGAATCTTTTGAATGCCAGCAATGTCGACAGCTGGGGTTGGCTTCGGAGGTAATATGATGCGTCTCCCTGTTAAACAGCGAGAGCAATGTCCACATCTGGTTTTCCCGTCAGGTAATCCCATTCCAAAATGCTCAGCTAGAGCTAGAGCGAAGCATTTGTCGCCTGTGATTAAATCAGCTACTTGCTGCGTTCGCTGCAACGCATCCTCTTCTCGAGCTTCCATATCGGCATAGAGCTTGTCGGTGATGGCTTTGATTTCTTGTGGTGTGCGAGGAAGAGTCTCAAGAACCCTAAGTTTGTTTTCAACGCCGCTCTTTTTGAGCATGATGATTCCACTATTGTTGTACTCCTCGAGCTTCCTTACTAGGTCGGTACGGAGTAGTCCAGTTGAATTTACGATATCAATTATATCGACATCGTATAGCTTACCGGACTTAGCCTTTCGGGCGTGCTTGTAGATGGCTTTACCCTCGGGAGAAGAGTCCTTTTTGGCGGTGTAGTGATATTTCTCCATTGCTTCGAACTTGTAGGAAGTATATTCTGGAGTGACTGACCTGACTAGGCCAAACCGAAGCTCCAGTGTTGCTAGCAAGATGGCTAGAGGATTCGCTCGGATGTCGTAGTCTCTACCTAAGGCTGTCTGATTGAGTTTAATAATATCGCCCTCCTGCGTGCGATCAACTTCTCGGTGGAATATATCTTCTAACAACCTATGTAGTGATTGCCATGATGGTAAGTCGCCTCGAGCAAAGTTTTCTCTTATGTAAAAGTCATAGGGACAGATATAAAACATGCAATGACTTGTTTCCCCATCTCTTCCCGCGCGCCCGATCTGCTGCGAATATTCTTCTACTGTGCTGGAAAGATCGAAATGAATGACGTTTCGTATGTTGGGCTTGTCAATGCCCATACCGAAGGCAATTGTAGCGACAACTATAGTTATACGATCAGCCATAAAGTCGTCTTGGATTTTCGCCTTTGTTTCTGCCTTGAGGCCGGCGTGAAATGCAACTGCGTTAAAGTGTTGGTCAACTAAATCATCCGCGAGCAATTCCGCTTGCTTTTGGAGAGTCACGTAGACGAGAGTAGGCCCGGGATGTTTTCGCAAGAAATGGAACATCTTTGGATACTTCTCCTGCTTCGTTCCCGTGTATTCGGCTAGTAAGTGTAGATTAGGTCTGTAGGGAGATGTGCGAAATATATTGGATTTCTTAATGTCGAATGCCCTTGCAACATCATCAACGACGCGAGGTGTTGCTGTAGCCGTGAGGCAGACAACTCTTTCGGCATTGATTTCTTGGACAAAGCGGGCCACTTTGAGATAGTCCGGACGAAAAGAGTGTCCCCATTCTGAGATACAATGAGCCTCATCCACGGCGACCAGCCGAATACCTCCAGGAACATGCTTCATACTTTCGACGAAGCCTTCATTATTGAGTCTCTCGGGCGCGCAGTAAAGCAGTTTCAGTTGGCCCTCTCTGATGCCAGCCATTATCTGTTTCTGCTGTTCGTAAGTTTTGGTAGAGTCCAAACAAGCAGCAGCGATACCTTTACGCAGTAAGGCATCTACTTGATCCTTCATGAGAGCAATCAGAGGAGAAACAACGATGGTTATACCCGGATTGGTGCGAGCCTTTCTACTATCCACAGCATCTATTTTTTCAAACGCAACTGCAGGTATCTTTGAGTGAAGCAAGCAAATGTCAGCGTGTTAACATCGACCGAGAAGGAATAACTCAACTTGATAGCATAGCGATTTACCGGCGCCCGTAGGAAAGACGACGAGCACATTCTCTTGTTGTAAAGTGGATACAATAGCAGAGAACTGCTCGTGGCGGAAGTCTTCATAACCGAAGTTTTCCTTCAAGATCGCCTTTGCAGTATCTCCGAGGAATACTGTCTTGTTGTGTTCTACTTTGGGTTGTTTGGTTAGTCGAGCTTGATGATTCTGTTCGTCATCTAGCGAACGTTCGCGCTTGATTCCTGTAATCAAGTTTTCCGCATTTATATCACCCAATAAGTCATCTCCGGAATCATAATCCGACATGGTGGATATGATGGGTATATGGTTATGGTTATGGTTATGGTTATGTTTGTGATCGTAGTTGTGTTTGTGCACGCAGAGCTTGCTAGAATAACAGAACGAGTGCCGTAGTGGAATACGTCTGCTACTTAAGACTCGATTGTTGATATTGTTTAGTACGTGTATCTTTGAAAATTGTAGCCGTAGCCGTAGCGGCAGCTGCATTTGAATTTGTTTTCCTTCAATCTCAGGAGATTCCTAAGGCAGTTGCGTTTATTGAGTGATCGCCAACTGACCCGTACCTGGTCCAACCTTCCTCTAGGTACAGGTAGGTTAGGTACGTAATCGGTAATGGCCCATGCTTTAAGTTTAATTAGGTACCTAATATGTACCTGTACCTTAGGTACTTAGGTGTGCATAGGTACCTTGATGCTATTCGCATTCTTGACGCACCAAACTACTAGTTACTTCGTAATGAGTATAATTCATATATAGCGAAACTTTTTAACATCAATTGATATGCTACTTGGCTGCCTTACTCCTACAAAGTGACCATTACGCCCCGTAATATGCTTGCTTGTCTTCGTATACATGAACGCCACGCCGTGATGCCCATAATCGCCCCCTTATCCCTGATTAATGTTCACTTCATCGTGTAGAGATACCTTCACAACCTAGAGTGTTGGGTACCTAATGTTCCAATCCGAATAACACGAGTATTCGGATGGTCTCTAAAGCTTCGATTGGTACATATTAATAGCAACTGGTGAACGTATGCTGCCCATGCATAACTTATTGCTTTCCCTCCTCGTCGTTGCAAATTATCGTAGTCGGCCATCACCACAACCATAAAAATTATCGGCTCGCGATATCGTCGTTAATAAACAACTCCCTTATCAATATAACTGGAGTGAGATACTTAATTTGGTTCGGCAGATACCGCTCCAATCAATGATATAAAATATAGAAACACGTCTTAGAGCGATGCCTTGCGCTTTCGCTGCACATTGAAGCTTAAGAACTTGGAGCGTGATAGGTAGCTTCGAGTTGGCAAAAATCCTCCGGCAATAATGTACGTTCCAACTGGGTGAAAGAGAGTCTGTAACCTCAGATCACGTCCTCGCCGCGGAACCAAATATATGCGCACAACTTGACGAGTTTAGTTGTCTTCTTCCATGATTCTTTGCACTTCGGGCGCATTTAGCAGGATACGCTTTCCGAGTTCTTCAGCAGGTTTGCCATCACGAACGGCGCCGAAGTCGAGAATCTGCCATTACATTATCAGTCAGCAAGTTATACGCTGCGTTACAGATTTAGTGCTTCAACTTACCTCGACATACGTCAAGTTATCCCGCTGGACAGCCGCTACGCATCGGCGTTCATCAAACCTGACCTGCCAGACTCCACTAAGGTCTGTGAGAAGGTCTTGGATGCATTCGCCTGAGCGGATATCCCACATCTTGAGGGTCCGGTCGCTGCCACTAATAACTTTGCGCCCGTCATGTTGGAAACAAGTAATCGCGCCAGTATGGGCCGTCAATGTCGACTGGCATCGCCCGCTCTCCGGGTCCCAGATACGAAGGGTGCTGTCCGCCGCCGCCGAGACCAGTCGCTCGTCACGAAGATCAAGCAACCCAACAAGCAACGAGTGCCCTTCGAGCGTGTGCAAGCACGACCCGGTTTCCAGGTCCCAAATCTTCACGAAGCTATCCATACTACCCGATATACACCTGTTACGGGCTACATCTAACACCACACTGTATACCTTTTGCGAATGTCCTTGTAACACATGAACCGTTTCCCCTGTGCTAATACGCCATACGCGGACGGTATTATCGTAGCTCCCACTGACGAGTGTATCGGCATGGGCGGCGATCGCCCGAACTGAGTGGGTATGACCTTGTAGTGTGCGGATGAAGTAAGGACAATCGGCGTCATTGGCTGGAGGTCCGGTCTGGATATATCTCCTAGAGCCGGACTCGGGAAGACGCCAAACTCGTAACTGACTATCACGGGATCCGGTAATGATTAGAGGTTTCGGCGGCATCATGACCGCCTGCCCGTTCTCTACCCTGCCGGTATCTGTCGGCATTAGGATTTGTAGGCATCGGACAGTACTAGTATGACCGTAGAAGACCTGGGTGCAGAGGCCTTTCTCGATATCCCACACACGGACGGAGCGGTCCGTTGAACCAGATACCAGGACGTTGCCTTCGTACTGAAGTGCCCATACCCCACCTTCATGGCCTTCTAAGCGACGACGGAGTTTACCAGTCTTAGTGTCGTAAACATGGATAAGCATGTCGTCGCTTCCGGTAATAATCTTGTCCTCGTCAAACTGTAAACAGGTAATTACGTGCCGGGGGTGAGCCGCGAAAGCGACATGGCTAGGCTTGACTTTGCCACTCGTCCAACTCTTGCGGATCATGTAGTGGCGACGATAGAGCGACTTGAATAAGTGAAGCTTCCTAAGGCTCGGAAGGCCGGTATGCGGGTCAGGAACCGCCATGGCTGCGGCGTTTGCAGCAGACATAGGACCTTCGGACTTGTGCACCCGTTCTCCCGTATATGTTTTCTCATCCTTTGTCATCTCTTGCGCGCTCGCTCGCCGTTTCGACCGCTCAGAGCTAGTGATGCTGTTCAGAGCCCGCTTACGCTTGGATGTCCGTAGTTTCTGTGGGGGATCGGGCTTCGAGGAACGTATCAGTTCGGTCTCGGAGGAAGTAAGTCTAGCCTGGGTGCTATAGTCACGCTCGCAACCTTCAGGTCCCACCGGGTCTTGCCAACCCCAACCTTCTCTAATAGCTCTATCGAGCTCTCCGGGGGCTAGGGTAAAGCCGTCGTCGTCGAAGAGCTCTTTCCAACCTGTCTCATTACTATCAATAATTCCTCGCCAGTGTTTCGAGACCTGAGCCGCGCGGCAAAGGTCACGATGGTCTAGGTAAGAAAGGATGTGTAAGGTCAGCTCAATGGGCAGGTCCTTCAAGACGTCACATTTAAGGGCTGGGTTGACCACATCAGCAACGATGTGGAGGGTTTTTCTGGAACATCTGCGGAGAAACTGATACATCATGAATGACTTCATCTCGGCAGGCATAGAGTCGAAAGTTTCCAACATCGAGCGGGTGTCCATGATTGTAGGCTGGTATTGCGAAGGATCTTTAAATCGTCTGACGACCAGAGACGAGGGTTCCATGGTTGAAGACGGGCCGGACTCATAATCCATCGAATTCTGACTTTCCTCTTGGAAAAGAACGGACACGTCCTCGTCCGCCGCGTTGTCTCCGTCGTCTTGATCGAGCCCACGGAATTTGGAAGCCTGAAGGGTTGGAGATAGGCGCGGGCTGGGCAAGCTTGCATCTTGAGCAGCGAGTGTATTGATGGGTCTTGGGTGGTGCAAGGCACGAATAGATTGCTGGAGAGATTCATCCGCGTCCACATCACCAAATGGTTCAGCCTCCGCATCCGCATCGGTAATCGGTGGCGTGGCCACGTTGCTGCTAAATACAGTGTGCGAGTCGCTGCCCGAAGGGCTCGAGACATCAAAAAAGGACTGGGATTGACTGGCATTATTGGATTCTGGGGTTTCGAAAGAATCGAGATGTGTACTTCGAAGTTTGAGGGATCGGTTCGCGTTGACCGGAGTCGGCTCAGATGTGTCGGGAGTAACAGGGAAACTACTAGTTAATCTTGTTGTGTTGTTCTTGATAGCATCCTTACGGGAGGCATTAGTTAGCGAGCGGCGCAGCTTATCTGACACGGCGTTAGGGAGGCTTGGTACGAATGATCGTGTTGACTGCTTTTGCGAACTTTTCCGGACAGATCCGCCGACAACGGGGGAGGCGGCTCGAGAGTTCACCCTATGGGCTCTGCGAGACGATGTAGGTAGATAAGGTTTCGATGAGCGGCGACTAATTTGGTGGTGAGTAGCATCTAATTCCGGCTCCGCCTTGATATCCTCGACGGATCCATCACTAGCAGACTGTTGGGACTAAAGTATAGTTTAGACTGTTAGATAAAACGAAATAGAGGCAGAATGGAATAGAGGGGCAGAACATACGTCTTGCTGATATTCAACATCGACATCATCAACAGGCCAAGATATGCCGCCATAGTGAGCAACGTTGAAGCTGAAGTTAGCTAACTCAGGAGGGGTTGGTTTCTGAGCTAGAGGATATTCTTTGGAGTCGAGGGAGGAGAGCGGCTTCGACTCTCTAACAAGAAGAGGCGGATATGATCTCTTAGTAGTAGTAGTCGTAGTGACCGTCTTAGTCTCGATGCACTCGGCAACACCAAATTTGAGCTGTGGATGCGAGAGAGAGTCGGTGTCGTCAAAATTGACCGAAACTGTCGTCTGACTGGATCGAGGCCTTCCAGACTCCATCCTTTCGTCCGCGGATGGTGCCTGTATCCTCATACTATTTCTATACAGCACTGAAAATCATGTATGTCAAGAAGCTTGTTGTGATAGCATGAAATGAGAAGCTTTCGGTTCGATATTAGAAGTCAACTGAGCGATTATAGGTCCAAGTCGAAAATCGGAGCCGCAATTGAAATCAAAATCGAGGTCGAAGTCGAAGTCTAGGACAGAAATTGAGGATAGGAGGGTGGGGGTGGTGCTTGAATACCTAAGCAAAGGAGGCGAAGAGAGGGATGCGAGGAAAATGGAAACGCAGTAGTTCAAACAGTGATAGTCGCGTGTTTTCTCTCTAAAGGATTGCCGAAGGGTTGCCGAAGGGTTGCCTATGGTATTCGATTTTACCCTTCTAATGTTGTGATTAGAAGAGTGTTTTTTTTATTTATTTCCAAACAGAACCGACTGGGGCGTAGGTGTCTTTATTGTAGGCGTGTTTTGAACGCGCGCATCAACGCAAGTATGCGTGCGTGTGTGTGTGTGTGTGTGTGTGTGTATGTAGGTATGTATATGTACCTAGTGTGCGTATTTTCGTATGTGTATGTGTATGTTTAGACAGTTGGGTGGTTGAAGGTTTTTTCGGATTGTATGTAAGTGGATTGTAAGGACTGTACATAAAAGTGGTAATTTGGTGGTTGTTAATGACAGTGGTAATGGCAAGTGGTAATAGTTATGGGTAATGGGTAATGGCAAATGGCAATGGCAATAGTACCTAGTCAGGATTCAAGGAGGGGAGGCGTCGACCGGCGCTGCTAAACAGTTGGTGCCAGCAATCGACCCCAGTATTATTCATAGAAGGTACATCCAACCATACTATGGCACGCTAAGCATTACATGTACTTTTTTCTACCCACATCATGTAATCCGTACCTAATCCATTTACCAAGCGCGCCTCCTTCGGCTGAGCATACCTATGTCCCTATGTCCCCAGACCCACAAGTAAAAATTAGCAGCCGAAGGCAGTAAAATGACCAAAAGAACCTTGAAAGTAACTTAATTAGGTAAGGTGGGTAGGGTAGGTACTTACATGTATGTACTAATAACTTTGAAGCCAGCAGAACTCTTCGTTATTAAATAGGTTGGTTAGGTACATTCTAGGAACAACAACGCGCTAGATCAATCCTTAAAAAACTTGGAATGTTCAATGAAGTATTTTATAACTATTACTACCTTGTACCTAAGTATATTAGACTCCGCAGCCAGTTATAAAGTACCACCTGGTTTTCCATTCCTGGGGAAAAGGTTGACCTTGCATACAGATATTCAGATGACCGTTAAGGTACCTACATGTAATATATTAATTTTCCTCCATCTTCCCACGGGGTCCGAATGGCTGACTTCCATCGTGACCATCACGCATACTACATACATGTACCTATTAAGTCAAACCTTTAATAACATATTCTTTTTTCCTTCTAATATTTTTCCCCTTATCCCTCGGCCCGTACACGTCAAACTGATTTTTAATGGGGTACATATGATTCCTTGATCTTGCATATAATTCTATGTAACTCATTACCGAGGGATGAGAGGAACATTTAAAGACTATTCGTAAACGCATACCAGTGTTGTTCTTTATAAGAGAAATTCAACCTCGCCCTACTCTCAGCATATGCTTAGGTTAAGTACCTAAGGTATCTAATTAGGAAACATACCTAATCATAAGATGTGCGGTTGATTTTATAATAAATCTATTTGATATATTTGGCCTCGGATCTCAGAGGTAACAGAATTCATAACACAGAGTATCATGGCATCATGACAGCATGGTATCATGTTGGTTGACAGATAGAGAAAAATATAAGTATCCGCCTAGCTAAGACAGGAATCCGCCCGGTCACATCAAAAGCAGCCAATAGTTGCACGTCTTGCACGTATACTGCACAAACGAAACGCAGAGGTTAGGTACTTATAGTACGTCTTTTTTCTCCTTTTTCTTTTCTTACTTTGCCCTTGTGGGATGAAACTGCATGGCTACATGGCTGCATGGCACTATTTACATCTAATAACTCCAAGTTAGTCTAGGTATAAATTCCAATTCTTAGCGTACGTAATGTATGAAGTATGGACGTCCAACGTAAAAAGATCGTGTAAAGCATGTTTACTTTTATATTACTTTTATCTACATCTATGCCCCGGGTTATATATTACCCTCTTCGGCTTTTCGCTCTGTCCAAAAGACCATATTGATTAGCTCTGGTTAGATATCAAAATCCGGAGATCACGCAAGATAACATGTTCCAAGTCCAAAGAAACACGTTTTGTTCATCGCCGCTTAGGATAGTGGACGGCCTGACCATTATGGTGCCCGTTAAGAACCCCTCGTTTTAGCCATGCATGCAAGGTTGTTCCGCCAATCAAATAACGACTTTTAGAACTAACTAGTTGAAATATCAAATATGTTGGGAGGCCGTTTTGAGAAAAGGAGTTGGATTGGAGAAAGTCAACTACGAACGTATAAGGGGAGCTGCAACAATTGCATGGAATCACTTTGCAAGCCTGCATGAACTGGGATGCCCATCACCCAATTACTTTCGAGGATAAGCTTGTATCTATTTTATTCTCGACGCTGATTAACTGTTTGCATCGATGATTTGTTTGTTGTAGCATTAAGGAGAGGCCTAACATCTATACTATAGGTAGGTTGAGTTATGAATAGCTTCAGAATATAATTACGTAGGTAACTTGTAGACAACGTAAAGATGTCTAGTTCCAGCTGGGTATTTTAACCACGCCGTTTGGCTCTATTTGAATAGTATGTCTAGATATAGTCGACTCTTTATAAAACTTAACTCTATAGCTACCTCAGCAAACACACACAACATAGTAAAAAGGGCACATTAACACAATATACCTAACCTAGGGGTTCATCTTTTACGGAGTAACGAAATAGACTACCCTAACTATTATATAAATAGGTAAGACTGAAAAAATTCCGGGCTCAAGCAAAGCAACGCAACTTGATGTGGCTTGGTATCAACCTTCCTACATACAACACGTAAGCTCTCACAAAGGTAACGCCAAGACAATAGCTTAAGAGCGGCTGCTGCGAGCTCCTATCTAGCGCAGCTCAGCTGAACATATTTTAAGTCGCACCGTTTATAAATGGAAAAAAAAAATCATGCCTCGTACTCATTCGTCGCTTAAACCGCATCCTTTGCAACTTATCACCGTTCTATCCTTGAGTGGACGCGTTACGTTAAGAAGAAAAGGTCGACGTGGGCGTATTCTCCGTCACCATGCGCTGCATAATATAAGCCCCGAGGAGTGGAACAGCTGAACCTCATCTTAGTAAAAGGACCAGCACAGTTACTTGCTTAGAGGCGATATGTCTGCTCCTGGATCATACCGCCCGTCGCTACCACCTCGAACCCCCCAGCCGCCTGGGTATACTGATGCTTCTCTGGGATATCCGGATACCGGCTATCCACTGCTATCTCCTGAATCTCCTTCTCGGAATCCGGCCTACGTGCCCAACTCTCGGCCTCCGCCGATCCCTCCTAGACCTCCTGGCTATGAAATCACTACTCTAACTTGTTCTAATGAACAATTCCCTTTGGATTTCTCTACCCCCCCACCTCCTCCGGGACCGCCTCCAGGAATTGTGAGACCGGTTTCTGCCAACCCCCCGTCATACCCCTATCATTATCCCGAGGCACCTAGTTTAAACCAAGGCTGCAACTGCTCACGCGCACTATCCTCCAATCTCCACGGCCAGAATGGTTCAGCGAGTATCCCACTACCTCCGCCGAACTCACATGACAAACCTGCCCTACAACGGCCAGCTAGTACCCATTTTATACCCCCATCGCATCCGCCGGATATAAGACAACATCTGCCGAGTCCTGCTCCTCAAGTTCCCGCAAAGGAAACTATCAAGATACCGCCTCTAGTGCATACAACAGCTATAGGAACTCCCGATGTTCGACCGTCGGAAAATAACACGAGTTCTTCAGCGACGTCGCAGCCCGCCGATGCGCTGATATTATCTTTATCTCCTAACCAGCTCCTGTCGCCATCTTCAGAGTATTCACAGGCTCAATTCCAATGTATATGTGTAGAAAATCGACCGCCGACTAACTTGCCGTCCGTTTCGCATCATACTTCTCAACCCTTGCCATCTCCTCCAGAGGTTTGCCCAACTATTCCCATAATCACCTTCCCCGACCCTCCCGTGCCTAGTTCAGATTGCTATATTTACGAGTTACCAGCAGAAAATGAAATTAAAGGCAAGCCTGTTGCACCATCCGCAGAAGGCCTACCGGCTCTTGCGCCACCTGCGGTAACTTCCTGTATTGACGATCCGGTAACGTTCGCAACAGACTGGTACTGGCATCCTGACGCACCTGGGTTTTTGATATGTTCGCGCTGCTACGTCGACTACATCTACGGGACCAAATTTTGGAATCTTTTCCGAAAGGAGAGATTCAGCGGTGGTGAACCGCGGATATGCCGGTTCAGCAAGCCGAGAATGCGAAATCACCTACTTAAAGATGCTCTCGCAACAGGATCATTGGAGCCGGCGTTAGCTTGGATGCGCTCCCGGTCACAAATCCCCGACTGCAAAGGTATAGAAGGTGTTAAAGGAAACGTCGGTATCAAGTGGTACATGGCGAGATTAAACGATATACCAGATTTTGTATCTTGCGAAGCTTGCTACGAAGACCGTATTTTAACTAACCACTTTTTTGTGAACTTTGAGCCGGCACAGTTACAGCCAGCAGAGGATATCGTATGTAAACCCGAAAAATTGCCTCCCTCCTCCCCCTTCGTGCTTCTCCCTGTCTCAGGAGCCTCCAGTATTTATGTCATGAGTTGACTAAGTAATGGCCACTCCTAAGACATGTCCAGACCTCTTAATTCCTTACTAGAAAGTGATTGTTGACTCTCGTTGTTGTAGTGGAGCTGCGACATAGCCGTGCCTTTTATTGAGAAGGAGTATGAGGCCAGGGGCAAGGTCAACGACTGGGCCGGCTTCGTAAGTGAGACGAAGACGCGAATGTCCATAAAGCCTTGCCCACAACGCAACCTAGAGTTAACCTACGGCAGGAAATGGTTCGTTCCTAAGCGTGGTCCTGAAGGTTTGGTGCTCTGCTCGGGATGCTATTGCGACCAGGTAATTCACACTGGTGAAGAGGCGTTATGGGAGGTGGATGAAAAACTTACAAAATCATACGATACCAGAGTCCGGTGTAGTATGGGTATCTTTAGTATTAGAATGGCTATGGCTTGCGCGCACGACGTTAATGACTTTCAGGTATTCTGGAGATCTATACATAAGCTCGCCAACGAGAAGTTTTGCGATGACGACGGTATCGAAGATGGTATTTGGTACACACTGCCCTCTGACCCGTCCAACTTCGGCATCTGTGCCGGATGTTACGCGGCCATCGCAGAGTCCCTCAATATATCACGTTTCTTTGTACCAAAACCTGATGCACAGCCGGCTGGGACGAAATGGCGATGCTGTTTTAACCTCTCGCATCCTCGATTTAGGCAATTCATGCCACGGCTCTTAGAGATGTATCATACACATGATCCGACCTCGTTCGACAAGTTTGCATCAGTATATTGTTCTATACCGGTGTGCCCTCGCGACGAAGATGCGCAGAACAAGCACTGGTACGGATGGATGGACTGCACGATTTGTCCGGAGTGCTATCAAGACTTCGCGCAGCAAAGCCCTCTGGCCGCGAATATGGAACTCGACAACACGGTGTTAGAGACCAACACAATGTGCGAAATGTATAGCCCGCGCATGCGCGACATTTATATAAAATGTAGCAAGGCATCGCCTCCTGACGTCAGGGAGCTACTCTCATGTTCAGTGCAGCGGCGTCTAGTCTGGATGCAGACAATTCCACAAATGCGGATGATGTTATTCCAAGCAAATATGGCGCTGAATCAGCAGCGGTTTCTTAACGTTACGAGCTCGCACTACAACCAGGTCGGCATGCTGCAAGATATTACTTACGGACACACGCACACATATGGCGCTGCCGGAGTTGGTTATGGCTACGCGAATGAGAATCTCCTGCAGGGCGCTGTGTATGCCCAGCAAGCCGCGCAAGCTGGTGTTAGTGCTGCAAGTGGTAGCGCGGTTCTACTTGTCGGACAGCTAGAACAGCAGTGGAGAGCTGTTGAGTAGATGGTAGGTTTAATGATACAGTGTGTAGGTGATTAGTATAAGTACTGATGTCTAGTAATATAGTAATTAAATTTGGGACTGGAATAATGGTTACCCACGGGCTTTCATATTGCCCCTGAGAATACTTCACCCTGTTAGTTCCTAAGGGATCGAGTGATTGGATTATTATACAACGGGTTTCACTTGATCAATGCTAAGGATGCCAAGTTTACAGGTCCCAGCAGGATGGATAAACGGGCGGTTTATTTCGTTTGACTCTTGGCGACCTTATTTAGGGTTGAACCGGAATGTTGTTGTCAACGGCGCTGGGGCTGACGGATCTCGCTTCTGTGTCTACAAAGATGTATGGAGTAAGATACTTAATCTTGGGACTGAGGCTGAGGCAATACAATAATACTACTGTAATAATACTACTGTGCCGCTCCTGGTGCGTCATTCTTTTGCAACTTTGACGGGGTATACATACGTGACTCGCTTCTCTTCTGTTTCATCCGTATTAATTACAGGACCCTGTCCCGATTGATTTGCCTGGGTTTGGGTATCGATAGTGTCAGATTCAAGATGAATAGAGAGATCAGACAGGCTCATACAATTGACCGATTCGCTGATTTTCAAGAGTTCCAATTAAATAAAAAAAGGGAAGACAAAGAATTTACCCCCGAACACGGGGATTTTGGTCTAGTTCCCTACAAATTAAGTATATTTCCCCTTCTGGCCATTCTGGTCCAAGAACGTTACCATCTGAAGGGAAACAAGGAAACCCTATCCTAGTCATCCGGCCGTCCGTCCCGTTGAACCAAAGGTTTAGCGGCTCCGTTCGTTCAGGGTAGTTAATCGCTTAGTCTCATAAATCGAATGATACACTGGCAAGCTCCGAGGTTTCGCTTTTTAACATCTCGATGAATTAGAAGATAATCACTTTGTCTCCTTTACAATATGAAAATACTCCAAGAAGACAATTAATAGCATCTAGGTATCCGACAATACGTAAGTCTTCCTTTCCGAAGTCCATAAGCTTGATGATATTGCATATCAAATACAATGTATTGAACATCTTCAAGTATCGAGCCGCCTTCCCCGGAATCTCACCGTAGCAAAGACGAACTAATACTGAGTTTATTCTGTATAGGTCGGTTTGACTTCGAGAAGTCGTACAATACATTAGCAAAACTCGATTGGATCGCTTATGCCTCTATACCTCATTGCCTTATTTTATCAACCGTGTGGGGTGCATCCAGCATATGCTACCTCGGCCGGCAAGATAAATAAGGTGAAAGGGTAAAATAACTCGTATACCGGCAGCATTTCTCATTCTCAAGCCCAGAAGATAAACTTACCTATCAGCAAGTTATGCAAGTATAAATACGAGTATCGACGTTACATATCGCACTTGTCATTCTACAAGTGTTAATTAGTTCACGTGGGTACATCCCAGAGACTCGGAGTTAGACTCAGGGATCTTCCTAGCAGTAGGAAGAACGCCACATCCCTATCCTGAGAACGATTGGGTAAAAAATAAAAGGGTCCTGCGAGCTTCGTCCCGCCCGTCACCGATTTAGATTATGCACAAACTGGTTTTGCGTCTCCGACGGTATGGTCGATGCACGATGGCAACCGAAGATAAAAACAGCAAGCATCAACCTGATAGATCACTAGATGATATCTTAAGAGGGAAGGTATATATTGAAGAACTCCCTCCGGATATAGAACCTATTAGGAGGTTGCTGGAGAAATATAGCGGCATTCGCACTAGAGACATCGACGATCATGTTCATGAAATAGTACGTACCGTTATATTCCCCTTTTGCTAGATTTAAGCAAAGGCTTATTGTCATATTCAGCGAGATCGTCTCTGGGAGATTTATCCTTATGTTTACATCGGCCACTTTCGTTTCCTTTCCCTTGGGTTCACATTAGATCCTCGGTACCGGATAGCCTTAAATCGGTTACTCGCGCCCAAGTCGGAGGCTACATTTCTCGATGTGGGCTGCTGCGTGGGACAGGTATTGCGACAACTCACATTTGAGGGTGTAGATTCATCGAGACTGTACGGCACGGATTTGGAACCACGCTTTCTAGACGCGGGTTACGATTTATTTAAGGACCGAGACAAGCTCAATTCTACGTTTGTAGCTGGTGACATGTTGAGCCAGAACGGACAGATAGACGAAGGCGATGAAAGGTTAAAGGTGTTCGACGGCAAGATGAATATCATCCACGCGACTAGCTTTTTCCACCTGTTCTCATGGGAAAATCAAGTCCGGGCCTCCAGGAGAATGGTGCGATTTCTCGACTCGGACGACCCTGATGTCATGATTTTCGGACGCCAAGTGGGAACGACAATGCCCGGCGATAGAGAAGGGGCTGGAGGTTCTAAGAAGTTCTTGCATAACGCTGTAAGCTGGCAAGAATTATGGAACGAGGTCGGAAAAGCAACAGGGACCGCGTGGCGGACTGAGGTGAACGAGATGGATGAATCTGACATACATCCAGACGGTAGTACCGACGGAACGCTTCGGCGCATACGGTTCGGAGTTTTTCGGGCTTGAATACTGCTAGGGTTTATGTATAACTGAGCTTGATGTATATTAGTTGGCGTTCTCACGGATATATCCATAGGCGACTTGAGGGACTTGGAGCATACAGACTACATTGGAAGGGTAACGAGGTACGACTGAGTTTTTCTCCGTATAGACCTTGTGGCGTTATTTGCATTGCATACCAACAATATCAAAGTAACTATTAGTTAACTGGGCATCTATCACTATGTTCTTGGCCAGATTATCTGGCCTTTTAATTTCTCCATACGCATGTCATATATGAATAGCATCGAGGAGAAGATAGAAGGAAAGCATGTGAAGAAAGGGAGCAAAAGATATCACCTAGCTAATCAAGCTATTCTCTGGGTAACAAGCTCAAGGAACAACCCATTCGGAGAAAGGGTTTTGCTGTTAGCGAGACCATCCCACTACCTACCTTATGTAGTCACAATTTCTCCCTTTCTAGCTCTAGTACCTACCTGTCATATTGCTAGAACAGGAAGAGCGTTAAATTTGGAGAATAATTTATATTGTTATATGTTCCAATGTTAGATTTCCAAGGGGGACCTGATCTCAGGCAGATTCATAATTCAATTTGCTATGCTTGAATGCAGTTTTGCTCTCACTTCTTACTCAAATTCTCACATCCAGAGCTCTGAATAATGGCTAGTTGGCATATTTCTATTATCTTGGGCGTTTGAAACTGCGTTAGAAACTCAATTGTATGATAGAGGAGAATGATAGCAAAAGCTATGGCCCTGTACTATTACAATTGCCATCCGAAACAAGAAGACGAGAATAGAACGAGGGTGTCCCCAACCCAACACATTGGCAATCTTAGAATATTATAGTAAGGGTGCTTCACCTACGACGTAGGTTCACAAATCATCACGAAAGATAGGGAGATCTAATATGGGGATTGATGATCTTGACTTTCCCTAATTAGCTCCGAGTTCAACCTATAGTAGAGAGAGAGGACAAAGTTCTCTGGCTACTAACGCATGGTGCTAGCTCACACATCGGTACCGAAGAGACTACATACACACTTGGTGCAGCATATGGGAGTACCTAGCAAGCAACATGAAGGTGATCTGCAATCCTAATCTAGATATCTTCTGGGAGACTCTCATATACGAGAGTCAGGATGGACAACCATTCCTCCTCTTTAGCTTCCAGATGCTCTCTGAGGGCCACTTGATAGGCAGATAGTGTGAACGCTCCTCCAGAGAGTTGAGCATGGCGAGCAACCCGGTCATCCCAATATTGGGAGACATCGAAGTAAAGCTTGCGACACTCCAAGACGAGACGGATGCGGCGTAACTGGGTGTTAGTAAGTACACCCTCGCTGTAGTTGCGAATTCCAATCCATTGAAGGGTCGCCAACTCAAAGTTCTGGACCGACTCGAAGACGGCAAGCTTCCAGCCCACGGGATCCTGAAGAGGAAGAGGAAAGGTTCGTGTGGAAGAACTGACGGATTCATATTAATAAGTTTACAGTGAGGGTAACTTAGAAAGTTGGATATATTAGGTACTTACCTAGCAGACATTGTCGCGGAGGCACTGGTTTGGGAGACTAAGGTAATGATATAAGGCCTAATAGACAGCTTATAGCGCGCTTCCCAAAGAGTCTATGTAAATAAATGAAGGTTAGCTTGCTGATAACAAATAGAAACAAAGGCTAGAGACGACGCGTCGCGCCATAGAGCAATAGTATTTTCATGATTACACTTACCAGACCGACTTGACAGCGCGTCAAAATGCTTCGATAGGAATAATTGGCCTTTGGGTTGATGGTTGTGAATGATGTTTAGAGTGTAAGTTGGTCAATCGGCGACGAGAATACCCAAGAATAAATTGGCTTCGAATGACAATTGGAAGGTGGTCGGCGATCAGGGTAAGAACGTATAGGGAGGCGACAAATATAGACAGGTGCAAGCCTACAAGTAGGTATATGTTGGTAGGTATGAGTCGGCGAGGGAAGAAAGAATAAACCAGGAACTTCTCAAAGTAGAGGATCAACTGGCTGTCGGCGACGATAATAGTCAAGAACGATTCAGCTTAAAGGGGTAAGAATCAGGTCGGCGATGAAGGTAGACAGGTACGTGTCAATGATGAAGACAGTTAAGAACGTAAGAACGACTGAGTAAAGAGAGTAGACAAGAGCAAGTTGACTTTAAAGTTTGAATAGGAACAAGTTGTCACAGAATATAGACAAGGATGACTTCTAGTTAAAAAGATGAATAGGAAAGAGTCGGCGATGAAGGTAGTCAAGAAAAATATGGTGAAGAGGTAGGCAGTCAAGTCGAGTCGGCGTAAAAAGTAGATAGAAAGGAGTTGATGTAAAAGGTTGACAACAACAAATCGGCGACAAAAAAAAAGATAAGTGTGAATAAACTGTTTTAAGGAAGTCGCCGATTCCTTTGATTGGGATATTTTATTTTTACTAACTGGTGAATCTTAATTGGAAACTTGGTAGTTACCTCTTGATGCGTTGGAAGGTACGTGTGAACATAAATTAGGCTTCTATTAGAACTCTTCTGTTCATGCCGTCTGCCCAGGTAACTACCCCCATAACTAACCCCATGAGATAACGCAAGAACGAAGGGTGACCAATTAAAATTCAAGTGGGCCGTAAACTTATAAGGCATGTAGATACTAGAGTTAACATGTTGTAACTACCTCCTACCTGGGTAGCTGCACAGCTAGACTGGTATGCCCCTGAATAGGGGGAAGTACCTAACCTACAGGTAATAAATTCCGACACCATCACAACAAAATGCTACCTACATACATAGGAGGTAGGTACCTGTGATGGTCAAAAGTGATGCTAACAACCATACAATGTGAATATCATGTAGTATTTAGTACAATACAGTACAATGCAGTAGACTTAACGCTATGCCTTGGCGAAAATGAGGTAAAATCATAACAATTCCCTTGGCTTCCTTTCACCATATCCTTTTGGCCACCATCTCGTACCTCATCACCTTAGAAAGCCCATCGTCACCTTTCTCTTTGAATTTCTCCTCTGTCTTCCGCTCTCGTTCACGCATTTTCTTCAGTCCTTCCTTATCATCATCGTATATCCATTTTCTACGGTCGTCTCCAACCTCGACAGCGCCCCATGAACCAATACGCTTTCCCGGCTGTGAAAAATTCCCAGGCTCTGCCTTACCGGTCGCTACTGCGTGTTCCTTTCGTTTCATCACAGCGTACCGCTCCTTGGAATACCGTAGCAGAGCCATGCCCAGGAGGAGCTTCACTATAAGAAGTACAATCCAGGTGAGAAAGAAGAAGATAACCATTGTGAGAAGGGCAATAGCGTCATCTGAAGAGAAAGCCAGAAATGAACGGGTCTGGGACGACCCATACGGATTTCCATATACCGCCCGACCTAGAGCGTTCCTAAGAAGCGTGTCCAAATGCTCTAGTGCGGCAATCATCGCAGGCGAAGACGGTGTTGAAGACTCTACCGAAAGTTCCGTGGTCGACGTCGGAATCGGAGGGTTGATATGCGTGGCGAGGAACATGTGGTATACCTGGATCGAGGCCCGGATGAAGAGACACGATAATGGCAATAGTGGTAAGCCCAGTCGCCGAGTCAGAGATGGAGCCGAAAATGCCTATACGCCTATAGTGAGATATTGATTCAAAGCACACGCCATGCATAATAAACTTACATTAGTATAATAATCCTTACATAAGATATCCAACATCCTGCTGTAGAGGGTCGGCTTAACATTGTTGAATTTATTAATGAATGCGTGTTTTGCCCAATCGACCATCATCTCGATACCTATGACGACGAGAAAAGGCGAGAGTACCTCGCCGGAGAGTATCCATGACGGTAACACAGTGAAACTATTGGGCAAGCTTGAGCTGGTATGTAACGGTCCGGGTTTTGCAGCTCCGCCATCTATCTCACTTCCGGCTCCCAGCACAGACAGGCCTCCTACCTCCACGACGTTCCTCATACCAATGATTAATAGAATAATCCACAACTGAAACCGCTCAACCACGTCCGAACAGGTTAACTGGAAAAGATTCTCCTTTTCGATCCTCTTGAAAACGCTCCCTTTAATTTCCACGAATTGATTGGATATCAAAAGACTAAGAAGAGAATTCGAGTATGAGTTTACGGCAACGTTCAACGTGATGACTTGGTAGAACAAACACACGGTGTGAACGACATTATATATTAGCGAGAGAATAAACATCCCAAAGGGGAGAAGGACTTTAGATCGCCCGGAGCTATTTCTCGATAGGGTCTCGGAACTGAATAGGCACTCTAAGATGTCTTGACCGAGGGCTGAGAGAAGGCGATCGCCAACTTCGAGGATATTATAAATGACGTAGAGTTTCATCGAAGACTGAGCACGAATAAAGTGATACATTCGGCTGGCGTCAAGATTCATCAGCGCTAAGGAGCTGCACACGAGCACAAAACCTTGGAGGAGATCGGCTTTATGGTAAGAGGTCAGATTTGAGGGCATGGATTTTGTCCTCCGATGGCGGAATCCGCCAGATCTGGGCATTGGATGCTTCGGTGGATGGAATACGCCATTGCTGCCTAGCCGAGAGGCATCCTGGGTAGCCATACCCATGGTCTCAGATGAAGTGCGACGTCGCGTAGCACTATTCTGAATAGTGCTGGAGCTACTTACCCTCGCTCGACTCTGGCTCCTTTCCGACTCGCTAGCCGCCTGATTACTGTCAGATCGGTTTCGTGACTTGAATCTACCTCTCCTCCCTCTTTGCCAGAGGCGCCAAGTTCCTTGCCAGACATAGCCGACAACCCATCGTGCTTCCTTCCCAATTACGTATGCCCACCATTTTACAAGGACGCCGAGAGCAATTAGGAACCTTATAGGTAAAATGGTGAATGTGTATAGCCACGCGTCGAGACATGCCAGAGTGCCGAAGGTCAAGACACGTTCTAGATACGGGGGTAAGAGAAGAGCATTCAAGAGCCGTTCGAATTTGACAGCACTGGATTCGTATGGAACATCTGCGGCGTGGGAATGATGGATATAAAGAGGACTAGGTCGTTGACCCGCGAGTTCGAGTTGTAGATGGGTGGGGAGAGACATAGGCGGGAGAGGTATGGTGGGTGGTATGGGAGACGGCGGCAGGTCTGGTCGATCTAGTTTCGGAGGAGACACGGGAGGATTTGACGTAACGGATGAGAGGTTCAAGGGAGGAGGACGAGGAAGAGGGTTAAAAGAATTTCGCCTTGTGGTATTTGATTCTATTGTAGGAGGGCCGGTGGAAGACCTCCTATTAATGGGCGGACTGGAAAGCGTTCGTGACGAGGGAGGAGGTCGTCTGAAATCTGCCGCTGTTCTCGGAGCATCGTGATATGCTGGCAATAATGTATCCTTATCTGCGGCTGGCGTCTGGGTACTGCCTCGTAACTGATCTGACATTGATGGGCGAGATATAGACTCGGCAATACTAGCGGACATAGGATACTCGGTACCGTTTGGCTTGCGTTGGGAAGGCTGAGGAGGAACGACAGCGATGGGTAGCGAATCGGGCGACGAGGTTAAGGCCTGCATCTGGGAAGCAGAAAGCTTCCTAACACTCTCATGGCTTCCCTTCTTCGTAGCCGACTTGAAGGTTGAATGTGTACCTGATTTGGCTATGGTATCTGTAGATCGACCAGAAACGGACCTATCTGCGCTGCTATATGTTGTAGTAGGCGACGTGTGTCCATTGACAATGCTACTCAATATACCATTTCCATTCCCATTTCCATTTCCATTTCCATTCGTAGTAAGTTTCTCGGTTACATTGCTCATATCATAGCTCGGTTCGCGTTTCTCGAATTTAGGGGTGACGGGGGTAGAAGCAGTAATCTCAAGAATAGGGAACGGATCGGTTGGAGTAGTTGGATATTTTGATGTTGTTCTAACTATAGAATTATCTCGATATTGCTCCTCTCTCATTATACTTCTCCCAGATCTTTCGTCGGTAACCTCCTGTAAACCTGTAGGGTTATCATCGTGGCTATCATTGAAAATCCTAGTAACGCTTGGGTCTCGCATGATTGATTTCTGCATGAAGGGGATGATGTCGTTCTCGATAAACCCATCACCTCCGCGATCATACTTGAATCTAACGCCCTTTAAATGCGTGGGGAATGGTGGCCATGGAAATGCAGGACCTCCGAAAGAGTTGGCGGTATTGTAGTTGCAGTAATTACAGATGGATTGGTAATCGTATGTCTGTTTATTCTTTTTGTTGTCGGCGTTATAATTAGTTGTGATGGATGTGCATAATGGAATATGGATAAAGAAGCTAAATTGAAGCCATGTTGAAGGAAATTCCACAGGGTCCAGAACCTTATCAAACACAGTGTCGTAGCCTCGCAGGATACAGTACAAGAAAACGGCATATTATTGGTATATCTAAAAATAGAGTATTTACATACCAGGAGATACATATGTACATACATAGAAGCAATTGAATATACGTCATATGTTAGGTATCTAGGTACTTAATTTAAGGGTCGGGTTGACGCAAATCATAAGCCGGTAAATAAATAAATTTCTCTTTTTACGAATCAAAATGGGAATATTCATCTTCCTTCTCGCCGTGTATGCGGCAAATCTTTCTTAGCCAGATAAGGCGTAACTTTTAGTTAAAAGTCGAGGTTAAGTCCAAACCCCTTGTTTAAGTATGGGGCTAAAGACCGACCCGACCAATGAAAGCTGCTAAAAACGTATATCTATCGTGGCATCGCACATCTCGAGTAGTGCTCTTACTGCTTTGACCGTATAAGCCTAAATTTGAGGATATTCAGCTGATTCCTTTGTTCCTTTTCAGCCCCCATCGCCGGTCATCGTTGGGATCTACGTATGGATGACTTATCTATGGTGGCTGAGGGAGGTTAACTCCATACGCTAATACTAGGCAACTCTATAATGAGAAGCCAATAGGTAATATAGCTCGCATTTGACTCCATTATGATTTTAATTAGAATCATTCTACGAATCAGCTATATCCCAGCTTTCGAGATGGGAGGAGATGAGTAGCTTAGGAGAGTATCATCCGTGTATATATATACCTATATAATGGCACTCTCTTCTCTCTATGTTAGTTCAATATCAACTCATTAAGATTACATATCTACCTAACTTATTTAAACGCAAAATGTTTTACCAGCGGAGTGTCTTGACTAGCATCCTAGTTGTATTGTTGACAACAGAGACTGCCTTGGCTGCTCTTAATGGACATTGTCCCCCTTTAGGGCCAGTCTTACCCGCTCCAAAGAACCCGAAGGTGCATGAGTCTGTCCGGTTGGCAATAGACCGTGTCACCAATACATTCCAAAACCTCACTGCCGACCTTCTTTCTACTGGCATATCTGTCGCAGTCAAGTCGATACACGAAATTGATCCGCTACTAGAACTCCACCATACACCTACGATACTTAACCCTAATGGAACATCAACCATCGATTCACAGACGGTCTATCGACTCGGAAGTATATCTAAAATTTTCGCAGTGCTCTCCTTGCTGAAACAGAGCCACGTGAGGCTGGACGATCCCATCACTCAGTATGTTCCTGAGCTGCGTGAACTCAAAGGAGAGACAGATGAAGTTAGTGATGTCACAACCGTTAGATGGGGTGAAGTGACTCTTGGTGCTCTTGCTTCGCACATGAGTGGCATTTCTACAGACCGTAAGTCATATACATGCCACTCTCAATTACTACTCTTATTAATTATTCTCAGTTACAATCGACCTGGCTAGTTTTCCCTTGGACTGGACCGAAGTTGGTCTCCCTAAATTAAATGAGACGTCGAAGACTGGGTGTGGTGGTGTTTTTGGCCTCCCTCCCTGTAACAGGACCGAGTTTTTCAGAGATTTTGGCAAGCGGCACCCGGTGTACGCTCCATTCACAAACCCAGTATACTCAAACGTCGCGAGCGTCATTCTAAGTTATGCTGTGGAGGCAATAACCAATATGACCTACGACAACTATGTCAAGCAATCGATATTCGCTCCCCTATCTATGACAAACACGACCATATTTAATGGGCCGGAGAAGAACGCATGGGGATTTATCCCTGTAAATGAGACCTGGTTTGATGTTAGCTTCGGATACGAGGACGTGTAAGTTGCAATGCCTATTTGGACGTTGGGTGTATCTAATGTTAGCTAGAGCCGGCGGTTTCTACTCGAACACGGTCGACCTACTTTCCTTTGGTACTGGCATCCTCAAGCATACCTTGCTAGATTCTACTAAAACAAGAAAGTGGATGAAACCAGCAACATCCACATCGTCTTCTGGCCTACTTATCGGCGGACCTTGGGAAATTCTTCGCTCTAACACAGTCACTAAAGATAAGCGTCTTATTGAATTTTACTGTAAAGCCGGCAATCTAAATTCGTACAACAACATGTTGTGCCTAGTACCGGACTATGATATCGTTGTTACGATACTCTCTGGTGGACCACAGTCGAATGCCGACCTGGTGGATCTGGTTCTTACGAAAGTCGTGCAAGGCCTGCTTCCAGCTATTGAAGATGCGGGTAAAGCAGAGGTGTTACCAAAATTCGGTGGCACATATACGGACGCCACTACGAATTCGACTATCACGCTTTCTCTTGACGATGGGCCAGGATTCGCAGTATCTAACTGGGTCGTCCGTGACGTCGATGTAATCAAGAACTATAGTAAATTCGGGGCACTATCGAGTAGCCCAACAAGCCGACCGGTTTCCATCCGGCTGTATCCTACAAACCTGGGTTCGGGATGCCATGATGTCTGGCGGGCCGTGTTCGATATCGGAACCCCAGAGGAGAGTGCGGAGAAAGACGCAAACTCATTCTGGCCTGATGCAAGCTGTCATACGTGGGGTTCTATGGATCGACTCACGTATGGCTTCCGGTCTATGGATGAGTGGGTCTTCTTGCTTCGTGATGATGGGTCAGCACAAAGTGTAGACCTGAGGACATTTAGAGTTGAGCTGAAGAGGGAGGCTTGATTTGATAATATGTAGTGTTGCGATGCAAAAGATGTGGAATGGTAAGAAGACTTCAATATATATATAATGCCTAGGTTGACAGGATTTCGTAACTATGTTGATCTATCGAATCCCGTATGTTCACACTACCTGACCAGGTACCTAATGCATATAGTTAAGATTTCAAGTACTGATGTCGAAGTTGGAAGCAATCTCAATATAAAAGTTGAACGAAAATAGGACAGGAAACAGGAAGGATTATATTTAATGCTACACAATAACTACAGACTTTTTGCCTTTTTATTTGTTTATTTTATTCAGGCCATATGCGCCAAGACTTAATGCTTAAACAAAAACATCCTCAACAGTCGAAATTACTCCTGGCATATTGCCTTACGCGTCGCAAGGTCTTTGCCCAAACCCTTCTTCTAGAGCTTTAAGCATGCCTCCCTTGCGAGCAACATCCCTATATGTTCCCATCTCTGAATAATGCATGAATTTTGGCTGGTTTTTCTTCTGGTTCCAGCCTACATAGGATCCAAAAGTTACCACAAGAGCATGGCGATCGATAACCTCAGGAACTTGTAAGATGGTCTTTAGAAGAATGGCCTTGTCGCGTCTTCCTAGTTCCTTATTTCCCCCTCGCCCGAGGTAATACTTGATTTGGTTCTTCGCACGCTCGTTAAGTTCCTCAATCTGGTTGGCATCAACGCCCTCCTGGCTTTTCTTTGCTGTATCAAGGTACCATTTCGCATCCTCTTTTGAAAATGCCTCTTTGGTATTCGCGTATCTTTCGCGAATGAAGTCTTTTCTCTCCTGTTTGTGAATGCCCTTTTTGGCAGCTACCTCACGTAAAGCACAGGTCTTGCAAGGATAGTCGGTAGGATAATTTGAGTACGCGATGGCGGCCATATGGAACTCGGTATCCTTATGAGGGTAGAAGAGGCAGTACTTCGAAAAGTTCTTGACGAGCAACAGCTGATGACCACAACTGTGGTTAACTTGAGATAAAACGGCACAGTTTTGACACATCTTGGTGGTTTCCTGAATTTGCTATAGAATCTTTTCGTAAGAATATGTGAGGATAGGTCTTGTGGTTAGACTTAAGGGTCTTCAAATGTTGGCTCTTCTTGATTTTATTGATAACACAGGAGTTGTTGATGATATTTTTGGCTGGGAGAGAAGGATGATAATTGGACTGTATATATACTAGAAAATTCTTGAAAACATATTCTTTATGACGTACTTTTAAAGTGCCTACCTAGGTACCTATGTGCACTTGATTCCATTCAATTAGATCCTTGTTAGAAAGACTCTGTTCTTGTTACTAGTAACTTCTAGATGTTCAGTCGTAATGTTGTATAACAACGAATATCCATCTGAAAGCATTCACTAACCTATATTTGAACAATATCTTCAAATCAATTCACTAAGAGGCGATAGAAAAAATTAACACAAAGAATAAACGAGCTAAGACAATGACTTTGTTATTAACACGTGTGAATTCTTTTTTGATTCACTTATGTCTATCACTGTTTCAGTTTCCATACTTACCTGGAAAGGTAGATTAGGTACATAGATGAATGATGGTTTAATTAGTGTGAGTTTAGTTTATCTACCTACCTATTCATAAAGATATATCGCTGTCAATTTATGATTATTATGATGTAGTAAATAACCTAATTGTCTTAGGTCCCTATTATCTAGTACTCACTCGCCCCCCTTGTTTTATTCATTGACTGCAACTACGCCAGAATATGTGTGTCTATAATGTTCGTGTTAGAACTTAAGGCATCAAGTATATTTCTTTAATATGATCTTAAGTTAAGGAGATGATTGTGACTCATTAGGCCCAGGCTATTTCTATATAAATATTATTTACCTCTACTCTTTTCGCCGTTAGGAAATATAGACGTAAAAGTCCCCACCGATGTATGTGGATACTGGTGCTTCAGGTAGGTACTACATATTTACGTGGGCAATTTATGGTATCGAACTTTCAATCTTCATCCTCTACTATGGCCGGCAATCTAGGAATATAAAAGATGTTGATTGTAAGAAACTCAAACATTTCAATTGCTGATCTAATTTCTGATCGGGATGTGTTAGTTGTAGTTCTATACATAATCGGTCTTTGTTCCGGCCTGTCGGTACATCATACATTAGCTATTCCCGCCAAGTCGGCGATCATTCCCCGCAGAATGATTGCCCTAGGCCGGGCGATGATGACGTGATCACGATTGATATGGCGATATGCTGTGCTATCATCAGTAAGAGGTTAGATACGTAGGTAACTTAGTATGAATTCGTATCCGAGGAATGAGGGTTGTTATCTATAAACCGGAAATACTCATAAAAATTCTTGCGTCATTCTCCAAGTTTGGAAAATTATATAAGAACCCTCTTAGGGACTGACTTTTGATCTTAGTAGCTATATCATTTATTCCTATGTTTGGTACTTAAAGGCGTCAACTTCATTTCAACATTGTCGTCATCTAGTTTCAGCAATAAACATGACTTCCTCAATTCAGAAGAACCTCGCGAGCAAGAATGCTGAATATGCTAGCAAGTTCACTAAAGGCAACCTTGCCCTTCCACCAGCCAAACACTATCTGATCTGTACGTAAAATCCTTTAGAGCAGGGTTATATGAAGGCTATACTTCAAGCAACCAAGGACTAACTCATATAAAGTGACCTGTATGGATGCTCGTATCGACCCGGCTGCCGCCTTTGGTATCGACCTTGGTGATGCCCACGTTATTCGAAACGCTGGCGGTAGCGCGAGAGATGCTCTACGATCCATCATCATCTCGCAGCAACTGCTTGGGACGAAAGAGATCGTACTTATCAAGCACACTGGGTGTGGCATGTTGACGTTTTCCAACGATGATGCTCATAGTCTTGTGAAGAAAAATTTAGGACCAAGCGCCGCTGCAGAAATTGCCACCCTCGATTTCCTCCCCTTCACCAATTTAGATAACGCTATAAAGGGAGACGTTGATTACTTAAAGAGGAGCGCCGCTGTGCCAGGCGACGTGGTTATTAGCGGTTGGGCATATGAGGTTCAGACCGGCACAGCGAGGCAAATCGTATGAAAACATTTGCAGGATACTCTCGAGTGAATGAATATAAGAAGCATGGTATGTGGAATGGTTGAGTACTGTGGCATTTCCAGATCGAAAATCAGCTAATTGCACCTACTCATGGTCACATAATGTACCTGGATAATTTCTATCTTTAACTTCGGCTATGTAAATATATCATAGTTTACGAACTTTGTGATCTGGATGGTAAGACGTGTCAGAGGAATAGTAGCAATGACGGAATATCCGGGGTCATCTACTACGCTCAACTAGATACCAGACTAAGGACTAAGAGGAATAATGAAACACGCGAAAGGCTTGTATTGATTTCTATATGAATCGTGATAAAAGAAGATATCACAACTTCTGAGATGAGGCATACGCGCCCACGAACAACGGTGTTCCGTCCCGCTAAGATAGGCTCTCCCATTAGGATCGTGAGGTCGAATTCGTACTTCCTAGGTACAACTACTGGTATAGTTTAACGGTCTGCTGTAATCGTCAGTGCGTAATAGCACAGACAGGTACTGCTCGTCCAGCTTCATATTCCATCCAAATATAGCAACTTCGTCATATCTCTACCTTCCGACTAAATTGATACTGGAAAAATATCTCATAAGAGATGGCTGCTAGGTACTCGTCCGAGTGCTGGCATACGTAAAAGAAGAACCTAGAAAGAAATGTAAGAAATACCATTTTAAACTGGCTGATACGGACACAATAGTGGGCTTACCATGACGAGAATGTGTCACACAAGGGGAAGATGCCAACCAGAAGCTGATAGGTAATGCAAATAATGGCGAGGTCATTCTAAGGCGTGGGTGACTATGCAGCGGTGGGTATAAGAGAGGCTCCACTGGCACCAGGAGGATCTTGGTTGTTACCACCCCCCGGGCCACGATCAGGTCGGTCAGGTGGCGGTATATATTCTTCATCTAAGCTGGAATCGGTATCTGATTCGATTTCGGCTGTTTGGGATGCTGAACTTTGGATATTCCTGGAGGCTTCCTTCAACCCGGCTGACTCCCCCCTAAAATGATGAACCACGCGCATGTGGCGAAGCATGGAATGGAAGTTTTGGTGTTCCTTTCCACACTTCTCAGGACAGGGCCAAACATCGGTTTTGGCCTGGTTTTTGGCGTAGGAAGAGCGGGCCTTATGTTTCTTTGATAGGTGGGAACGGATGTTCCTCTTCCCGTTCTTCATAACGGCGCCGCAAATCTTACCGCCAACCCGAATTTGACATACGAACCTACCGTATGAATTAACCCTGCCCTGAGCGCCATCAATAGCTGGTTGCATCGGGGGTGCTTTGTCTTTGCCACCTTCTTCCCTATTATTAGGGGGTTGAGGAGCCATTTCTAAGTAATTCCAAATTAACAACATGTCGATAACAAATAGGAAAGGATAGTGAAACGGAATAGGAAAAGAATATAACTTACTGGATATATCCTTGGGAAAATATTATGTCTTGAAAATGGAAGAGGGTATTTCTAGGGAGAAAGCTTGTCGGCGAAATAGGAAAGAGCAGTTGCTGTAAATGCCGACGCTTGTGTATATCGATAAGAATCAACGCCAATGGCAATAATTCATATACTATCCAGTAGCAATGAACTAGATATTGATAGGAATGAAAGTTATCTACCAGGTAGGACGAATAGGTATTGCTGGTGAAAGATATATGAATCACGTCGGCCGGCGAAGATACTGAGGTCGGCGACAAGAAAAGATGAAGATCGGCGAAAAGAAGATATTCAAGTCGGCGAGACGAAGATATTGAGGTCTGCGAGATGCAAATACTATGTCGGCGACAGGAAAAGATTAAGACCGGCGAAAGGAAGATATTCAAGTTGGTAAGAGGATGTTCAAGTTGGCAAGACGAAAATATTGAGGTCGGCGATAGGAAAAGATTAATGTTGGCGAGAGATGAAAGGAATCATAAGAATCAGGAAAGAATTATATACAGATACCTAGATCAATAGATGCAATTAAAATATTACGGCGGAAGGTACGGCAGAGGGTACGGAAGGAGATATAGCAGAAGGTACGGCAGAAGGTACGGCAGGAGGTACGGCAGGAGGTACAGTAGAAGGTACAGTAGAAGGTACGGCGGAAGGTACGACGATAGATATGTTATCTGACGATAATAAGGTAAGAACGGTAAATTTGGCAGGCGGCGACAGGTTAGACGGCAAGGTTAGGAAACTACGAGGCAAGAAACCCACTAGGCAGGAAAAGGATAAGGGAAAATAGATAGGTAATCAGATATAAAAATTCAAGTAGTAAAATAATAATGTAAGGAAATAATAAAATAATAGATGAAAATTATGAAGAATCGTCATGATAGTTAATTAAAAGGGGTAAATAAATAAAAATATAATTAAAACGTAATTAAATTAATTATTAAACCATTCATTGTTATGACGTTAAATAGGTAGGTATTTATATGAACATGAGTCTTTGTTTATATTTGGACATGTTTTGGATATTTGTTATCTTTGTTCATTGATTTTTTTTTCCGGAATAAAAACTTGAAAAGAAAAGAAGATATATGTGTGACATGCGCGAAGTGCGCGAAGTGCGCGACATATAAGAAAAAAAAGAAAAGAAAAAAACTCCATTTGACCTTATATTTATTATATTTGGTTTAGTTACGTCGGTATATATTGTACTTATCAACTGCAATTAAGTAATGAACTTGGTCTATTAACCAAATATACATCATCAAGCAATATACCATTGTCATAACATTAAAACTAAGCTTGAGCTATAGAATATAATAAACTACATGGTGCAGGTTTTAACTATTATTAGAGAAGAAATGAAATCCTTTCATTCATCTACCATAAATAATAAGGCTTTTAATATTCTCCTTGATGATGATGATGATGATAAAATCGTTTACGTCTATTTGTCTGCTGTATGCTACTTTAGGTAGGTATATACAACGCGCATCTTTGGCGCTTTTAGACGTCTAGAGTACTCCCTGAGGGAACAGAGCTAGAGTATCGCCTGACATAAGAAAAATATTCTCCTTGACATTGTTCTATCCTCAGCCTCTACTAGATAAGGTGGATTGATCTTAGGCCTCAACTTCTATATTAAGTATGGTCTATTTGGGGCTTGAGTGATTTCTACTAATGTCATCTAAGCAAGTTGGTCATAATTATATTGAATCTCTACATAATACTCTTATGAAGTCTAACTGGCTAACTGATCTAGGAAAATGGAAATAAGTTTCAATAATAGATCTACAGTGGTCTTAACTCGAAGGACGAAACCGACAGGATAATGAGATGTAGACAAATTATCATATGATATGAAGGACATTGCTATAATAATCACTTAAAACGGAGTGAAGGTAGTTAGATAATAGATGCTTGATTGAAATATAAACTAAACATCTTTTACAAATATTCAAGATGTTCCTGAATTTCTGAGTAACATGTGACCTTTGGTCTAGTGCTTGTACATGTAACCATGTACATCTTACAAATCTACATTATATGACGATACCTACCTTATAAGTTATTCTTCTTATGTACCTACCATCACTTTGGCTACTTATTTACTAGGCTGAAATTGGGTTAACAAAATTGAACTTTAGATTAATAAAAAGGGTTGATAAACTACTCAGTGTATATATTGTATTTACACGGTTACTCTAAGCTGTATCAATTCATATACTACGGATATCGAGGTAAATATGTGAGGCATAGAACTACCCGGATACTAGGTAAGATATAATGGTATGGGGTAAGCTTGAAATAAATATCAGTGCAGCACCTACGGGTGTTGGACTATTTCTTAAAATTAAGATTGCAAATATGATAATACGATGTTAATAATATTTATTAGAAACTTCCGGAGATCAGCTTTAAAGGGAAAATAGGCTTTTCTCATATTCAGTAATCTTGGATCTTTTCTATCTAGGCTTCCTAATTTCTTATGTCAGGCGATACTCTAGCTCTGTTCCCTCAGGGAGTACTCTAGACGTTTAGAAGCGCTAAAGATGCGCGTTGTATATACCTAGGTAGCATATAGCAGACAAATAGACGTAAACGATTTCATCATCATCATCTATCTAGGCTTCTGGTGAAGCAAATTCATGAAGGCCCAGTAACGCCTTATTGATGAAAAGAATGCCAAAGAGACTTCAGCTTATCTGCTTACCTTAGTATTTGTACTGATTTGGAGATATTCTCTTGCATAGAGATCCAAACAGGGGGCTGAAAACTAGTGCTTACCCGTCTGTGAGGTATTGACGTATCGGAAGATAGTAATTATATTAAATCCCCATCGAATGTATCTAAGCTCGAGATCAACCATTAAAACAGATCCTAATCGAGCCATTAGCGGAATCAGATCTGGGAGGAATGTTGGTAGCGAGGTTTAGTTCGATGGGGTAGATTTCAGTCACCCAGTCTCTTAAGATCGGATCTCTTGGAGAGATGAAGGTGCTAGATAGATCGATAAAAGGGTAGATAAGACAATTCATCCCTTAATATTAATGTGTTAATGTGGGAAGCATCCTGTTATGGAGTATAGGGATGCATAAGATGAAAGACTTATATTGAAGAAAATGCCACTTAGACGAACTATGCGCATTATCCAAATACTTCCCCACCTTCCGAAATGGGAGTGGCCAGCCAATAAGATCGATGCGATCTTCTACCTCTTCGAAGACACCGGTAGACAACAAGTAGAGGTGTTCTAAAAGTAAATGGTGTCGACATGGGTAGTGATAAGATATCCTATTAACGTTTATTTTTTTATATACCTTAGTTACCCGATCGCTTGAAAACAACTCTTGCTCATTAGATATCTGTTTTTGCCTCATGAACTGCAACCCACCGTCGAAACGACCGTAGGGACAAATTTAGAAGATCACCTATTGGCAGCAGTGGTAATATAGAGTGGCGAACCGAATCGATGAATATACCTGACATTCTATACTCGAGATCATTTACTACGAACTTTAGAAGAACTTTAATTTATCTACAGTTCTGTGGCGGGTTGAATATTTAGGCGGCAGATCAAGGTGTTTAATCCACGTATGTGACCGTAAGTAAGTACTTTAAGTACTCTATTACATGGAGCAAGGAGCAAAGAAAATACTTTATTATTAAGAAAGGAACTCTAAGCTAATTAATTATAGGAGCCTATGGTTACCTACCTCTATGCATACTGAAAGTGCCGTTTGTTCTAAGTGTCTTTCTTAGAACCCTGACAGAACGGATGGTTTCGTAGGTGCAGGATAGAATGAGGGGTATCTGAAGGTGACTAGAACGAGAAAAGAAGGTAATCGTCCATAGAAGAACTCGTTTTACTAGAACAGTTAGCTCATCTGCACTACATTCGAAAAGAAGCTTTGAGGGGTTTGGGGTCTCTTCACACCATGCACTTGGATTTACGCAAGCGTTGATAGGCCTGGCACAGATACTTATCCAGGTACCACGCATATTTATTTACTATTGTATGCTCCGCTGACATACCGAGGTAATTGATGATACTCGTATTAGCGGGCCATGTTGGGTCAAGCTCTTGGTTACTGGCTTGGGCGCGGTAATGCGGGTAGTACCATTACTTCTGCGGTACTAAATATTGTATGGTTGAAATATACGCCGGCGTCACTAGTCGATGTAACAGCATGACAAAACGTTTTAAGATGGCATATTAGTTAGATCAAATATTCCGTATAAGATAATGACTAATTGGGAATATATAGGCATTACAAATTACATCATGCTATATAGGGCTTAATAATCGACTGGAATTATATATTTTTGTTGCAGCCTTAACTCGCTTGATATAAAAACCCGAGGTATAAAGGTAGCTCTAGAAAACCTCAAGTTGTCAACATAATTTTTTAGACCAACTTCCTTCACACTCTTCAGAAATTCAAAAAAGTGTCATATAATATCTTTACAGATTTAAAGTCACAATGGCCACCCCTATCGATAAATCCAAGCCCTACTTCCCCCTAGCTGGCCTCGCTAATGACGGCTGGTCCAAGGAAGACGAAGCAACAGCAACATGCTTCTGTGGTGCAGTACAGCTTGCATTTGTAAGCTGCTTCCTTATGTTATCGCTTTTTCATGCACAACGCCCATTTTGAAGATCTCTTTACTAACATCACCAAATCCTGCAGCCGACACAGGGTCCTGGTTACGTCGGCACATTTGTATGCAATTGCAGTGACTGTCGTAAAATAACAGCATCTATGTTCGCGACAAACTTCACCATTCGGGATACACACTTGAAGCATCTTCGTGGGCGTGACAATCTTACGAAATTCGGCCCCCAAGCGCATACTATCGCTTCAGGCAAAGGCATGGCTAACTACTTTTGCTCGACATGCGGTACGCTTATGTACCGCGTCGGAGAGGCCTTCCCAGGCATGAGCATCTTGCGCCTAGGCACTATCGATGATTTTCACTTACACGAGACCAAGATGCGACCCACGGTAGAATATTTTGTTGAGAACCGCGTGGGATGGCTTAAGGGTGTTGAAGGAATCAAACAGATTAAGAGCCTTCCATCCCTTTAACCTGGAGCTTATCATTCCCTGGTATATCATTTTGTAGAAGAGCTGGCTCCAGAAAGGAGCTGATTAGTTTCCTGTTACATCTACTACCGACGTATCGAGGAAAAAAAGACATCAAATGGATTGAAAATTTAGAGTGAAAGTCCCTTGTGTACTAATTTTGACAACAAGCTCATCTCTGAGACATTTATATACGCTGTACACTAAACTATTATCAATATTATCTTAGGGTTTCCTCATACCATCAACTCCTTGGTGCCTATCTAAACTCGATAGATAACACCACTAGGATGTGCCTTCTGGGTTCAACTGATAGCACTTATCCGTTGGGATTCTCTCGCCTTGGTCCCACTAGAATAGGCGGTTAGGTCAGGTCAATGCACACCTCCTTGTAAGTAATTCAGAAGACTTACGTGTTCGTGAACGCATCCATCAAGCCAGAGCCACCTGTCCGTAGTCGAGTATCGGGCGTATGACATATTTGTGCTGGCATCGAAACACCAAGCCGTATTTTGTTCGCTTCCAAGCTTGTTTCCGCTGCAGAAAATACCCCAGATGTTGTTAGGCCCAGACGCGTACCCTGGATGGTGTTGCTGTGATAGAACAATCAATAATTAGCATCGATCCCAGTCTGCTAGTAATACAAGTTATATGCTTGAGTTAAAATGTTAAAACAATGACTAACTGTATAAGTTGAATCTATTAAGGAAAACATCTTTCTGGGGTCTCCATCGACTACAAATGCACGATAGAAATCATAAGCTCTCTGTGCTGTCTCTTCCACGGTGACAGTGGGATCCGGTTGACAGAGAGCAGGAGGTGCGTTTAAATTGCACAAGTTTTCTCTCTTGATGAGAGCATCGTCATGTGCAACTGGGGCAGCACTGCTAATAGTGGGCGCTAAGACGCCGGCAGAAAGAAATAGCAAGAAGCGCATTTTCGTAGCAGTGGGTAGGTACCTGTTATGCCAGTTTCAAACATGGTATTCTCCTAAATTTCATGGGGTAGGAAGCGACCATATATTTATAATGTTATTGACGCGGGGAAACATCCAAAACCAAGATTCGTTATTAGTACGTGTTAGTTTAGCCGCCTTGGTTTCAATTTACAAAATCTATATACATCGTCCGAATGAAACCTGACCATATTCATACATGCAAGTGATTGGTTATGGTAAGTCCCTTATCATGTATCATAGTGGATAAAGTCTGCTGTTTAAAGACTCCAATCGGAATAGTTTTGAAGTCTTGGGTGTTGTCATTTATGTGATATGTCGTCGCGTTCATACGTCAGTGAGATTGAACTCTGCATAGGTAGTCGCTCTTCTAGCTGGCAATTATACCCTTAATTCTTGATCATATTGTTACACATTAGGTACGGAAAGGGGTAAAGGAGGAGCGGGGGTTGACGAAGTGGATGCGTCCATAGGCATCGTAAACTGGACGCTCATCATTCCTACATGTCCACCACAGCTGAAGATCAGTAGTATTCACACCGTTGGGGTGGACTTTCTCCATCTCTTGCCTCATCTCTGACTTGGGCCTACCCTCTTTGATGCGTAGCTTTTCGAAAAACACGTAAGCGCCGTAAAACACAGAACTTGTATTCCCAGACATAGGCCCCTTCTTATCTAGGAAGCAGTTAAGCTGCCTGGATTGAATACGTGTTTCTTTAGGGAAACTCTTCGCTATAGCACGGCAGAAGGCGCTCTGACTGATGTCAGGCTTCCGTAGAAAAGCCCGGATCTTCTTGCGGACCTCGTCGCACGTATCATACACTGGTACACTCTGCGTATCCTCGCCATAAAGCTTTATATCGCTGACATCAAGAGCTTCACTTTCGCTCTTCCTAGGTCTCTTAGGCGGAACTGCTTTGAGACCTTGCAGCTCGCGCTTCTTGAAAAACGTAAAGGCTTTAGGGTATGTGTCGCAGTCCTTGCCTTTGTAGGTTCCGCTATGATTCATGAATCGCTGATATGCACCCGGAGATACCCCTATGGCTTTCTGGAAGTCTCCAACTTTCATATTTCCACCTTGAATGAAGTCTTTAATCTTCCGGCGAATCTCGTTGCACGTCTCGTCTATCTCATAGAGGCGGTAATCATTATCGTCCACTTCAGATATATTTTGACGGTCTTCTACTGTATCCGACTTACGCTTCTTTGATACAGTAGTGCTTGGTTTGACATTATGGGCGGCGGGTCTGTTACAGCTATTCTCGTCGCCTTGTAGGCATGGTGACTATTCGTTGAACAAGACCGTTAGTGCAAAATGCATTTAGAAGCAGGTGTGATGCTTACTTCTGCTGTAAAAGCTAGGTTAGCTTTTTGCATGTTACCGTCGGAGTATCTCAAGGGAGTCATCATTGGGAAGCCCTTAACCTGGCTAATAATGATCGGGTATCTAAATACGAATATATAGCTACACGGTATTTGTTAGAAGGATTAACTAAGGGAAATGTGAATTGTGTTTTTTAACAAATACATAATCAAGACGTTGCTCCTGCAGTCCATGTTTGGTATTAATAGGGGATATGGGGCTATATTAGAAGTTCAATAATGGTTCGAGCATGTTCTCGATTGATGTTACAACTGACGTTACCCCTGACCGACAACTGATGAGAGTCAGCACATATCAAAAGTTATGTAACAAATGACGTAAATACATTAGGGGCTGTACGAAGTACTTTGTATATCATGTACGGAACATGTACCATTCATTCACAGACCAAGCGTACAGGCTGAGTGACAGTGAGGAGTGCGGAATATGCCCGCTCGTTTTAGGGCTCTTGGCTCTCTCCCAGGCTGTCAGGTCCCTGGATGATCTGCGGATAGCGGATAGCGGATAGCGCCTCATTCGATGCAAACTAGATGCTGATCATCGCCCTGATTGGCTACGGGAGTCATATGCCGTATGTACCTGAGCATTTCCTAGCCCGCTCTTTTAGCTCACGCTTACTTGCCTGTCAAATGCGCCATCAATTATTTAGTATCAACTCCTGACCTTATTGTGTATAGCTTCTGCCTTATTACTATGTAGAAACTACCTAGCTCATTACGCCATTTTATGACAAGCCCATGAGGCCTAGTTACATGTTATATAATAGATGTTCGCCATCACATCGTTTCCATGCGCAGTATTTTTCTAACTACAAGATTTTCTCCCACTGGAAGCAGGGGTAAGAGAAGAGCTCAGACTCGCATAGATATTAGGCAGAATTGCTGCTGTTGCTATCGAAATCGTAGTACTTACACGGTTCCCTGCCGTTCCCAATCAACCTGACTCTCATACAAACGGTGTAATTTATTTTAGTTACGTTAGATAATCTGTATGTTGAACAGCAACCCGGTTGTCGGATCAATATATAGATAAGTAGGTATATACCTAGGGCAAACCACCCATCTCTGTATTCGTTGATCATATTCTTATACAGTACCAGCCCTTGAATAGATCATTGGTAACCTTAACGAAATGCATTTTCTTCAAATTGTTTTATTCGCAACCATCATAAACCTGTTCTCGGTATTAGCGCATAGTTTTGTATCCAACATCAATATTAACCGTCTCTCATATGATGGCTTCCGCCCTACAGAGCCGGATGACCATCCGTTCGCCATTGGTTGGTCGACAACCGCCTTTGACCAAGGTTATGTAAACCAAACCGGATATCGAACAGAAGAAATCATTTGTCATAGAGGGGCTAAGAATGCGAAGAACCATGCTCCCGTTTCTGCAGGCGACATTGTTCATATTCAATGGAATGGCTGGCCCGAGTCTCACAAGGGCCCAGTGTTGGACTACCTTGCATCCTGCGGTGACTCGTGCGAGACAGTTGATAAAGATACTTTACGATTCTTCAAGATCAATCAGGCTGGATTGATAGACGGTTCTAAAGCACCCGGCCTATGGGGCTCTGATCAGCTTATCGCGAACAACAATTCGTGGATGGTGGAGATTCCTCGTCGGATCCAACCAGGGTTTTACATCTTGCGGACTGAAATCATCTCACTACATAATGCATCGCGCGAAATCGGTGCGCAGAACTATCCCCAGTGTATCAATTTGCAGATTACTGGTGGCGGTACCGAACTGCCTTTTGGTATTCTTGGCGAGGAGCTCTATGACCCCGACGACCCCAGCATGCATCTGGATATATATGATGGCATTTCGACATACAAGATTCCGGGTCCGACTCTTATCTCCGAGATTGAGACAGTGACGCTGAGTCATCCTCTTCCAACAAGAAGCGGGATACCACTCACTGGCTTCACTACATCGGTAGTGCCGATGCCCACTCCAACATAAATTTTGCATGCGGGCCTTTTCACTTGAATTATTGGGGTGTGGGAGCTAGTTGTCTATGAAGAGCATGTCCGTCGAGTGAGAGGATCAATCATGGAAGAACACGATATCGATCAGTTACGCGGCTGCGAGAAATCAAACTGTGACTAAGTGCGTACACAACCTAAAATTGGAATCATCATCTCTTGCCCTACCTGTTTAGCCCTTATTTAAAACCAGACTTAAACTCTCATGCGAGATTATACTCGAACAGGATATCCTGTCAAGATTCCCATAATGCATTATTAGTATATACCTACCTACCTCTGAAGCGATATAAGCACCACTTGCCAAGCTCACCGTTCACCATAACGTTCTTCATTATTCTTCAATGCCCATCCACACCTCGTAAGCCAGAACATCACCATGGGCGGCGTGGTTAGCAGTCCCAACACGCCTCCTTGAATGAGCTTAAAGACCTGCGGTGCCCATACCTTGTCGTAGTACCAGTCATTGCCCTCCCATTTACCCGCCAGAACGAGAAAGCCAATGGTAGGCCCCCATATTACAGGGAAGAAGGCTACAGCAACCAGCAGAGCCCGCAGGATCTGAGAACGGAAGAAACTCAACCAATGCACAATACTCCTAACTTCGTGCGTCTCTTTGGGACGGTCTAAGAACATGAACCACCGCACGAACCAGCTCTTAGGTTCAGGGATAAACCCGATCGGATGCACACCACCTTTTCTTAGGTCCCGGTTTACGAGGAAGAGTTCTATGTGCCACGTAATGAGACACTGAACAATGATGGTGACTGCCGCATCTCCAGCAAGGGTATTCGGAAATAAGAACAACCGAATAGGTCTAGTTATGATATCCTGAGTTGCATACATGGCTATCGTTCTGTTAGGAATTTTGACTAAAATTGAGACTTGAAAATGAAGAGATGACGATTGAAATGAAATAAATATACCATATGCAATTGCAAAGTTGATACCACCGGAGAGAATCATGGCACCTAGCCCATCAAGAATGAAAATGTAGAAGATCTGATGAGCAGTGAACTTTTCCGTCGGCTCTTTGAATCCATCATCTATACTTTCCACGGCATCCTGTTGCGAACTTAGATCGGGATCAGTATGGGCAGTGTCAGGATCAGGACCGGAGTTAGCAGCGGCAGCTTCGACATCAACTGGGGGCTCCGCCGTCGGTTTGAAGAGAGGATTTGTCGCCCACGGCATAATTGGCGTTTAGTAAAGCGGTAGGGAGGAATAATAAGGTAGGAAGGGGGCGGTATGGATGGAAAAAGAAGACTAGCTACCCGAAGTGTCATATCATGTTGATAGCCTATGTAGGTAAAGTAGTTGTAAGGACGAAGTTTTCTGCCAAATACTGACACAAAGTGAGGGAATAGTAAGGAAAGTAAAAGGAGGCTGAACGTTAACAACAACAATAATAACTAAAAAAGTTAATAACAATAGTAGAAATGTTAGCGGGGCCACTTTCCATTCGACTACCTGTTACTTTAATAATAAGCTTTCTTTTTTCTTTTGTTCTTTGGGTGGCAGCAAATTAATAAAAAAAAGAAAGCCGGGGGTAGGTTGTCTTAAGGGTCCAAGGGTCCTTTTTTACCCCCTTTACATAATATCGCCGGGGGAACCGATTGGGGGCATTCTGACATTCTCGACATTCATAGACATTCTTAGAATATATTGTTTTTTACACTCATACATATTGTTGTCCAGTGACAGTTCCTACCGGAAGTCTCGGCATCCAGTCGGACTACCGTAGTTAAACACAATCAACCGAACGAGCCGGTCATTGGTACTTGTGACTTGATCGTGATAGGTGATGGAGCAAGCTTTCTGCACGTGGGATTGGCGAAAATTGTTGAAGCTTCAAGAGAATTGGGAAATCCTTGCCAAGCCGCTTAAACCCGACCTAGTCTAGGTTAAGGTTAGTGGACCTATTTACCAGGTACATGTAGCTAAGAGGTACCTATGTATCTTATTGATGTGGGGTGAAGGCTAATTCAGAATTCCATTCCAGCTCAAAGATTGACTGAATGTTTTCTTATCTTCAAAAACAACATGAAAATAAGCGGAAAAATAAAAATATTAACACAAGTATTAATTATCTAGTAGTATACCTAATCCAATATGGTAACTTATTCGTCACCATTTATAACAATTGGAAATTTTTTTAAAGCTGTACCCATGACCTATTCTAACTCCGAAAAAATAGAATCGATCATCTGGGCACCAACTTTTGGCCTAGCATGTGGGAAATACAAAGCCTAATCTGGGTACCTTAGGTACCTAAAGCTAGGTGCTGAATAAAGCACTTACATATCATAGGGGCTCCGAGAGATTAATCCCGGCAAACAGTCCGTGCCTTAGGAATGTTGATAATATTAATAATAACTATCTAAATCAGTATTGTTTAAATGATGACTTCGACTTTCATCGTTAGATACTTTAATCCAACTATCTTCTTACTAATCGCCATAATATCAATCGCCATCGCCTTCATTAGGCATCCAATGTACACGAAATACGCGAGCATAAATACCATTACCGAGGATATAAGCCTGAACGATCTCTTAGTTACGCCCACTCGTCCAGCACGAATTGATAACACTCTGGATTATGTACGATGCGCGGCACTGCATAATAAGTTGGTCGAATATGCTTGGGTAGCAGAAGGGCGCGAAATAAGTGACTTGGAACGACACTCGTTCTTCCATCGCTATGGGGACCAAGCAAATGAAATCAGGAGCCGACTTGATCCTACTCTCGTGACTTTCTTAGAATCCATCATAGTAACCGAGGAGCTGCCACCCTTTTTCTACTGGGTTGAAGGCATCTCACCGCCCGCATCTATGTTTGATAATGATGATACTCTACATTACGATGAAATGAGCGAACCCGGACGTTTTCTCGTTTTATATAACACAAATACTGGCCTAGTAGGGCACGCGATGGGTCTAATATACGACCAACAACTTCATTGTGCCACCATGGCTCTCGGAATTGAAGACATCGACTTCACCCAACCAGTTGAGAGACATCGTCAGCTGTGGCATCCGCTTGAGACGATACTTAGCAACTGGTGGCATATGGTTCAAATAGGCAAGATCACAGCTTCTCAGGATAGTGCACCTAATGAGAAGTATGGCCCCTGGATCTGGCATTCCTACGGTCCGACTCAAGTAGTTAGTGCTATCGCCTCGTTCGAACGACTCGCAAAAGCTATTGAATACCGTATCCCACCTGACAAGCTCTTACCTATTTCTGACGAGCCATTGCTCAGTCACGCTGACCTAGACGAAGCCTCTGTTCCGAATCCTTGTTTCATTCGCTCATTTTTATCAAGTGTTCGCCGACCACGATTTGACCGAATTGCTCCGGGTTTGGCTATTCCTTATAATCCAACCGTGTTTGCAGCCAATCAAAGGTATACCACTATAAATATTAGCTCTGAGTACGGTATTATTATTCCACCTGTCCTTATCTTCGCATCGGTAGAGAGGCGGATCGTGAGTTTCACATCTAACAATCCCTACATTTCATTTAATCCATTCTGTCGGGCATTCAAGAGGGACATGCCCTCAGATGGTCAATCAATCCTCTCCGGACTGTACTCGGAATCTGTAGAACGTTTCTCTGAAGACAATGCTGAAGAGGGTTTCCGGCTCTTGCTTCCATTTCCCCTTCGTGTCCTCGGCGAAGAGCACGGCGCAAGGAAGAGCGATATGAACCTAGTAGGAAAGAAAAGTGTAGCGGATCTGTTCCAGCACGGCTTCAAACCCTTCGGAGGAGAGTGGTGGCGGGCACAGAGGTTAGAAATGCTATTCGATGCTTGGACGCATTTAGTTGAATCTGGCATTTGGAAAGTAGGAGACAGTGGCATCGAAGGGGATATAGATATATTTAAAGATGCGGATAGAGGCCAATGGGCAGATTACCGCATTGACCCTAGTTGGTAAAGCCGGGTAAAGGTACCGTATATACTATAACATGAACTCTAGGAATTCTCCTGTTATAGATGTATTTTTTGAAAACACTATCCAGTCGTCATGTAACCATCAATACCGACATATGCCACTAACTAAATATATATCCATTACGAGCTGAACTTCTTGCTCAGTGCATCGTATAAAGTTTGGTTAATGGGGAGGATACTCCCATGCCGCAGATTGCTTGGAAATCCAGATCGACTGCTTGCCGTCCATTTATTTCCCTTTGGATCCGTGCTCTCATACGGTCGATAGCCATCACTACCGTAGAAATCCAAGAGGACGTGGACCTTGGCATCGTCTTTGTTATCACGGTATGCGGCAGGGCCTTCGACACCAGATGTGATTATACCACTGTTTCCCCCGGCTCTGGTCCAGCTTCCAAAAAGCCCCGTAGTAGAATATTCCAAAAATACAGTCTTAGCTGATTCATCTTTCATGAATCGTAAGTAACTTTTCCCCTGAGTATCGAGCGGTACAATATCCAAGTCGATAATGTTGGTCGGCGCATAATCAATGTACGTTTGAGGTTGTGTGAACGTCTTAAAGTCACTTGTATAAGCATACCTGATTCGGATATTGGATGGAGAACCGGTATGCCCGCTGTCTGAGGCAGAATACTATAATCAATCCATTAATAAGAGCATCCGCTAAATTTTAAACGACAAAACCTACAAATTTTGAAGCCCAGTGGACTAAATATTGGCCTACGTCTGTCAGTATCATCCTATATATAGGTTTCAAGTGGATTACCAACCTTTTGAAGCATCCCATATCGCTTCCGGAGCCCACACCATACCGGCAGTCGAGTCTTCCACATTTACTAGCCGCTCGTTGCCAAAGTTCACGAGGTCAGTGCTCTCCCAAACAAATATGCCCCTTGAGCCTGTTCGCTGGGATGCATCCCAACTTGTCTATAATGCTGTCAGCAATAGAGAACATATAGGCTTTTAAAATGTAATTACCTTCCCAATATTGAGATCAGTGCCAATAATGTACCATTTTCGGCCAGCTTCGGCACCGCCGCCTTGTACAAGATACGGGTCTCGAACACCACCAGTTCCCTTTGTTGGCCGTAAAATAGGTTGACCGCTGTTCAATGCTTTGAAGGATAGCGGATCATTGCCGTTACTAAGGTAGAAGTATACATAAGGATCTGCCCCGAGGAATATAGCCCCAAGGTATCCAACTAATCCTGCGTCTGCGCGGCGTTCGACCTGAATACCTAGGTCGCCTAGGTCAAGCGGACTAGCTACGGATAGATTAAGGCAAACGCCAATTGATAAAGCAAAACGCAGCACCTGACGAATAAACATGGTTGCGACGATTCCGAAAATGAAAGATACAAATTCCACAGGCCTGGCTCCTGACTTCGTAATAGAGCAGATCTCTCATTTGTATTAACAAGCTTCGGGAGATCGGTGTCCGAACTAGCCAATCCCAAGCCCTCGAATTTTTCCATCCCGGTACTTTAGCCTTGGGTTTCCAAGAATACGTTTACGGCTAAAGGCCCGCGTAGCAAGCATCGTATATGTGGGGTATTATATCTAAGTAAAAGAAGAGAGTCATGGATTTTGTTCGACATAGTAAACTACAAGGCTCTTCGTAAAATATAGGTCATTTAGGTCTGCGTTATTTCGGGCGTTGGAAACCACGCCGCCGACATGGAATTATTTTAATGCATATCAAGAAAGTGTTGTACTAAGTGACTGCATTGTGCCGTTGGCATACGCCGGAGAAATTAGTACAGGGTGAATATTATATTATAAGTATCGATATTATCTTCTTCAAAATTATCGCCGAACGTACGCCTCAGGCAGGTAAAGCGTCATGGCGCTGGCTCATATAGGCACAACTGTCTGTAACCTAGGTGGTTGTATTGTCTCCCAGCATCAACCGGCGACCCAGAAGGCTTGCTTCTTCAGATTCCATATATGCCTGCTCTATACAACATCGTAGTCATCGATCCACCACTTCTTCTCACTTCCATCATTGACTGGATGCAGGTTTATAGAATCCTCCGTACTGCCGATTTTTAATGGACCATAGAAGTTGTATAGGAAGAAAACAGCTAGGAGGATCCAGCAGAGACCCATGATGCCCATGATGCCAGCCATAATATTTACTTTACAGGCAGCAGATGCTTCCATTGCAGTTGCCACGTCTGGTGACGGATAGGAATAAGTCGTCGCCATATGTTTCCTCTGCTGTGGAATAATAAAGTGATATCCTGGTAGCTGTTAGGCAAGTACAAAAAGCATGCTTGTATATAGAAGTTTAGGTACTTACAGTTTAGTATTGGGTTTGGAATTCCCGTCAATGTTATTGGCTAAGCGCCCCCTTTATTGGCAGTATTATGAACGAATATACTCTGGAACGGTATGTCTTTTGAAACTGCGAGATCACTCCAGTGAAGAGCAGCCTGTACCTGGAAGGTACTGACTCACTACCATGCATTTCGAACTGGCACCATTCACTCTAGGCTGTCTGGAGGAAGCCAAGTCATCAACAATCTGAAAGTTCTCGACTAAGGATCGGATAGTTTGCCCCGGGTATTGAAGATTTCCGAGTAACTCGTAGAAACTATTGATCTGAGAATAGAAAGGCCTACTAATAGGTAGATGGACGTTGTTGTAGTGATATGAGGTAGGTAGGTAGTTATAGTAGTTAGGAAAATAATAGTGAAAACACCGCTGCCCATAGATGTGGTTTAAACGCGGATTATTATAGTATACTATGATCCCTTCAACCACACGTCGCGGAAACACGCATCATTCTGACTTGGTAATGCCAAGTGCCGCACCAAGGGTGATGATCTTCTGATATTGGACCAAAGGACTGCTTGATAGTCACATCAGCTACGAATGAAATTTACTATATACTCACTCTAATATATAGGAGTACAAGGTCCGCGGTCAGTATTAGTTGTCTAAGGTATAGAAATAACCCAATGTGGACACACGGCTAAGCTTTTATGCATGACGCTATTCCTTATCTGCTTTCATTAGCGCTCCGAAACGACGTCTTAAACGCCCAAGGATGTATTTGCCGACGTATGACGGATCCAAGGAGAGCGATCACCAATTTTTCCCGGACACAGATCATCAGATATCGCGGTAACGAACGCAAGGCGCTAACAATAAACAACTGTCCAAGTGACTGCGTCAAGGATCTGGTCTGTCGCGATAAATTGTCGAACCATGTAGTCCACATATCATCCTAGTTACATTGGAGAATGCTTGGCTTCCTAAAATGCGGTTATATTATAGCTTATTGCTGGGGCAAGCGCGTCTGGGTTTCGGATGTCTGGCTGAAAAGGTGTACTGTATATGCACTTGCCTCCCTAGGTTTCTAGACAGAGGCGTGTAGCTCTATATTAACTCCAGGTCATGGGCATGGAGTACGGCCCGATAAGCGCGTGTTAGTATATTGCATTACTTAAATAGGCGCAAGTGAAACCCCAATATGTTTAACAAGCTGTCTTACCCCAGATATCTTGGCTAAATTTCTTATATTAACCCTACCCTTACGGCATAGGCCGGTTTCTATGCGATGGATTTCTGAGGAGAAGAGGGAAGGATGGGGGTTAGAGGCCTAGAATTTATATTATTTTAGCCGACTAGATGCATTTATAACGAATGGGCTTACATAGCTCTCGGCTAGATAGGATATCTTACCGACCGCCTTTTAATGATATCGTATGGTTGGAGTGAGCTAAACAAGTTTATAGCATGACCTCGTATATTTCGGGCAACTCAAGTGACGTGTTAGTGTCTAACAAATTCTTAATATCTTTCAAGAAGATGTATCGATCAATAGGATCGCAGTAACAAGCATATATAACGCTACATTCAGTATAATCCTTCTCCGGATATCTGATGGGATTAATGAGATGTTGGGAGCTAAGTGAGGGTTCAACCAGAACGACGTAATCTACGCTGAGATATGCCTTGAGAGTTGCCCTTGTATATTGCAGATGACCTTAAGAACAAGCAACGACGAAAGCCCAATTGGGCACTTTCTATACTATCATTTGATGTTTTTCAAGGTAGGACATTATCAAATTACTTTCCACGCCTCTGTTGTAAGACTGACAAGAGCGTAGGCCCCAATGGGGCAACTAGATCAACGAGGTAATTGGTTATTGTCCCATATAACTTGAATTAAATATATACATGCATTCGTAGATCAATAATTAATATAATACCTATTAAAACAAGGCATATCCTGTCCAGTATTACAAGATATAAATGACGAAACCCCCTATGATACCATGCCTGTTTGAGTATTAAGTGAATCGAAAGTCCATATAGTATGTGTTAAGTGTGTAAAATGGTAAATAGTACCATCAATTTGTTCTTTATCCATTACTAAGAATATTAGCAGGTTCTACTAGCAGTAATTGACAAATGCCATGACTGGCGTACATGATAGACATTTAAATGATCGGAGGTATGTATACATAGAGAATCATCTCGGGCATTCCATTCGTGTGCAGTACTCTTTTTTTTTCCCTTCCCAAATCCAAACAGCCAAAATACAAAAATGTTTTCATTTCTGTCATGCTCAAGCAGTGTCCCTTGAAAAGCGTATCAGAATAACTGAACGTCAAATATGACAGGAACAAATAGTGTGCACGCCGACTGTAGTATTGGTAACGGTGATAGAGAGAGTTTAGGAAATGTAAGAACGGAGCATCCGATCGTGATGATTAATAGAAAATGCTCGTAAGAAATTTGAGTGTAGTTAATAAGAAAATAGGTTACTTACAGCAAAGCTAACGTTAGATCACCATGGATCCTCGCTTTTAATGTTACCTCAACCTCAAGATTGAGATCAAGTCTGAGACGTAGAGTGTCAGATTTGCCTCCGCCGTCGCCGCCGCCCTGGTTGAGGACACCACCAGCAACGTTGCCTAATGTACCGGTCGCCGAGTTCGTCAGGTTGTTCGCGGTTTCACCGACGTTGTTGACGGGGAGCAGCTGATCAACGCCGCCAATACCGCCTCCGCCTATGCCACCGAGCGGACCCCCGCTCTGCTGCTGTTGTTGCGTCTGCTGATTGCGCTGACGCCGCCGCCGTTGTGGTTGAGGTGCTACCTCGGCGTCTTCGGCACTTTCTTCCTCATCCGAATACCGTTGGTTCTGCGGCTCTGGCTGGGGCGCGGTGGCCTCCTGTCGTCGAGATTGGTTACGGCTGCGGCGACGACCCTGGCGGGATTTAGATCCGGACACCGAGGGACTAGGAGACGACATTTTCGACTATACTTATGAACTATTTGGGTGGACTAAGATGTAAGAATGGAAAGTATAGATTAAAGGAGATAAATTTGAGAAATTATTCTTCGTAGGAGAAAGTTGAGGAATAAACTGTCTATGTTTAGATCCGTTGGGTTCGAATACTATTTACATAAGATATATCTATACATAAGACATAGCTACATGTAGGAAGAGATGTCTTGGTCTTAGGAGTCTTCGCGTTCATGTCATATTTAGAAATAATACGTCACCGGTGGTCTAGATCGGGAAACTTGCCCCGGTATGCATTGTCAGAGTCGAAACCTTGATTTCGCGCATTCGTAAGTTCTGCATCTATCTTTACTATGTATAGACAACGATACTCCGACATCACTAGCATCATCCTGTTTCTTGATATGGGGGTAATTGGGGTGTGGCAGCATCTGAGTGGCTTGGATATTGACGTCAAGCCACAGATCAGGTACTATGTAGTCGATCGCCAGCTCTCATCCGACAGGGGGTGTGCATAAGGTATGATGGTTCTACTATTATTATATTATTATTATTGTCTAGGTATATATTAGGTATAACATGAAAGTCAGCTTTAATGACAAGTATTTCGAAGTATCGAACATGTACTATATTATTAGTTTATTTTCTCATGTCTTCTTCCTGGGCCGAACGGCTAAGTAGCTTGCTAGTCTCTCGTATAACGACTAGATACTCCAAGCTGCAGTTCGCGATGCAAATTTATATCCACTACATCGCGATCCAAGATCTCATCTAGATTTCCTTCTTTATCGTAGTGAATATTCCACGAACCTTCATTATTCTCAACGGCTACAAAATTCTGCTCGTTCTCAAGTGTTAACCACTCTTCATCTTCTGTCCAACTCCAAGGCCCGACGATGTGGCCAACAGTCTCTGATCTTGACCCGTGACGTAGTAGCCCCGTGTCCTTATCAGCATATATCCAATTAAGCATCGGCGGATCGTCCGCTATGGGCGCTACTAGGCCTTGGTGATTTTCAGGTCCGGGGTAACCAAAATAGAAGCCGTTGAACGGATAGCCCTCCACTGGACATGCTGGGTGATTTAAATAGAGCTGTCAAAAAGTTTAGAAGACGGATTGGTCTTTCGGTGAATTAAAGAAGCGAAATAGATTCCAATAGCCACATTCGCCTAACTAAACTTACCTTCTTGTCCTTGAAGACTACAGTAGCATCTTGGGGCAGCGCAACGTCATCGTGTGAAAAGTTTGCCGTTAACTTGAATTTTATTCTTTCCTTCGCTTGTTGGTTCTGCTTTTTCTGGGCGTCAATTGCTTCTGCGACACCAATGACTGTTGGGATGGCGCCGACCGTGAGTAACCCGAGCGTGGAGAGAGCCATAAGACCAATTGATTAAAAGGTACAACGAATGAACTCCACTGAGACTTAGAAGATCCCTCGTGTTCTAACAGAAAAGGAGGGAATACTTGTCGGAGTAGCGACTAATTTTGGCAGCACTGAAGCGTGTGGAGTGACGAAACAGGTTTTAAGCCTCGTCGTGGAGGCCTTGGAATGTCTCCAGATGATGAAATTGAGCCAACGCCACATACTCTTCTCCTTATACCAGTTATACTCTAAGCCACAAATACAGGGAGTTTCTCTAAACTCTACTGCATAGCATGTGCCATAATGCATACGAATTTGGTGTGGGAGGATGCTGATTGGCAATATGTGCATACATATATGTAGGTAAACGGAGAGAATGGACAGGGGCTAGAAGCCGGAAGCCCAGTCAGACCAGGGGTCATCAATGCCAAATCTCGATTGGGATACGACTCAGTCAAGTGCCTTTATTGCGTCACTGCTACCGGACCTTACCGCAGTGTATGTATGAATAGATCAAGGTATTTTCCAAAGTGCTATTTTGAATCTAGAAAATAAAACACAGGGAATTGCCACAAATTGTTGGCTTAGCCTAGGTTTATCTGATACCAATTGTAATAGTTATTTAAAATAAACCGAAGAGTTAGTGGTATATCAATACAACATGTCATCTAACGACGATAATACACTTCAGCAGCCCCGCGAAGAAAGCGAGGGGCAACAGGAGCAACAAGAACAGTCAACTTCGCAGGCCGAACAAGAACAGCAACCGGCGAAAGACCAGAATGATAATCAGGACCAATCGCAACAGAATAGCGACCAACATAACGAAAATGAAGCGAGGCAACACGATGATAAAGTGAACGAGAACGGCGACGAGAAGGGCGAGGAGGCGAACCCTCAGGCCCAACCCAAGGCCAAACCTGAGAAGAAGAAACAACCTCAAGCTCAGCCTCAACCCCAACCGGCCCGTGCCGAGTCAGAGAAGCCTAGTCGATCACGACGACGCCGCCGTAATCAACCGGCGTGGATGGATGACGATAAGGAGAATGACTACGGAAAACAGATGGCACCTCGTAGGCAACGTCAGCCATCACTACAGTACCAGCCCCAACAGCAGATGCAGCAGATGCAGCAGCAGCAGATGCAACAAGTACAGTCACAGCCTCAGAAGCAAGATGGTGGAAAGAATCCGCTGAGGTTGCGATTGGATCTCAACCTCGAAGTGGAAGTGACATTAAAGGCCCGGATCCACGGTGATCTGACTTTATCTCTCTTGTACGTGATGATAACCCTCTTCTTACCCTGGAATATCTACAACATTAAAACACTCTGAGATTGTCTGAAAGACGTTGGATGCCCATTGAACTGACTCTACAAAAGTGATACTTAGTTCAGTTTAACAGAAAACAATTGACTAACAGCCTTACTCGCTGCTAATAGGGAAGGGTTATAAACCTGCACCATTTGGCTGTAAGATGTGCAGAGGAAATGGAGTTACGAAACGAATCCTTCGTCATTCTGAATATGCGATAATGACGATATGTTTTAACTCGTGCCAATAGTAAACGGAGACGCTGCTACGCTTCGATCTTCGTAGGCGTTGAGGGTAAAAGTGTTTTAGGAGGGGCTGATGGGTTAGAAAGATTAATATGGGTTAATATTTGGAAGTGATACGATTCTGTAATTATTATGATGCTTTTATTCTAATGTACCTAACCTACCTAATTACCTCCTATAAAGATGTAATCAGTTATAAGATACTAATAATTTGGATTTGTTGGTCTTAACATTCCGAGAACTTTTTGTGAAGCCTTCAGTTGAAAGGACGAAAGATGAATTTTGAAATGAAGGTACGTAACTACAAGGTACAAGAGAATGTGGCTGTGGCTGTGGCTATCACTTCGTGTTAAAAGCCACATCAAACGGGCAAATTTCTAGATTCGTCCTTGTTCCCAGTTTTCCAACTTTTTATTTTTACTTCTTCCGAATCTCTCCACCCTCCCTTATGCATCACACATCACACCTATTTTCACCATTTTCTACTGGTCCCCAAGCCCTTATGTTTTGCGCTTCGCTGACTGGTCATTTCTGATTGCTCAACCTCTTATATTAACAAAACTTCCACGTACATACCATGTATGCAGCCACATGTGAAACAGGTAGCAGGCCAGCTAAGCAAGTATACGAGTCTTGCTCAAATCCTTGTTGACTCGTCTATGCATAGGTATGTGTGTACAGATGGGCAGATGGGTTATAGGGAGACTTACTTAGGATTCACCTTCCCCTGCTACCTATGACGTAAGTGAGATCGAGTATGATGTCTGGTAGGATGTCTAGTAGGATGTCTGATAGAATTAAGTCCCTTACTATCTGACCATCATGTCTCGTACCATGGTAGTATCGTCTACAGTCGCTTTAGAGTTTCACGCTATCACTCCTCCTCCACCTATATTCGATATTTTCCATATCCATGACACGCGATTTAGGTTGTTGGTAATCCATGAGTAAATGACCATTTTACCGCCGGGGTCCGGGTTTGACCTTTTCTGTCATATCATCCTGGTAGTATACCTTGTCATATTTATCTTCCTCAACGCCAATCAAGTTCGAAATCTTCTCTTAGCTGTGGCCGACATGATGGATCCACAGACACCTAGGAAACTATTCAAGCCTTCGAGTAAAACGAAGACGCCAACTCCCTCAAAAAAACAAAGACCGACTACTTCCACTCACTCAAGTATTCAATCTCGTGAAGTCCTGACTCCGACAGAGACAGTTAGTCGAAGCACGGATACGCTTGGTGGTGCGCCAGAGGCTATAACGAGTACTGTAGATCATTTAAGAGGGGGGAAAGACGCTTCGAATCAAGAGAATAACTTTATTAAGAGTATTGGCGGGAAGCCTCGAGATATCCTCAGTTCTTCGAGTAGCGATCTCCCCGAATCCTCGAATCCTACAGACGCCCTAAATTCGCCGACAGACGTTGCTAGATATTTCACCGAGCAAGGAAATTTAGAAATGAGCACTTTCGTATCCGCGCTCGCTGGCAGGACTTCACACGATCAGACAGACGTGGCTAGCAATGGCGTTGGAACACCAAGAGCCGACACTAATACTAAGGATCACGGCGATAATTTAGTGAATGCGGTATCTGAGTCGATAAAACAATTACCTAATGATGATGCTTTGGTCGTTTCTCCGAATGAGCGAACGAAAGAAGTACTCGAAAAAATAGCTCGCGACGCAACGAATAAGACCCCTAATTCTGCGAGTTTAACTGAGGGAAAAATTAAAGATGATGATATAATTGACGAACATTTGCCGAAGGTATCTGATATCAAGAAGCCGAGTCAAGACAATAACATGATCAATAAAATACCGGATAATCACCGACCTGCAGATGTCTCTAAAAAAGCCGAAGGAGTTACGGGTAGTCTGCAAGAGCTAGTATCTGATACTGCGCCAACTAATATCATCGGCGAACCCAACACGAGTATCATTTCAGAAGAAGCTCATATTGGGATATCTGGTAGAGATCCCAGACCAGGTATTTCGGCTCATAGTACTACGGACAACATTATCAAACAAGACCCAGCTCATAGCACTTCGGGAGTTTTAGATGATGATATGCGGGTTGCAGATAATATGGGCCAACCGGCGCATATTGAACGAAGAATTGAGATCCCACTTCCTCGCCCCGAAAAGGTTGCTAGCAGTCCCTCTAAACAAGCAAAGCCGGAAGCAAATAATATATCAGTCGGCCTCGGCGATCCTGATGACCTACCTGATGTCCAAGATTTACCAGGCACAGACGATTTGCAAGATCCACCAGAAGAAGTCCTAGACCCTTCTGTGCACTCTCCGTCTTCTAATGTTACCCCTATTCCGAAGATCCCAAAAATTACACCCATTGGCATGGCGCCGCCTCCTGATCTACTCCGTCTCGCACATGGCCTTGGCGGCAATATTGTCGACGATGTTGGCAGTATTGTAAACGCGTCAGGAAAGGTACTCGGTCACGCTACAGGAGACCTCCCTGCTATGGTTGGTAGAAGGGTTGCAGACAACGGCGAAGTCTACGGAGAAAATGGAGAGGTCATTGGATATGTTTCTGAGAATTTCACCAATCCACCGCCCCCTGTGGATATCCCCGAAAACGTGCTCGGGGGATTGAAGATAGATCATGATGGCAATATCCTCGACACAAATGGTAACATAATTGGTCGCTTTAATGAGAAGGCCAAGGAGAATGATAATTTAGCGCCTTTTATGAAACGGTCCAAGCCAGACGAGTCTCGGACCGAGGATAGAAAACCTGATGAGAAAAAGCCGAAGGTCAATGCTCATACAGGAGGGAGCCCTTCAGATATCTTCCTAGATGTGAAGTCTACGACTGACGGTATTCAACTTACAATTCGCATCCCTACGACATTTGGAAGACAGCCACACGATTCATAGGTACATGTGCATCTCATGATTTTAATTACGATTAATGGCGCATCAAACAAGGTCCCGTAACGTATGGTAAATTTTAATGAGCTTATAATTTACATTCTCTTTTACCACAAAAGTACAATACTTTTAAGTAGTAATATTAGCTTGATATCATGGGGAATTGAAAATCTCGATACGAATAATGTATTTACGAAATCCATAGGAGGTACATAGCTAGGGGCTAGTCACCGTCTTCAGAAAGTATGTAATACTGTGTCATGCATATGAGATGTGAGCAATCTAACTCTTAATGACATATCGGCCGAGAGAACGTCTACGCCACTGGATTATACTGCTAATGACGTCTATCTGATGGAGACCCATGTCTAATGTGGCTTTCTAAACTGCAATGAAAACAGGTTGAGGCGAATAGCACCGTACCCATCCCGCATCGAAACTTGAGTTGGTGATTGGCCACCCTTTTGGCAGAGATTGGCGAATAGAGAAGCCGGATCTAGTTTAACATGACCCTGAGTCCACTTTCAGCTTTAAGGTATCCAGTGCTGCTTAATACATACTTAAAAATATGATACAGGATCAACCAGGCGGCGATGGACTTAGCCTAACCTAACCCAACCACTTAACCTTTAAAGTGATAGGGAAGTGTTAATGTGGCTTCCGTGGCTTAAGACGAAGGCCAAGTCTTCTATTGTATCACTATCCTGTAGTCACCATCATCCATGCCGCGTATGCGGTTGGGGTAGGCAGAGGGTGTGGTAGCTGACAGTTCACTACGATCGAGATTCGCAAATGATACCCCTTAGGGTGCCCATGTACTTGTAGCTAAAGCTAGGAAGAGCAATCCTGTTTTTCTTGCTAGACTTTAGTAAACCTTAACAAATGGCGGCTTTGTATTTTTCGATCCCCTACGAAAGAACCATAGATTGCAACCACCACCCAATACCCTGATGTGGACAAGCAAGCAAGCCACAGACTTAATACCCTGTGCTTGTTTGTGGCACACACCCGCCCGAGATCGACAGAGAGATGGGCCGGAGAGCAGCCTCATTCGTGGCTCAACCTCATCGTGAAGTTCGCTCCAAGATTTTGTTGCCTAGGTATTCCCTACTGATGACGTTCAGAGCTCTGCCCCGGGGGTTAAAAACTATTTTCATGACGTCGAACATAATGTACGAAGGGTCTTCAAGCGAGGAGGGGAGGAAGGGAACCTTGTCATATCTCCTCGAAGTTCCAAGCGATGTTAGTACGCCCTCCAAATCTGTGACGTAAGTATATTAGCTTTGGGGGCTAAGTTCTCCTATTATATTTCATCGTAGTTATGCTTCATAAAAGATTAAATTCTCTTTCTCGCGCTCTAAGAATCTCGATATACAGAATCTAATGACTACCTCTCATAATCATACCCCAAAATCCAAATTACTACAGCAAGAGCAACATAATTTCACTGTAGTACCTACAACGACACGGTATAATATCACCGACCAAAATCCAGTAGCAGTTATACATCCTGCCGCCATGTCTGGACTTGGTGAAACGCAGAGTGTTCCTCTAGGCAAGGCTTCAGAAGCTGCTCCTGGGGAAGGAAAGAACAGCCAAGCAGCGGCGGCGCAAGACTCAGTACCGAGATCTATCCCCGATACATCAGATGAGAACGAGGGCGAAATGGTCCCGGCAGCAGGCCGTATTAACGAGAAAGGAGAAGTTATCGACGATGACGGGAACCCTATTGGTAAAGTAATCGAAGGCGACGCGCACAAATTTGCCGGCTTCATTGTTACGCAAGAGGGCGATGTGCTAAACGAGGACGGCGATATAGTCGGTAGAGCTGAGCCTTTGGGTGACGTCCCGTCCGAGTTTAACTATAGCTTAAAACCTGCAAAGGATATCGCTACTCAAGAAGAACAACCAAGTCAAGCTGGTGATGGCGGCGGTGCGCTCTCTAACGCTACTGGGAACCTGGGCCAAGCCACAAAGAACATTACTGGAGCTATCGGCGACACAGCAAAGGGGACTGTAGATACTGTTGGGAAGGCGACTGGAACTAAAGAAGCTACAGACATTGCCGACAATACGCCAAAGGATGCTACGGGCCTTGTCGGCGATACAGTTGAAGATAACTCGGGAGCTGAAGGTGATGCCGTCAAGAATGTTGACGCGCCAACAATCAACGACGACGATGAAGTTGCTAAGAAAACAGCCCAAGACGCCACCGAGGGTGTGGAACAGGCTGAAGGAAAGGGAACAGTTGATGTCGAAGACGTGGCCTCCAAACTTGGCTCGAATCTTGACTCAGGCTCCGAGGCTGGTGGCATATCCCAGCAAGGGCTTGCCCCTATTGATATCCCGCCGCTTTCACCATCTGTGGCTAATAAAGTAATTGCTTTATTCGAAGGCCCATTCACAGTCGCAGACGGCGGCAAGGTTACCGACCAGAATGGCAAGATCATCGGCAAGTTAGCCGGCGACTCAGATCTTCAAGACTTAGTTGGCAAGAATGTCACAGGTATAGACGATCAGGGGAACCTCCTAGCCGATAGTGGCACTGTTATTGGTAAAGTCGATATTGCGCCCGAGGGTTCGATTGCCGAGCGTATTAAGGAGGCAGTTCCCGAGGCTGCTCCTCGCCTTGACGCCTTGGAACAACAGGCTCAACAAGCTGCGCCAATACAAATTCCATCGTTCGCCCCGTCTGTCGCCGACAAAGTTATCGCCATGTTCGACGGACCCTTTAACATTGGCGAGAATGGTCAAGTTACAGATCAGCAAGGCAAAATTCTCGGCAAGCTAGCGGAGGGTCAAGAATTCGAGAACTTGCTCGGTAAAGATATCAAAGGAGTCGACGGCAAGGGAAACCTACTTGGCGACAATGAAACTATTCTTGGGAAAATTGACTTAGTTCCCGAGGGATCGATCATAGAACGTATAAAGGAAGAAGTACCCGAGGCAGCAGACCGGCTTGAGGCGCTCGAAGCTGCCAAGCTACAAGAAGAGGAACAGGTCAAGCTACCCGATATCGCCATCCTTGAAGGCATGACGATAAATAAAGCCGGCAATGTTGTAGATGATAATGGCAATCCAATCGGTAAAGTCAAAAGCGGAAACATCAGTAAGCTGATCGGAAAGACGCCTGACAAGACTGGGAAGGTTTGGGACAATCAAGGCAATGTTATCGGCGAGGTTGAAGTTCTCCCCGAAAAGGTGCATAATCAAGCCGCTCCATTCGAAGATTTCCCAGACGCGACTGTCGACAAATTTGGCAAGGTTATTTTTGATGGTCGCCAAGTTGGTGTGGTTGTTGGCGATGATTTCCAAAAATTAATTGGGAAGAAGGTGGATGCCGACGGCGACATCCTTGACAAGAATGGCAATGTTGTCGGCCAGGCCCAGCGCGCCGAAGCCGAGGAGCCCGTGGAACTTGAGGAGGAACCTGTCGACTACTCAATGCTCCGCGATAAGAAGGTGAACAAGCTAGGAAACGTCGTAGATGATAAAGGTCAGATTTGGGGCCATGTCGTTCAGGGTATTCTTAAGCACCTCGTTGGCAAGAAGGTCGGTGATAACGGAGAGATCTTCAATGATGCTGGACAAGTTGTCGGTAAAGCCGAGCCTATCCCCGACAGCGAACGTGAGGAAGTGAAGGAGCCTACACCCTTCGAGGATTATCCCGATGCTATCGTTGGTGATCAAGGCCGAATTATGTCCAACGGCGAGCAAGTTGGGATTCTGGTCGAGGGTGATCCCAAGAAACTTAAGGGCAAACCTGTCGATGCCGATGGTGACATCCTAGACAAGGCAGGAAATCAACTGGGACATGCGGAACGATGGGAACAAGAAGAACCTGAGCCGCAACCAGAAGTTGATAAGTCTGCCCTAGCTGGTAAGCGCATCAATAAAGCCGGCAATGCTGTCGACAGTCACGGCGATATTTACGGTCGTGTAATTGAGGGTGACCTCAAACGCTTGATTGGTAGGATGTGCGATAAGAATGGCTTCATCCGCAACGAAGGAGGTGATATCATCGGGAAGTGTGAACTAATTCCCGAAGCCGAACGTGAAGGTATGAAAGAGGGCCCTTTCACTGAACTTCCTGGCTGTACTGTCAACAAGGAAGGCAAAGTCGTGACACCCGGTGGCGATGTTGTTGGCCGACTTGTTTCCGGTGAACCTAAGGTTCTCTTCGGACGCACAGTTGATGATGACGGAGATATCTGCGACAAGAACGGAAACGTATTAGGTCACGCTGAGCGTTGGGAAGAAGAGCCAATCCCTAAAGACATCAACCCTATGTCAGGTCGGAGGGTTAACCGCGAGGGCAACATCGTCGACGAAAATGGTGACCTTATGGGCAAACTTACTTCTGGCCTGTTGAGCGAGTGCGCAGGTAAGAAGATCGATGACGACGGCGATGTTATCGACAGCAAAGGAAAGGTTCTAGGTCACTGTTCGTTGCTCGCCGAGCTACCAGAAGAAACGGAAGAGGAAATACAAGCCCGCTTGCAGTTAGAGCAAGACCAGAAGATTGCTGGTAAAATTTCCTTCTGCATCGAGCAGTCGATAGACAAGATAAAGCCAATTTGCAAAATGATCGTTGACGTATGTCCAGAACTATTTCTATTTATATCATATCTACTTCCTATATCTCTCTTTGAGGATGCTAATTCTATATACAGAGAATTGACGCCGAAGAGCGCAAACCCGAGGATGAACGTGATGAGGAAGAGCTCGTCAAACAAGTCCGCCCCCTGATCGAAGAAGGCGGCAAGATCCTAACCGAAGCCAACGGGGTGATCCGGGGACTCGACCCTGACGGCCGCATCTCGGCTAATGCCAAACACAAGACAGCCGCGCGTGAGGCAAGTCCTGAAGAGTACCGACTCGCGGATCTGTTGAAGGAGCTCACGGGCACCGTGACCGAAACCATTGAAGGCGCCAAGCGCAAGTTAGAGAATCTTCCGCACGCAAAGAAAGCAATCAACCCACTCTGGGGACTTCTGTCTGAGCCTCTCTTCCAGATTATTGCGGCCGTCGGCCTCCTTCTTAGCGGTGTTCTGGGACTCGTAGGCAAGCTACTCAATGGTCTTGGACTAGGCGGCCTGGTTAATAATTTACTTGGAGGACTTGGTCTTACTAAAGTATTGGATGGTCTCGGGTTGGGCTCAGTTTTGGCTCCTATTACCGGAAGCAAGAAAAAATAGGTTATTAATTTTCAAGGGATACGGGTCTGGATAGATATCTAGGTAGTTAGGCTATGTTCTTGGAAGTAGTGCTCCGTGTTGTAATAATATTCGGGGCAAGGAGGTACATATAAGCCCCCCCTTTAATGAGTAATGAGCATATCGAAGGATGTAACTTTTAGGTAGTTAGGCAGCTTACGAACCCTTTTTTTCTAATATTTCAACATTTATGTCGAGAAAATTAAATTTGAGTGTAATACTTGTCTAGCTTTGTCATTGGGAATGCCCTCATTGCCAGTGACATGAAAAAGGTACCTGCGTACCGAATCTCAGACTCACGTGTCAGTAGACACTATGACTACATCCCCAATTGGACTAGGACTAGGAATTTTATCGAGATTATGAAGTGTTTGTGACGTTATTGATGACGTTTATAATGATATGGAGGGTATGACAGCCTAGGAGGGAGTGGTTACGCAGTTGACATCTATCGCGAGCTTGAACCTACGTCGTCCGAACTACAGCTAGTGGCCATCACGACTAAGATTCACATTCCTAAAAACCCCCACCTTTAAGATCCGTAGTAGTATATTGACTCCTTCCTTGCAACTCCGACGCAATATCATTATATCAACTCGTCCGTATAATTTATTCACTCTTATTAAGGTCTGACACTGTACCAGAAGAAAATGCCTCGGACGTTACTCCTCTGCTTCATACATGGATTCAAGGTAGGGTTGAACAAAACTTATGACAACACACCTCCTAACAATTCTATCAGGGCGACGACGACACATTTAGAACCTTCCCAGTCGATTTGAAGCAGCAGGTATCCAAGAAGCTTCCTGATCACAATGTCGAGTCTATAGTGTATCCAAAGTACGAAACGAAGGGAGAACTAGGACAATGCTGTGTGTCCTTTCTATCATGGTAAAGCCTATCCTGTTTGATTAATGTACCTCATCTATTTGGCGCTTATAAAAGATTAGGCTAAAGGAGCAAGTAATGGAATTGAGAAAAGCGCATGCCGAGACACCATGGCCGCCACATGATAGAGATATAGGGGTAATCTTAGTTGCGCATTCAATGGGGTAAGACAATTCCACATACAACGCTTGCGAAATATTGCTCATACTACGTTTAGGGGTTTTGTTGCTTCAGATACACTTTTTCTAATCCTAGACGAGATGAAAGAAGGGTCACTACTATTTCCCCTAGTTCAAGGACTTCTAACCTTCGACACCCCATTCAATGGCCTTGCGCGTTCGATGTTCGTTTACGGCGCGTTTTCAAACTATCAGAAAGTAAGTACGGTTTTTAATGTCATGACAGCTCTTTCAGCAGCCCCATCGGCTCTTGGGAGATCAGCTTTTAAAAAGACGACAACGAATTTTTCATCTACAAAGTCTTCGCGGTCAGTATGGAAGGGATGGCAACTTGTTGCAGTACGCACAGGAACTGTTGGTGCGATAGCTGCTGGAGGTGTTACAGCTTATATACACCGCCAGCAGATTATGAACGGTATGCGTAACATGCGAAACATAAGCAAGGAGTCTGTCAAAGAAGGATATCAACAAGGCATGGATACGTTGAGCCAGGGATTAGCATATATCAACCGCGGAAATGTTGGACGCTCCTTCGAATATCTTTCAGACCATTTTACATTTGTTGGTACGCTTATGAAGCAACAAGAATTAAGCCGAAGATTAGAACGTATGGCAGCGCTTAAGGGCATCGGCATCCATGACTTTTACACATCTTTAGGGGAAAATGGTATGTGGAATGGCGGCTATTTCGTCCCCGAGCGTACATTCTGCGCTATACCAGCAAAGGATCATCTGGCCTATCCTCTCTTCTCGCGTCAGGTCATCAAAAAGACAGAAGACGAAGTACAAGCACATATGAGTATGTTTATTAGAGATAAGAACGAAGAGTATGAGCAGATGACGGAAGAGGCCAGTAACCTCGTGATTCGCTGGTTCAATGATGACTCCGACATATTCGATGATCCTCAATTCGCATCACCTCCGCCTCCCGAGCCTGTGGAAGAACTTGTGGCCACGACAGAAGACGGCCAGGAGATTCTAAAGATAGAACACATCGCTGAAGACACAGACATAAGTCAGGAGGTGGTAGAAGACGAAGAGGATGATAACAACCTTCCAGATGCGTCACCATTAGATATCACTGCGGCAGCGTCTATCGTTCCACTGCCAGACGACGAGACTCCATCAGAAAGCGAAGACCAAGATGCACAGAAAAGGACGTACATGCGGTACCTTATGCAAATAGCGCAACAAGCAGGTACCGGAGTCAAGTCTTACGTGCCGACGAAGATGCCGGAGATGCCTCAAATCCCGTCGGGGTCTAGTTTCAGATCATATCTCCCTACTCAAATGCCACAGATGCCGAATATCCCGAGGCCATCCGTCGGGATATTTGGCAAGAAGCAAAAGCAAGCGGCGTCGAATACGGAGCAACCTGTGGAGAATTCAGAGCCCGATGACACTGTAGAGCCTCATATAGGGAGGCAAAGAATCGATAGTGGCGTGCAGCTATCATCAGAACCTACGAAGTCGGCCGAGCTTCATCAAGACTCAAATACAAAGGTTGACCCGACTCCGACCTTGTCCAAATAAGAGGTAATAAGAAATTTAAAGATCAAGATAACAACAGTAGTCAGAAATAGATACACGCTGCGGGTGTTAGTATCAGCTAATGTTTAGGAAATAAAGTTGAGTAGAACGTCATGAACACGTATACAGAAAAGGATCTGAGAACTTTATGTATCTAATAGACAAGGATGAAGGGTTCAGATATGCTAAAATACCTAATGAATACTCATTTAGCACTATTGGGCCTACGTAAACTTTAGAGAGCTCGATGTTTCTATGAATGATCCGTACATGGCTCAGAGTAGCTACAGTAAGTGGACGTAAAGAGGTAATTAATGTTCATCATACTACAATCGGACCTCGTGTGTAATTTGTACATATATATAAAGCGTGACTTCATATCACACACTTGAAGCAATAAAGATACGTCATAAAAACATCAAGTTCACACCTACTTTGCGTGAGCACCAGGGAGTTTAAAGGGGAACGCAAGACTTGGTCCTAACCCTCCTATTTCAGGAACAATTTATCTCCTTATACCTTGCCAGCTCACCTTCCTATAAGAACTTCTATTTGAACTGTTAAATTCAGACACATCAAAGAAGATATCCGCAAACACATACTCAAGATATTCAATCATGACCGATAACACAGGCAACCAAGACCAAAACGAAGGCGGAAGCGGCGGGCTCCTCGGTAGCGTGACTGGGGGCGTCGAAAATATCCTCACGGGCGGCGATAAGGCTAAGGGCCAAGGAGGACTTCTCGGAGGCCTTGGTGGAGCGGTCGGCAAGACGACAGAAGGCGCCGGAAATGCCCTCAATCAGACGACCGAGGGGGTCGGTAACACGGCCGGCTCAGCAACGGAGGGAGTCGGAAACGTTGGCAAAGGTGTCACGGGGACCTTAGATAATACCGTTAAAGGAGTAACTGGCTCGGGACAGGAACGGAAGTAGGAGATATGCTTCGTTTCAAGAATGACGAGGGGGTCTTCAAGATGGGAATAATACATTGATGTAATTGATGAGATTTGTTACCATAGTAGAATACATGTCCACCAGATGACATTTTTCTCTCATTTATTATAATTGGTTTACTAGCCAGCGAAGATTGTAGCGCCGGTGAAACAACATATAACCTCAACTCGGGATAGGTTTAAAACGTGCATCGTATTCCTCGAAATAAAAAGTAAATACCGTTTGCTTTTAATTCACTTTACAGCAGTCTCTTATTTGGAATTCATGCGCTACGCCTTGAACGCAGCAATAAGGCGCGGGGCTTTCGCGATAAACAATTGGGTCTTACAGCGTCTAATCACCTAAAATCACAACGGAATCTTGGGTACGAATGGTAAGATATACGATTTTAATTATCAAAGTAACCTCAGGCCATTGTTATGATTTTTAGAAAATATATTCGTCTTTACGATCTAGAGGATTTTACCTAGGTAGAAATATCATTTATTGTAGCTTCTTGAAGGCGCTGGTTACATTTGAATTAATTTGGGAAGCTAATCGTGGTACAAAGGGGTTCTATTATGAGGTACCTAAGTTACTGCGACACAAGATATTAATCGCCTGTGCTCTCCCTTTACCTATACCTAGTAAAGCGAAGTCTAACCTCAATTCCAACTTCCAATTCCTCGCTCTATTCTATTTTATAGTTATTAAGACTCGGAACGATGACATGACCAACCAAGTAAGCTTGACCTCCATGATTACCGACCTAGATCGAGGGGAAATTTACAAAGGATGAATGCTTGGCTATGCCGGATGCATCGGCTGCTGCATAAGGAAAATTCATATCTTTAACTTGCACAGTACTTAGGTAGCCAGCTAGGAAGGCTAGTATTGCCGTGGTGGAAAAGAATATGGAAACGATTGGGGTTTTGGAGTTAATTAACGACTCATGTCGTGCATTACGAAAGGCATTAGGGGTAACATCGCGGGTGAGACTTGGCAACTTTGGTGATCAATCACGACATGTAAATAATCATGATTAATATCCCCCCAATAGATAGTTTTACATCTCGTAGTTATAGTTAATTATACTAATCTTTTCTATTAGGATAGTTAGGGTAAGTAATAATAATATATATAAGATTCGGAGTACTCGACTAATACAAGTTACATTAGGTACCTCATATTAGGCTTGTTCAAACGAATACACCTCCGCCAGGATGGTAACCGTTAGAGGCTCCATCCTGCCCCATTTGAGTCCCGCAGGTAACTTACAAGGCAATTTATATGAAGAAAATACGTGGTGGCCCATATGAGTGGCTTGTGCGAGGCCTGGCATCTTCATATTTCGAAATCAACAAAAGAATAAAAAGTAGAAATTAGGGGATTTCCCATATAAAATCCCCTGGCCGCTACTTGTAGATTGTGTATGGGGCAGTGGAGCCCCTAACGGTTACCATCCTGGTGGAGGTGTAATACATAATACGTAACCATCGAGAGAAACATCCTTGGTCTAGGCTACGTATGATAATTACCTTATGTATGCAGGACAGTGGAGTTTATCCACCCGCCCCGGATTTTACCCCAGGTTTTGAACCTCTACATTTTAATAAATCTTTAACACTATACCCCTTTGCGTAAGTATGATGTTACCGCTCACCGGCGGAGCTCAGCGAACCATAGCTCAAGGTCACGCGATGAGCACACCACCAGTGTCTCGACAACACCTTACTGTAGTTCAACCCCGCCCAATCATTACGAAATTCAGCACCAGGAATTTGATCAGCTGGTTGCCGATCCATCATGGTTCCTCGCACATTACGGGACAGGAGAGCAGGCCAGAACCCCTCTTCCTCCTCTCCCTCCTCTCCAAGCCCCTTTTTACCCTCCCTTCAAATTGCTCTTCGTTCCCCTCTTCTTCCTCCTCTTTCTACTCTTTCTCTCTCGTCTCACAGACATTGGCTCTCTAGACATTGCTATTCTTATAGTCATTGCTATCGTCAACACCACTAGCTAAGGTAGCTCATCCACGCTCTATTGTCTCACTAATAATATTATTGTTATGCATCTAACACTAATAACCATTGTTTTAAAATAGCTAGGATATTGCAAGCTCTAATCCTATACTTATACACCAATCAGCTTATAAATTCACTATGGCGGAACCTCTCACCAGAGTAGACTCAGCCGTCCAGGGTCTCTCCGAGTCCCCCCCGAAGGAGAAGATTTCTCATCGCAGAGCCAGCTCAAGTGTAGCTGGTGTACAGAGTATGAAGGACATGTGTAAGTACTAACCTTTGGAATGATGTATCGGATACATCGGGTCATGACTGATGATCAATGAATATAGGGGAAACGAGAACGAAACTCCAATTGGCACCGGAAACGCAAAGAACTGGATGGTAAGTTTGATCGTGTTATATCTCCTGCCATAGCACTACTATATATGTATTTTCTAACATTCCTATAATATAGGAAGATCAATACATCTTCCTCTCATGTCGAGGAGAAAGACATACTAAAGAAGCCCTTGGTAACACCAATGGTGAGAGCAATTGATCTAGTAACGGACCTTGGCTCTGTGATAACGGCACGGAATCGCCAAGGCGTCACTATCAAAGATGCATTAGACGCTATCTATAAGATGAACAAGAAGAGGGCAAGTAGCATCTTTCCATTATGATATTCTTAGGTTGTCCAGGTGTCGGACAAACATACTGTATAATTTTTATGCGAACACTACAGCTAACCAAATTCTTTTTTATATAGGCCGACGATGAACTTGACAAACCATTCCTAGAAGGCTTCGAGTGGGCTCCCGAATATAGAGAATACGACGAAGAAACCGAAAAGGGGCGGAAGGAGATGGAAGAAGAATGGCAAAGGCTTATAATACATTTATCACCGACGCCAGGCGTTTCAAACTTTAGCAGCAAGAAGAAGAAGAAGGCAGCTGCAGCCGAATAAGCATCCTCACCCTCGCCCTCTTGTATATCCGCTTCTAATCCGGTGCCTCCTTTGGATAATCCTACCCCATTTCTTAAATCTCGATCTAGTTCTAGGATGTTTTCAGATATATCACGATATAAGACTCTGATACCATCGCGGTGCATTTTGGACAAGGCATAGTTCTAACTACAATACCTCATGTATCAAGACTAGGGTCGTCGTTATTAAATGATAATTATCCCATCTAGTAGATAATCTCTTGGTGTGATTATGTACCTCCTAACCTAAGGCAATGGGCGTTTACTTCCAGTAAGGATTACGGTAAACAGTAAGATGCTAAGATAGTAGATGTTAGTTTAGATGATTTCTATTGTATCTATTTGACATCCATCCAATACAGGATTAAAATCATCTAAGTCTTGATCCTCGAAATCAACCTCAGCGTAAACATCAATATAACCAACTCGACGATACAAGGTTTGAGATCCTGCATCTGGTATTAGTGCAAGTCCCCCAGCTACAATCTTGGACATCTCAAGATATGGATGGGACCAAAACACCAAAAACAGCACTTCATCGTATTGATCTCGAGAATCATCAAATCTAATTGTAGAGGCAGAGTTATTAGCCACATTAGCCTCAATCGGCATCCCCGTGTTAAGACAGTTAAGGCTACACATGCGGTAAACATTACACGCTGTGTGGGGTGGCTTCATTGGGCGCAATCCTTTCGCAGAGCAGAGAGGCCCCTTAAGCTTGCATATGGAGTTGTTCTTAACGTCAATCAGTTTGACTAACAACTTTTCCGAATTTAAAGATTTACCACCTGTAACGACATCGATAGGTCCATCAATGGAGGCCCAAGACCATGAAGGTGCACGGTTAATCGAAGATCTATTGCAACACCCATTAACCTTCCACAATAAACTTGAAGGCATTGATATCTCCCACATTCCGGCATGGTATGCATCATACTTCAAGTCAAGGGTTCTCAATTTGGCCCCCATATCATTTGCTAACCCAGACAAAGCAATTAGCTTATCGGCTGGGTAGGTAAGGTTGCAATTGGAATACTCCCGGACTGCCCCCCTCCATTCCCCTAGTAAGTTCGTAAGGAGAGAGGTGTCGTTTCTGATAAACGTCTCAGTCGGCTTTATGAGACATTTCCATGCGAACCTTCCAGATTTTGAGGTGGTTGCATCTAAGCCTGATGTCCTACGAGTCAAATCTATAAGCAGTGGTCCGGCTGGGATCGTCTCACAACAATTAGTTGTACAACATTCCCAGAAGACCTGTTTTCTGCCGAAATAGAGGTTCCTAGCCGCAAGCATCCGTTCCTGTAAAACCCACCCTCTCGTAATTAGTGTTTCCTCTTGAAAATCCCGTGCCCACGTCTTCGTTTCATCTTCAAATCTGTAATGCGATGGAAGGTCTTGCCTAGGACTTAGGTTGATAATTGTAGGTGCGACTTGTGTTGTATCGCGATCAAAGAAACATCCACCTGCGTCGTCCTTAGAACCAAGGGCAGCGATATTGAGGAACCCGTTTCTGTAGACCTTTTGCATGACTGCTGATTCTGCCCGCCAGTCGTCATCAGAGCCCTGTTTGATACAGAGACGGTCTATCCAGATGTAGCGAATATGCAAACGTTCGGCAATCTCAAAAGCGTCGCGGAATGTCTTTGGTAGACAACTGATTGGGAGACCACCGCGTAGCCTTTGAATAGTGTTGTCTTCAAGAAGCAGTTTATCCTTCGTCGGCCCAGGACCCCAGCAGTGACTTAATGACACGTATCGCTCTGCTGGATCATATTCTCCTCTTGAAACGAGTCGAAAAGTCTTTTCGCTACTCATCGAGACTATTTCAAGAAGGCGAGTTGGCGAAAACCCTGCAATTGCTTGGTTCTGGCATAGGCTATGGGATTTTAAACATCTTTCAACCCAGGATTGGACCAAACCCCACGTCTTCGCATCTGAGGTAGAAGAGGATATGATAGAATTAACAGGGTCCTTCTCTTCACTAACTGTTAGTTTGAAGTTCGATTATTACCTTGGTAGTATCTTACCATCATAGGCAACTAACTCGTAGAATATCTGTTCCATCTCGTCACCTATATAGATGTACATCGCCGGTTGGTCGAATCTATACCGAGTGAAATCGATACAAAAAACAGAATAGTATCCCAGTTTTGCGAGAGTTGGGTTCGCTTCGTCTTGATCAAGAACATTACAAACGACACAGCCGCGCTCCTGAGATCGCTTTAATGAATCATAGTCAACGTGGTGGCCAAAGACGTAGCGCTCTGGTTCTTTCATTTGTAACTTGTCTGTACGTAGTCAATGTGTGATATTTCGAATATATTAGGATTCGAATATCCTCACCAAAAATCTTGTCAAGTTCATCCCCGAGTTCATCAAACCGGAATTGTACTACCTCGGGAAAGTCTTTGAGTAACCCGAGCCTCCTGCTGTTTTCGGGATCCCATATGCCCTCGAGGCCCTCACGACAGACATTGCACAACATCTCTTAGATCCCCTAGAAGAAATGCAACCTTAACTACAAGCTTCTGTTCGTTATTATGTATTGAAACGCCCATTAAATCGTGAAGGCAATCCCGCCATCGCATAGCGAATGGTAAACGGGTGACAACCATAGATGGATGGGTATTATCATGATGGGCTTCGTTTAGGTTATGAACTTGGATTTGTATTACACCAGCACCGCCCCTGTGGTGCTAAGGACGTAAGTCCTGTTGGCGCAGGGCAATTGGTAGATATTGGGCTTCGGTCAGCCGCAATAAGCCGAGACATTTACAGGGGTATCATACCCATAAGTGTGGTCCAAGGCGCTTACAAAAAAGGACCTTTCTTCTCGAACACCAGTCAGATCGCCGTTCCATATCGTCGGGTTCTCGAATAATACAGGGAGCAGAGAACTTCTTCTTTTCTTTTGTCAGGGATAATGTCGTGGTTGGACACGATGTTTGCAAGCATTATGTTGCTCCACTACTCTCGAAATGCCTGTTCGCCTTGTGGCATTTGTTGGTGGGCGTAACCTCAGCTTGTTCATACGAAGCCAACAACAACATATCGTCCAATATAATGAATCAATGTAAATGTTGTTGGCACTACTGTTAGCTCTTTTTACTATTATAACTATCGGGTTACGTCTTTGGTGATATGTGTATTGCTCCTTTTCCGATTCAATTTGTAATCGAGTGGCTTTCCCCACCACCCCGACATGCTTTTTCTTATCTTTAAAGGGTCATGTTAGTTACCTTAGGTACCTAACCCAAGGTATTCATCGTGTGTGGGTGAAATTAGACGGACATCCTGACGTATTTTTAATACCTATTTCCTTACAAACGCCTGTCTAATATGGAGAATCTAGTAATGAGTCGTAGTTTGATAAAACTTAAATGATCGATCTATTCCTCTTGATGAGAGGTAGGTTAAGTGGTCAATTCAAAGATACTAGGATATAAAGCTCCGAGGACTCGTTTGGTCGAGAGACTAGCTTACAAGCCCGAGAACTGTACCTAACCTGCTAATCCTCCATGCCTATGTCTAGTATCAAGATATAGCACACAAAGAGGCAGACCTATATTAGCTTATTACTATAGTAGCACTAGCTCTTGGAACGAGTTTATTCGCGACGCTAGCTAGGATGTGCGCGATAGCAACACTTAAGTAACATTTACGGCCGCTAAAAGGGTCGGTTCGACATATCCGGTCGTAGCCACTGACACGCGTAACTTGAATATCGACTTGGGGAATAACTATGTGTAATATATTATACTTAGAGATATAAAAATAATCAACTCCTATTCAGGTTACGCGATCCATTAACTACCTCTTAATTAGACCGAGGCATTTTCTATTATGTAAAGACCAATAATAGCGCGTAGCTTAGAGTCTTTAAAAGCATATGAGGTAACCCCCCCGTAACAAAAGCATTGTCCCTGGTTAGCAGATCCATAACAGGAACTAATAAAGTCCCCGATCCTTTCAATAGCAGTGGGGCAGATAGTTTTCTTGCGATCGATCGTCCTCTTTACTTTCGCCCTCACCCTCCTTGTTTCAATACTACACTAGAACACGATGCTAGCAATAGCGAGCGGTAGCAGCAGCATCAGTAACAGCAGAGCGAAGGGCGACACGGAGGGATGGCATCATGGAATTCTTCGAGAATCAAGTCGGCGAGGTGCGATACTTGACTACTCTGGGCGAGGCCCCTGCTTCGGTGCCCCCGGTGTCCCCCGGCTCTCAACAACACAACAGTAGTAGCAGCGTTACAACCACCACCGGTGCTAAGAGGAAGAATAGCATAGATGAATCGCCTGGTTCGAAAGGTCAGGCACAGCAGAGGAGCAAGAGAAATAGATATATCTCTATCGCTTGGTGAGTCTTGTCAGTCCTTTCGTCTTCAAGCGCGTAGGCTACATAACGATTACGCGACGTAAATTCGGGGATTCTCGCGTTGACCGAGTCTATACTTATCCAGCAACGAGTGCAAGCGACGCAAGATCAAATGCAATGGCGAGACACCATGTCAAAGATGCGGAAATCTCAACCTCCAATGCCTATACACGCCCAATTGCTGCTCGGGTTCGTTTAAAGACTCGGATGAGTTCAAGCAGATGACCAATAAGGTCAACCAACTACAAGAGCAGGTCGACGCGCTATTCGCGAACATGAATGCCCTTAGATCAGAGGCATTCCGACTAGCCCCCATTCAAGATCGAGCGCCGACTTTGCCATCCGCTTCGAGTACACCTTCAGCCTCTTCGATCCCTTCCATCACGCCTATTCACAAACCATCCGACTTGCCTCAAACTCGACAGCCCGGCTTCCGCGGACCGACGAGCACGCGATTCAACCTGGATGTTGCTAAGAATACATTACACAAAATGGGTTATAGCAATTCACCCGATGTTGGCGAGTTCGATAGCCTCGGTCAAGATAGCCCCGCGCCGTCTCCAAACTTGACAGCTCAGGTGGCTAGTACTCCTGGAGGCCCATCTCGGGATCCGTTGTGGGAGTTTGATAAGGACGAATTGGTGCGATTATGCCGTGTGCATGATGAAGAAGTTGGCATCATGTATCCTGTGGTTAAAATCGAGTCAGTCATCCGGCATGCGCGGACTCTATCTTCGTGGATGGAGGCGGCTAGGAAGAATTTCATGGTCGCTTGGTCTGGAGAGGAGGGCGGTATCAAAGATCGTAATACCTTACTGCTCAAGCTCGTCATCTGTTGTGCTATGCAGGTTGAGGAGCACGGAAACAGCGAGAAAGCCCATAGGCTCTTTCTCAGCGCTCGACCGACGACGGATAGAATGTTAATGTCCGATCCGAGTGATGTGAAGAATATGCCAATACTAGCTCTTGTGGTATGTTTTACCTGCCTTCATACTTATACTATCATCCTCGCCGTGTCCCTATTCGAATATAGATAAAGGATTTCACGAACTCGTAGCCTCGCTGGATACTAATATTTCTCATAACTAGGCCGGTTATTATTTCCTCGCTAATGACGAAATCCTCGCATGGCGTACTATGGGACAGGTAGCTCGTCTATGTTTCGAGCTTGGGCTTCACCGTCGTGATGCGATCGAACGAATCAGCGATGAAGAGGAACGCAGTAACGCAATCAACACGTTTTGGGCAGCTTATGTATTAGACCATCGATGGGCTTTTGGTACTGGCTTACCATTTACAGTCCCAGACGATGAAATTGACCCTCGGTTACCATACCCCGTAAGTCATTGATATATCATGCCGAGCATAATAAGGCAGATATCTTCTCGCCTTGTTTGACATTAAGGAATTTATCAATTCTAACATTGCTTTAAAGGATTCACATCCTTATCTAGTCGCTATGATTAACTACTCAAAGCTCAGCGCAAGCGTATGGCGACTCGTACGAAGTTTTGAGCCTAGCACAGAATCAGACGTACAACCAGGTGCCATCGAAGAACTTGATTGTCGAATAAAGGAATGGTATACCAAAGTGCCCCGAGAAACACAGCTTGAATTGACAGATTGGGAGGCATTGCCTAGATATCTAAATCCCCCGGTAAACTCACAGAAGGAATATGATATCCAGCGGTTACAGATATGGACTTACCTCCGCTTTAATCAGATTCGAACATGGCTATATACCCCTATTTTGCATACTCAAAGCAGCATCATGGAGAATATAGAATTCGCCGAGCGTGCCGTCAAACTGGCCAAAAATACAATCTGCTACTTGACGCACTTGAACAATACTACGAATATATATAGGAAGATCCAGGTATTCTACCATCAATTTCTGTTAGCCGCGATTGCGGTACTCTTCCTAGCATCATGTCACGCCCCAGTTAACTTCAGCGACTCTTGTCGCAACGAGTTTTATATGGCTCTCGAGCTAGTAAAGGACTTATCATCTAAATCATGGGTGTCGCAACGGCTTTGGAGCACTATCAAGTCGCTTCGAGAGGTCGCCCCTCATCTCGGGTTGGCGCAGGATCCTCACTCTACGGCGGCTCTGACGATGGCCGGACTGGCTACCGGTCAGATGGGCGCCCCTCCAACTCTAGCTTCCGCCTACGGTTCGCAACCTTCGCCGGTATTAGGGGTGTCCTCGTCGTTCGGCGGCGTACAAAACGGACACCAAATCTCAAGCGAGATGTCTCGAATATTCGAAGGATATATGGGGAAGAGTACTAACTCGAACGACCCGCCGACCCCGGCTGGACCGCTACCTGTTAACGGGGGTGTCACAATGCCTTATGAGATAGGTAGTAGTGTATATGAACACTTTAAGGACATGTTTTAGAAGCTTGAAGAGACTAGTAAGAGATGGTTTGTATCTACTTTGCGAATTGGGCCGATAGAGAAGAGGGCCATGGATGTCTACTATGCTCGTTTATAGCGTTAACCTGAATGGATATAGAAATATCAATAACTATATATCTATCCTCGGACGCCAAAGTTTACAACATCAATAGAGTATCATGCCTAACATAACACATGCATCATCTTTATGGAAGAAAGTACCTATCTAATGAAAGAGCCTACCCCGAAAGGTCACATGGCAAATGGCAAACACCTCCGAGAACTTAGTATAAGTGAAGTCATAGCAAAGTAAAATACCTATAAGAGGTACCTAATATTTTATACACCTCCCAGATCGCCAAGCTCGTTCTTTCGTTATACCAGAAAAATAAGGTTGTCCCACATCCATTCTTTAACGTTAGGAATTACTTTCCTTAAATGCTCAAGAATATTATCCGGTGTGCGTTCGCTTATTGAAGCTTTCAGTTGTTGTCGAAATAAGCGTTGGATATCGGCTAGTTCGCGTATGTAGTCCTCTTGAATAATTGTAGTCGCCTGGTCAGTCCCGATATTCGGAGGATTTGGATATTTCCCATCCATGGCATCATAAAGATAGCAATCACCAATCATTTCCATTTCCATTCTCATTTCCATTTCCATTTTCATTCTCATTTCCATTTCCATTTCTCTTCTTATTTTCTTTTCTATTCCCATTCTCATTTTCTCATTCTTTTCCGCTGTTGCTTTCCCTTCTATTTCCCTTCTTTTTCTCATTTCCTTTCTTATTCTTATTCTCATTTTCTTTTCCATTTCCATTTCCGTTTCCGTTTCCATTTCCATTTCCATTCTTCTTCTCAATGATGTTCCCATACCGTATGCCACATTCCGAAGCACGTAAGGGGTCCTACCACCAGGCAAAACATATATTTTATCATGAGCCTTCAAACTATCGGGACCCCATCCTAATTTATGATTGAGTGTCCAGAATAAACGTCGCCTAGTCGACATGAATTTTAAGATATAATCGAAACCTAAGATATCTTGGTAGCTCTGGTTATCTGATGATGTTTTAGCGTCAAACCACATCCGTAGATCTCTTTCGTCTTCGTCTTCGAGTCTTCTAAACTTCCCAGACACGAATTTCAAATCGAAAACCAAGGCTCTTAGACTGTCCGTATCGATTTGAGTGATGGTGGATATCCCGCCTTTATGAGGCAGGTTTGAGTCATTAGCCCATTGGATGAAGAGTGACTTGAGTCGGTTCACATCTGTGAGGTCAAGAAACTGGTCGCTACAGTATCTTATTTCATCAACAGGAGCTCCTACAATTGCTAAACGATTTTGGTTGAAATGCCAAGAGCGTAACCCGAGTTGATCTAATATTTCACGCACCTCGTGCATTACAGGCGCTCGTATAGTGGGCGTTTCCCTACAAGCGACTTCATTGCAAGCTATACCCCAAAAAGACTCCTGCGAAGTATAGCAGACGAACCTGTAGTTTCCACAAGCATTATACAACTTCGTAGCGACCTCCGTGCGGCGAACTTCTTCGTTGAGGCTGATGGCGCTCCAGTCAGGTACCCATGATGGGAGATCCCCCCTGTTCTTTCGTCCAAGGTCTCCGCAAAGTACGTCAAGGCTTCCAGTTGTTGCTATGATGCTTCGAACGACCCGTGTATAAACCCAAGGGGTTGCCACGCGATAATTAGGGAAGATATCGAGGTTGACAGGTAGAAGACCAAGAAGCGCATATACCCTGTCTCGCTCATCAGAGGCTTTACGGCTACCCGTCGCTCGTAGCAGTGTGAGCAGCAACTGACCAGCAAATTCTATGTCGGTATTGCCATAGCTAACAGGGGTATGTACCAGGCGACTTTTCTGGATATTGATAAGATTTTCCGCAAACCAACGTAGTACTTTCATGTTATCGGAGGATAATTTCTTCAATAGTGAATTCTTCACACTCAAATTTTGGATGTTCCGCGCCGCGCGAATAAACAGCTCTAATGGAGCCACCGACGAGCCATACTGGATAAGAACCCTTTTTGATACTATGACCTGGGAGTTATAGATTGAAAATTAGCATCTAACTACTAAGGTACCTTAAGTACCTAATCCAGGTAGGTACTCAAGTAGTAATGATTTTTAGGTGAGATGGATATATTGAAACATGCTTGTCCTAAGGCCAACAGAAAAATCGAATAGCGGATAACTAACCTCTTGGAAAACCCACATGCGATTCCACCATCGACTTAATAGCATCATCCGAAGATCCTCAAATATTGCCTGCAATACTCTAGTTTTGAGGGATAGTAATGCCTTTATATGTTGGTGTTCCTGCTGGGCAAACAGGCTAATGAGGCAAAATATGCCGAAACTTTTGCACAGTTTATAGGTGGGCATATCTCTGCAATAAGAGAGGAACTGAGCAACATATCGACTATCGTATGAGTCGTTGTGGAACAGGAACTCTTGCGGCCTTGATACCCGAAGACGACTAGAGGTGTGAGTTGTTCCGTCACCAAGAAACACGATTACATTATCAGCACGGTGATAGATTTGTCGCATGATCCCTACTTGGACTTCTCGTTCATCAAGGTCGGCCTGGTTGATGCACTAGGTAGAAAGTAGATAAAGTACATTAGCCGTGATCCTTTAACCAGATATTTTAAGTTATAATGTTTAGGGTGCGTACCAAGGCATCAACCCAAAGCACTATATCGGCATTTTCTCTTCTGAGGTATCTCAATGCTGTGTCGAGGTTTATCGTAATCATCATGTTTATGTTGTTGACAACAATAGGCCTGGTTACAGATGGAGAGCCCCAAGCATAAGATAATGCTTGATATGATAATGTAGTGTCCAATTTCTCTGATATAAGTTGACACCGGAGTGGCGATTGCCAATCTCCTCGGTTGAGGATGATGAACCTAAAGCGGTCGCGGCTAAGTCTGTATGAATATGGCCCCTCGTGAGGAGGTGTTAAGGTAGACATGTCGAGCCACTTTGCTAGATCCGACCACCGGGTGAGTTCGGGATAGTTAATATCACTAGGTATTTAATTCATGATTGCCACTACCTTCTAGTAATTTATATTGCCTTGGAAACCCCGAGGTAGAATAACCACTGGTTACATGTGCATTTGCTTATACGGTGGCTTAGATCTTACCGGCAGCTACTTCAGGACAAATCAAAGGGATGCCACGCTCAAGGCTTCTCTAGCATAGCCCCTTACGAAATACTTGCAGTTATAATTTTGTTATATTAATTGTCGCTTGAAATGCATCAATTCAGTATAAGGCCTACCTATTAGATACAATATGGAAAAACCTTACTCAAAAGGATGCACTATCGACTAGATAATTCTGATAATTATATATCTACCTCAGAGTTATTATATAAGGTAACTACCTCCTATGTTAGACCTCCAAGTACATTGCAACCAGGAGTAGATATGGAAACGGACTTAATGATAGTTGTGTCGACAACTGTCAACGTACCACTACACCACTAAAAGGTTATTTGGTAACTAACAGATTTTATTCCATTACATTTTATATGTCGGACAGACAGTTATGTCTGAAAACAACTAGCTTCTCTCCGCGTCCAGCCTTTTTAAGAAATCAGAAGATGGTGCAAAGAACGTGGTGCCTGTTAGAGGGGTAGAGAAATCAAGTAGCCTATCATGTAAACCAGGCGGATGACCAATAAACATACGCTGTAACATCCGTTCAATAACCCACAGATTTCTCGAATATCCAATGAAGTATGTTCCAAATTCTTTCGAGCCGGGAGATCCAAACGGCATGTTATCCCGAAGGATATCGTGCTCGTTGCCGCTTTCGTCTTCGATACTGGCTAGTGACTTATGCGACTGCTGTTGACCTGCTGCGGCGTCATCTAGCTCGACGTTATCTGGTTTCTTGCGCCCAATAATGCGCTCCTGCTGCTCAGTAGGGAGAGCATTCCACGCTTTCACGTCATGCACATATTTCTGGACCACAACATAACTCCCACCTGCACCAGACGCATCCTCTTCACTCACGAGGATAGAAGCTGGGACGGCTGGTCCCACAGGGTTTGCCGTGCCGTCTACGAATCCGAGAAGGTCGCGAACATCGAAATAACGAAAACCGTTCGTCTCGTCCACGACGGTAACGGCATCGCCAAGGGCATCTAGTAGCTGTCGTTCGAATTCGAAACATAAATCTCGTCGCTCCGAGCGGATATGGAATAGCAAGTCCCCGGGTGTCGAGACGGCAGTATGCTTCTGCCCATGGATAGCAGGAAATGGATGAAGCTCTGCTGGCCGGGGTAACTGGGTCAATGAATCCCACGCTTCGCTGCCGATGCCTACTGTACAGGCAAATCCGGCGCTGAGGTCTCGAATGGAGACATTTTTAGCTAGTCCATCGATGCTAGATAGAACCGAGCGCACCACACCGACAGCTTGTAGCGTATTATTAATGGTAACTATTAAGAAGGTAGCAGTCTGGGTGAGGGGAGCATCGACACGTTGGGGTTCAATGGGAACCCGACCACGCGACTGCATGCTCATATTTTCTGCTTGGCTGCGCGTATGAATGAAACGCCGGAAATTGAGACTTTCCGAACGGGATTTGTATTTAACTCCTAGATATTTATTCAGCTGGTGGCTTGAAGCCTTCCGATGTGCTTCTCGATGTGATATCGTAGAGGTATAAATAGTCGGAAATTTTCTGTTTAAGGACTTGTGCAAAACAACTCTTAAAGTCCTAGATGTGTTCATCTCACTTTTGTTTACGGTTTAGGTAGCTATATTCGATATTCAAGTAACACAGAAATAGGCTATTGTGAATTATTTCACTTTTTAAATTTTGAATAAGAGGCAGATGATGCTTACCTTTCGGTATGTAACCACTTGAATCTCGTCCCTGCTTATCATGCGCCAAGTGATGCATGGCGCTTACGTATGATTTACAATTTTGAAAAAGCTTAAGCCAGATGGCGTCTCTCTTAGCTCGTGTGTTTTCCATCTCCGATATCCGGGTATGAAAAAATAATATCGTTCAATGTCCGTGTGCAGCTGCTTATCTTGACTTCAACTCCATTAGTCCCGATTGGCGTGATATACGTGCTGCAAGAAGGTCGGGACCGACGACTCAAAAGTAAGATGGATTCTATGATACTAATTTAATCTCAATGGCGCAGTATATGTGTAACCTTGGGAAGTATAAGTTCGTATAGTTATCTTCCCCTTATTATGTACGTAGCTATTCCGTAGCTGTTGAAAGTGCGAGGAACCCCCTGAAATAACCGCCAACGTAAATTTTTGTATCATCTCACCAGGGACTTTATTATTGATACCTCTCATTATTCTCAGATACATCACAAATAGATTTAACTATTAACTATAAAATGCAATACTAAAGAAATGATACAATAATTCCTTTAAAGGGTACTTATACAGAACTGAACAGTAATGGTGGCAATATAACTTGTAGCATTGAAACTAATAATTCTAAGCCTCTTTTCAAACGATGAGCTAATTACAATCCTCTCGAGCCAGCACAAAAACTTCGATTTAGAGATGAAATGCCGATAGAGTAGTATCCCACCAGTGGGAAACTTGCGATTATCAGTCTAACCCACGAGGTAGATGGTCGGCAACTCTCAAGGAGAATGGAAATGGATCAACGTATAAGGTATGTTAGGCCTAATTGTTCTTATCCGTTGGCCTTGATGGTGGTGTAGCCTTCAGGGTGACAACCACTTTCCCTTCGGTATCATCGTCGGTTGAGTTCCAGTTCAAGGTCCAAATACGATCTTCATCAGATGGTACAGCATACCACAATGCCTTGAGATCCCCGTCGGTGTTCTTGTGTAGTAGAAAGTCTCCATAGAATACGAACCCAGATCCTGACCTATCGGTAGAAGTAGTCGAATTAGTGAATCCGACCTGATGAGATGAAGATGTCGTATCCGGGACCATGAACGTGAGGTTTGACCAAGTGGGTGCATTGCCGGTAGTGGTGTTGGGACTGGCCAGCAGCGAATTGTCTGTACCGGATATAACTGACTGGGAGTTAACATAGCTGCATATACGAGAGGTTGTCTGCGCGGCTTACACTGAATCTGAGCTGCTTCGCTGTCGTTTGAGCGAGTTGCTCGCCCGATAAAGGCGTTTTCTATTATAGAAGTCAAAATTGCGTTATTCCAATTCCAACAGACATGGAAAATATCATACCACCATCTGTGAAAACAGGTGCACCACCGATTCCATCGCCGTAAGCGAACAATCCAAAAGGTGCCGTAGGAGCACGTTGTACAATAATTGGTGACCCAGCTAAAGCCATTGGGATGCCAAGCATGAGGCTCTGCAATAGATGCATGGTTAATGAAGTAGATAGTTTCTTGAGAAATAGTTAAGATTTGAAATATAATTGATCGAAAATATAGAAAAATATAGTTGTGACTTGGAAAAGACTTAGAAAAGGTTAATAAGTAAAGTTATGTTGCTTCAATGTTATTGAACTTTTTGATGGAGAAGGTCTCTTTTCATATCCTCGATAGCTTTACTTACCCCGATTGAAGATTCGTCAGCTCTTCCTTCGAAACTGACGTCTTGTCTAAAGATAGAGTTATTCACTACGGCCTTGGCCTCTATATTCGGATTGTGGGCCCGCGGGGGGGGAACGGGAGGGTGCGGCAAGCGGAAACTTCGCAGGGTGCCCATGCATCAAACGCGTAAGCTTTTAAGCTCTTAAGCGCAACTATATTCATAGCTTCAATGCCACTCTCTCTTTCGGCAGATGATAGCATTGCTAATATTATACTAATATTATACTTGATACTGCCCCCCGTGATTTTAAATGGATTATATAACCTACATTTATCAAGATAATCAGCTAGCCATCGCAGGGCTTACAAAAAATAGCGTAATCTCTATTCTCTATAATTGATAATTGATAATTGATAATTACGACGATAAGGCGCAGGGCGTCTAGATGGTGACCCCCGAAACCGTCCACCAGGTACGCCCAATATAGGTGGCTGTGGATCGCTTAACGATGCTGTATTAAGGGGAATCTAGATTCTCGTCATGTTTCCGAGGGACGTTTGTCTACAACTTCGGTCCAATTCCGGGGGAGTGAGACGCCGGCTCATCACATTCAAGCCACAGGCTCCACACAACTCGCGGAATTCAGTATGTTTCGTTACGCGTACTACAACAATACGAGAATATCTTGGACTCATGACACGCACTCAGGTCGCCAGGGCTGAGCCAAGTTTAATCTTAAGGGGGTGGATATGTGGTCTGATTGTCGGCCGTATAGTTATTCAATATTGTAACGCAGTGCTACGGTATAATGGGTCCTCACGATTCAAGTTCTCATGGTGCAGATTCCTTCAGCCGGCAAGTGAGACTTAGGAGAAGCTATCGTGGACATAAAGTCTGCCTCAGCTGCGCTCATGGTGAATACAAATTATAGAAACATTACAGTCATTCATTCTACCTCTTCAACTTCAACTTCAACTTCAAACCCTACCTACCTACCTACTTAGGTAGCTTAGTCCTACAATTCTCTTTCTTATTTTAACTACCTAAACTTAACTTATAACCTCGAGACTTAACGATAGCGGACCTCTTTTCATTATGGCCGCTTCGAAAATATCAACATTTTTGTTGCCATTCCTGTGCGGCACAGTTGCGGCCTCCCCCTTTTCATCTTCTATGAATTTGTATCCTCGGGCAGCATGTGCAGGAAACACAGCAACAACCAGAAACGAGTGGTGCGATTTCTCCATCGATACCGATTATACTACTGAGGTTCCCGATACTGGAGTAACTAAAGAGTATTGGCTGGATATCACTGATGTGACTGTTTCACCGGATGGAACCTCTCGCTCGGCTATGGCTGTTAATGTAAGTCAATTAAAGCTTATAACTTTAATTTCACTACTTTACTGTTTATTTATTATTTTGAACTGAATAAATAACTAACTTCATGTCTTAGGGCTCAATTCCAGGACCAACTCTCTTTGCGGACTGGGGTGATACAGTCGTAGTTCATGTTACGAATTCCCTAACTACCTCTAACAATGGAACATGTGAGTAGAATCTTAGGTGTATAGGTACCTACCTATCTATACATTATCTTAACTACAAATTTGCTTCAACCCTTCTCCTTGAGACTTGTTGCCTCGCTTCCGTTTTTTTTTTTTTTTTTACACTGTCAAGATTTTCAATGGCTAACTCTTTACAACAGCTATTCACTTCCATGGCATACGTCAGAACTTTACAAACGAGAATGATGGAGTTGTTTCTATCACTCAATGTCCAACAGGACCTGGGGAAACTCGGACGTATACCTGGAGAGCAACCCAATATGGATCGACTTGGTACCATTCGCACTTTGCGCTTCAAGCGTGGGAAGGCGTTGCTGGAGGTATAATCATCAATGGCCCAGCTACTGCGAACTACGATGAGGATCTTGGGACCATACTCTTATCAGATTGGAGTCACGACACGGTGGATCAACTCTGGACACAAGCACAGACAAGCGGTCCCCCTACGATGGAAAACGGGCTTATCAATGGTACTAACGTTTATGACGATGCTGGTTCAAGATTTCAAACTTCTTTCACTTCAGGGACCTCCTATCGAATGAGACTCATCAATGGAGCTATCGACACGCACTTTAAATTCACTATTGATAACCACACAATGCAAGTCATCGCGACTGATCTTGTGCCAATCCAACCATACAACGCAACGGTTATTAATATTGGTATCGGTAAGTAGATGAAGATAACTATTCGTCTCGTTTTGTGGTCGTTTTATGCTAACCACTTGAAGGACAACGTTATGATATTGTCGTTACTGCCGACCAGTGAGTGCCCTTTTTCAAACCATACTACCTCCAAGAATCTATGGTAAACTAACCGGAGAATCGCAGGGCTTCTACTGCTGATAACTTTTGGCTCCGAGCTATTCCTCAATCAGCTTGCTCCGAAAACGATAGCGAGGATAACATCCGCGGCATTATAACTTACACAGATACCGCCTCAACACCAGAGACTACTGGATATGACTATGTTGATTCTTGCACAGATGAGTCGGACAATATTGTTCCGTATCATAGCAAAACAGTAGGCACTACTTCGGCTGTCACAAACGAAGTAGCAGATATCGCCACCCTCAATGGGCTCTTTAAATGGACTCTAAACAGCACATCTATGCTGGTTAACTGGACAAACCCTACCCTTTTACAAGTCATGAATGGCGAGAGCGCTTTTGAAGTCGACGACTCTGTCCTCGAGTTGCCCGATGCGAACGTATGGGTATATTTGGCGATCGAGACAGACCTCCCTGTTCCCCACCCGTAAGTACCTGCTTAATATTCTCAAGTTCCTCTAGGTATCATTCAGTATCAGTCTATTTGATGCATTGGAACCTCAATCCGTATGTAATATCAAGAATAAGCGCATACTAACTATATCCTTAGAATTCATCTTCACGGTCACGACTTTTTCATACTCGCTCAGGACACAGGTTCATATTCCAGCAGCGTCACTCTTAACCTGGATAACCCACCCCGCCGGGACACTGCCTTATTACCCGCCAGTGGTTACATCGTGCTAGCATTTGAGACCGATAACCCCGGCGTTTGGCTCATGCATGTAAGTATCCATTTTGTTCCTTCGTTTCAAGTTTATATCTAACATGGGATATAGTGCCATATTGGTTGGCATACAAGCGAAGGATTTGCATTGCAATTCGTGGAGAGGTATAGCGAAATAGCGGCTATAACGGATACGGACACACTCACAGACAGCTGTTCAACCTGGTCTTCATTCCAGACAGCACAGGATATTGACCAAGACGACTCTGGAATCTAGAATCAGTACAGATGACATTGAAGTTCTTTTCTCAAAGAGACTCATAATACTAGGTACTGATGAGAGCAGGCTGTCAACATAATGAGTTATCTGCAGCAAGGCAGTTCACATCATATCGAAATGATCAGGTATTTTGTATATTATTCAGGGTATTTTAAATATATATTTTATGTCAACAAGGCAATGTAATATTTCCTGCGTAGCATCTCGATGGTTATTGTTTTAACCATCTGTACTACACTCGCTAGTGAAGTATGAATATATCCATCTCTGCAACACTTCAAATAAGATACTAGGATATCGAGGTGTGGTAATTACCTTCTTAGGTAATCATAATGTCACCCAGACCGCAAAGTCCACTGCCAGCTTTAATTAGGTACAGATCTTTATTGTTCTAAAGGAAGGAACTAGAATAATCACTGCTTCGCTTTGTAGTATTGGTCAAAACTTATGCAGCTATACACGAGTGCCAATATCCAATAGCATCAAAAAGAATAGGGGAGTGTACCTCTTTGTACCTCTATTCGGATATCCACCCTCCTATCGACCAATCAAATGTCACCAGTCGCATTGAAATAACCATCTTCGAACCAACATGACGTTTGTAACAACGTAGCCCGCCACGTTATAGGTTGCTTCCGATAAGGTCAATAGAACATGGCGTTTGGAGCCTCAGTAAGAGGTAACAGGCAGGTATCTATGTGCTCGTTTGTATCTGCAAACGACCATTTAAACCTGCAGTTCTCTACTCTTCTTCCTTTCTCTCATTTCTTCTCCTACTTACCTACTTCAAGCATACCGGACCCCAACCATCACTCTTATATAGTTTACATATATATTGCGTCGTCTTCTATCACTACTCTCAATCTGAAATACAATTTAGATCGCAGAATAAGTCGACTTTACACAACTCACCAACGCGGACTCTGCTCTTCGTATCGCCAGACCACCTACAGCCTACGGCCTACGTGCCTCACTGAAATTCGAAATTTAATATACCTTCTATCTATCAAAAATGCATCAAGCAAAGGTGTCAATGGTCATAATGGCCATCTCAACTTGCGCCACGGCAGGGCTCTTAACGTATGCAGGCTGCCAATCTATGTGTGCTGCCGCAACTCTGTGGATCCCTGCCCTCGGCCCTCCAGCGTATGCTACTTGCCAAAGCTATTGTGCATATTTTCTGCTGGCTCCCACCCCTTAGATCAACTGCGACATCGAATACACAACACAGTTTTTGGAAGTTTATTTCGGTCGGATTTTGATGGCACTCTGGTGTTTAGGAATGGATAACGGGAGTTTGACAATACTATGGATGGGAGGTTGGTAGATTAGAACTTGGGCTACGTGGACTATACAAATTGATGTTTTGGCAAGTGGGAAAATGAATGCAACTTTCCAGTATTACTGAAGTGCCAATAAAATCTGTAGAAACTCGTTGGTGTCACCTATTGATTTTGATGGCTCATACCTGTATGTAAAAAGTAATAAGTGACATATCATTTTTCCCCCTCCATAACGTATACAGGTCACTAGGATGTTAAATGTTATTTGGTGGAGATGTTACTTGAAGCAGTTAATAAGTATCGTATTGCCTTATTTATATGGCAAGATACAAACCCATTCGAAGATTCTAGCATAAGTTTTGCTTGAATAGGTAATTTTGGATGATAAAAGTCTTCCCAAAATCAGGAGACATATTTACAATTGTATTTTGCCATAATATTTCGAACGTTCTGATACTTTGCTCTTTCAAGTAACATCTCCACCAAATAACATTTAACATCCTAGTGACCTATATGTACCTCCTCTTAGGTAGTTTAAGCATTTACAGTTCTCCGGCGCCAATAGCACACGTGTATACCTCCTCTAAATTTGATTGATTAAGTATTCCGGAAGTAATATATTTTGAGTCTTAATCTGTTAACCACGTATAAGTGAGAAGCTGAGGTTAGGTACCTATGTACCTCCGTACTCGGACTGTACATGTATTCAGCCACAACTATGGTTCTAGCTAGCCACAATTTGCGTGTTGTACGTCATATCCCTGTTTTTCAACGTTTAGAAGTTAAAATGGAAAAACACAGTGCCCGCACAAAACATGAAGTAACTAACCTGAATTTGTTACCACTAAAAATTAGCACCATCTTTCGAAACAAGGTATATTACCCCTAGGTCCCTTTTATAGGTACATTTTATATCATTATGCGAAAGCCAAGTTTATTAATACTTCCATACATCTTCCATACATCTTCCATGTTTCGTAACCTCACCCGATGGTTGAGATGCTCCACAGGCGGCAAAGAGTTCCAACACAAAATCCCATCATTGCAAGGCCCGGTGAATCAATTATGATGACAAAAATATCGGTGTCTAGGTCTAGGAACGTCAAGTTGATAATGGCCATCTATTATTCAATATTAATTTCAAGTTTTAAATGACATGCTCGTACTTACGACTATGCTGTCGATAGGTACTTCAATGATATACGATACTAAAACGCCATGAACATGAGATATATAACTTAGACGTCACGTCTCCCGAGGGGATAAGCCGAAGATCTGACGACGAGACTGACGCCAAACAAGGCAACGGCCGAGAACCTCATATTAAACATAAATTTACTTAAATAGTATGTCTTTCAACAGACGTACTGTAGTAAATCATAAGCTAGAATTTGGTATCTATGAAAGCGTTTTAATATGGCAGTTTAGAATCAGCCCTTTAGTTTAAAAACACAATTAACTAACTTATCGTTTTCATGTTTTGCAAGTGGATATAACTATCGAATGTCAAAATCCGAATTTCCATTTCGAAGTTTTAGTATCCATCCAGTACAATCACCTATAGTACCATTTCAATAAACCTCATTCACAATATCTTATTCTGAGAAATACTAGGTTTCCAATACCGTTTCCGTATCAACTTCAACTTTTCCTCGTTTCCTATCGAAATCTTCTTCCCGACGACAACAACAACAACAACTCATAATGGCCAAATGCTCTTGTACTTGTGGTTGTACAGACTCTGCTCCAGCTGGCAGGGCTCACTGTGACTTCTGCCGAGCCGGAAGTTGCCTTTATAATTCTATTACTAATAAGTTCGATATGTCCTCATACGTCAACCCAGACAATCTAGGGCTTGATACGAAGAGATTCATGTACGAAGATGACTTTATTCCTGTATCCCGTTAGGAATGCAGAGATAAGAAAGTCCATATTGTTTACTTGTACACCTAGGCCGAAGCCGATTAATTTTTAATTAGTTTAGTTTTAATAAATCTTCTCTTCTTGTGCCCCCTTTTTACACCAAAAAGTGAACCTCGTGAATTAAATGAATCTCTAAACGACTCGTGGTTCTATATAGCATCGTAAAATGGTTATATAACATATAAATCAATTAACACTAGTTTTTATATGTTCACGGCCGCTGTTTACAAGTTTTTGTCAGGACTCTAGATGAAACATCTAGAACAAAGAACAGGATTAATATGTATAGGTAGACGTAGAACTTCTTAGGTAGTTAGAGTTCCTTGCGGAACAATGAAATTGTTTCCATGCTGTTTGGTTCTACCTTGTGACAGGTTGGAGCCTAAGTATGACCATTTCTATCCAGTTCCATTTATCTAGGCCTCGAGCATAACATCATAGTGATACCCCATGCAGCCATTCTCACTATTGACAGTTAACAGGTATATAAAATCGCACTGTATAGTACGTATACGCCTTGATAGAATTAACTAGCCATAAAGGACTTCAAGGACGACTACATCTCAATAGTGTCGTCTAATTTAATGCCTAGGATAACGGGTCATGGCATAAAAGACTCCGTTATAGGTCCCAGACCACCTAGCCTCCGAGGCTTCTATGTTGGGCAAGAACCATTTATATGCAAAATATCTCCAAGTTTAGCCGATCTTACAGGACACGAGATGTCAGAATGCCCTAACCAAGAAGGATACCTACCTGAGGTAAGCGCTCACCACCTTCTGACAACACGAACTCTGTCCCTCAGCATTCTTTCTTTTGTCCGGCTCCGCTCAGCTCATTCGAAGAATCTTTAGCTTACTCCGGTTGAACCACACACGAGCCGTAAAATAAAACCATCCAATTATGACTAAGTCTAGAAATAGTTTCTCGATGATTCGTGAATAGTTTATATCTAATGATCATTTACTAGACCCTTTACGAGGATAAACTAAATTTCCATTATGTAGCAGCTTGAATATGTGTTTATTGAACTCTTTTGATACACGGCCTACAGTCTAACTATCTAACCTAGTAAGTAAGTTATTTTCGAACAAACCATAACAACTCGATATTTTACGAGTTCTTGATATAAGCTATATCATTGATCGTTATTACACAACCCTTTAAGGCTCGGCGAATACGAAAACTTAAAACGACCAGTCCATTCGCGGTGTCATTCCATAATCTATATTCTATTCATATTCCGGAGATTATCATCAGCCAAAGCATTATACTCTAGGGACGTCAGATATGAAGCTTTCGCTAGTAACTACTCCCTTTATCTTTTCCATTCGCATATTGGAGAATTCTAGAAGACACCACGAGACTTTATATTATATCCTGACATAGACTATTTAGTTCACCACGAGTAAGCGCTAGTATTGCAGATCACATTACTCTATATGTGAGATTATATAGTTTTTGTCCTAGGGGAGGTAAATATCAAATACACATGCAAGGTATATTCTGATCCCATACGGAACTCGTTACTTAATTTAGGGAGTAAATTTGAGCGCGACATTCCCCAGGTAAAGTTTGATCATACAATATTTGCCACGTTACGGTCGACATCCACTTGTAACTTTCCCTGGCAACTGAATCTGTCGGTAAAGATGTCCTTGTTTTCAAACCCCACACACTTCCAGCACTTCAAGAGCCCCCTTGGATCATACTTCCTTTTAACTTGGAGTAAAGCTTCGTAGTTATCTCCCCACCAAGACTCTTGCCAGTTCGTAGTGAAGGGGTTCGCTTCGTTCGGGTACGTCCCTCCATCGGTACCTGTTAACTCCTCCGCCAGAAGCGTTCCTCTTGTAATAGCAGTTAGATTTTTCAAGCGGTCGGCGTATGACGCGTTCCAGGCAATAGTTAATGATGTAGAAATATCCCAGAGGGAATTATACCAGGCTGGCTGGACGGAAGTTGTTGCCCTCGTCTTGTTCCGCATTCTCAGCTTCGTCGCGTTGTCTACTACAAAGGGTGTATCTGCCGGGCAATAAAAGTTCCGTGGGTCAAATCCTAACTTCTGTGTAGTCTTTATGAAGTCCATTAATTTCTCAATTCCAGCATCGTCGCTAAATAACTTCTGGGGTATAAGCCTCGTTGCCAGCACACGAGTGACCCCAGCTGTTGTCATAGCCCCTGGTAAGACGTATTTGTTCCACACGTCGAGAAAGTTAGGGAGAACCTCTACCATACTATCTCCCCCGTGGGCAAGTGCAAATTCTGATGCACTTCTCATAGAGTTCCTGGCATCAGTTCCATCGTCGGTTAAGTTAGCTATCCCCGGTGCAGGATTCATGTAAGTCAGATATGTGCCTCCCGCGTGGCCTCCCCATCCTTGTTTACCCCAAGCTAAGGATTCCCGCGCCATCAATTCAATCCACTTTATAGATGTGTCTGCTGTGATATTCGAAGGTAGTTTGATGCTTGCGACAGCGACAGGTATTAACGGTTCAACACGATGAGTAGCTTCCAGCACAACGCCGAATGTCCCTCCACCGCCACCTCGCAGAGCCCAAAACAAATCTTCGTGCTGGCATTGATTTGCAATTCTAACAACCCCATCAGGCGTCACGATCTTAAATTCAACGACACGATCAGCTCCAAGGCCATACACTGGTGACAACACGCTGTGTCCACCACCAAGAACCCAACCCCCAGAAGCCGCAACCGACGGGGAATAACCACCAATAAATGTGCTTTCATGTTCATATGCGAAATTGTAAATATCTCCCGTGCTGACACCGGTGCCCGCGGTAATGGTCCGGCCAACCCTCAAGTCTGCTCCACATCCCTCTGGAATGAAGTCATTATGGAGAGTAAGGCCTTGCAACTTGTGTACCCAAAGAGCGATTGACCCTTTCTGGCTGTTCCTAGTCATGTAATCATGCCCGCTGTTCTTAATAACTAAGGGGACTCCATGATACTGGGTAAAGTTTAGAGCTGCAATAATATCCGAAATTTTCTCGACCTTAATGTAGTACGAAGGAATGCTGCCTTGGTTGCACGAAGCCCCTGGAGCGGGCTGGGCTGCCGGAACTATCGTGTTATCTAATGTACACTGGTTCATGGGATCTCCTAGACACATCTCACCCTGGAGATTCATATAGCCACTGGGTTTTTCAGCGCGTATTAAATTTGTAGAATATTCCTCTCGGACAACGGTGCAAGCCACTTCATCGATAGCGACTTCATTCCCGTCATATAACGAGTAGCATGGCAGCGCAAATGGTCGAATTGCATGGAGACGTCCGTCTACGGATATGTTGAGTGAAGTCCATGACTCTTGACTTTGCCCCTCACCAAGGAGCACGATCCGAGCAAACGACCAAGTTAAATATATCGTATATGCTTTCATATTAGAAGAGTCCAACGTTCTATACAAGAGCTTATTAGCGATATAGATAGGGGCATACGTGAAGTCTAACTGATATGGACTACCATATTATAATGCTAAGAATTTCAAGATTACGAAGTAAGTCCCTAATAGAGAGCATGATTCTTTAATCTAATTGGCTGTGTCGCATCGAGAGGGCAAGGACTAACTCCATAACTCCGCAAGCGGAGTTTGTCGCATATAAATACCACACAGAGTGATAGTTGGTCTTATTATGTGAACATTGCCCCAGAGTCTGAAGATGCACGAATAAAAAAGCCTTTAATTTCTGATATTGTAACATTGGCGAATGTCTTCCTTAAGGTTGCGAAGAGGGATTGGAATCCCCAGGTTCGAAAGCTAATAGCTTCCGGGGTACTTCTAATACACGATCCCATTCCTCCCCTAAATATCCCATAGCTACTGATGCAGCCCTGCTAGTCCAACCAGCATACCACTTCTTTGGACAGCGATGCATGATGGAACACCAATAAATGAATATGATAAGAGACGTTGAGTGTCTTTGTGAAAGCGCAGAGAGATACTGCTCTGGAACGGCGGCCGGCCAATCCATAAACTGACGCCAGTTTCCAGGAAACCCATTAACCTCAACGATCCATTCTTTCAGGGATATGATCGACTGTAAGCAAGCGTGCTTCGTTTCACCTGTAGTATCCTCGGGATAGCCGAGAGAATCAAGGCAGGCTAAGATATTCAGTGTGAGTTCATCTAGACGCAACTTGGGTGAGTGTAGGCGAGGTTGGGTGAGGAGCATTAGTGAGCTCATTCGTAGAAATGGCGCCAACTCAATGGCCAACTGGAAAGAACCGCGCAAGACATGGAGAAGCTCAAGATAGTTGTCTATCGTGTCAGGTGTTTTTAAAAAGGCGGCGAATTGGAAGACTATGACTCCGATTCCAAATATCAAAACCGCCATCCAATTAGTCCCATTCACCTCCAGCTGTGAGTGCCTGAACAAGACTGATGCTTCGATATGATGTTGGTATGCGGAAGTATATAGATTTGAAAGTGATTTGCTTTGAGACCACTGGTGAAGCTCGTAGAGCGCGGTGAATGTTCGATGTACGTACTCAAAAGTGCTCGCTAGGCGACTGAACTCATGACCAAAAATTCCACTTTCAATATTCGGTAGTAACGATAGGAGATACGTCTCCTCCATGACTTGAATCATTGAACTCGTTGCAATTGGATTCAGAATTTGTTGCCACGTCCCATATAAACTCTTATTCCCATAGAGAACTTGGAGGTTCAAATCAAATTCCGTGTTTCTAAAGTGTGTAAGGTCGTTAGAGTCATTATCGACATCAGATTTCCAGGCGGAGGCTTTCGCCTGTGACTTTGAAAATCGAATAGGGGCCAATTCATAAGCGTTTGGGGAAGTATAAGAGCAGGGTTCGTTACGTCTATGACAATTAGCGCAGATAGGTGGCTGCAAATTGCACTAAACACGCTGTTAGATAGTAGGGAGTTAGGGTATGTGTTGAAAGAATGCCTCACCCTAACGCGACGCCTCCGACAAGGCACACAGCTATTACGGGACTTTCTGTGAAATTGTCGGGAACCGCTCCGGCGCTCGTTGGTTTGGGAATACTCCATGGATAGCGGGACTTAAATAACAGGCCAACTACAAGTTTTTATTGAGACATAATATATTGCTGTTGATACCCTATAAATAAATCAAGAAGTTTGCAAATGACTTTCGCTTGAGGTTGGTATCCTTAACAGCTTCAGATCTTGTAACCAATGGGAGCCCTACAAGGGTTGAAGCAAGACTAATTCTGTGCCTACACCTATTGATAGAGTTGATTTCGCGTTTACTTCCCGTGAAACTTATTCCCATCATTATCGAAAATTATATTACCAGGATGTCTTAGGCGCATTCCATCTTACGCGCGGCAGTCCCTTTACGTAGTATTGCCCTAAAAACGTCAGACTTGTCATTGTGGCACTGCCGACAGACTGATCTACCTCTTACTATTCTAGGCCTAGTGTACGAGCATCCCTGTAGAACCTCAAGAGCCCCTATTTATGTTACTCCACCATATATGACCTCTCCTCCTCACTGCCATATCTACTTCTCCGCAAAATGAAGTAAAAATCAGATAATTTTGTCAGGTCAAGACTCTTCCGAGCGGGCCGACCCTAGCCTATCTTACCTCATATTTCTATCAGCAACTATCTACAGGTACGCTTCAGGTTTAGTGTACGAACTGAGGAGTTGCTCGTACAAAGTTTGTATATCGTATAATGAATCTCTTTACGGACTTCAACTGCCATGCCGTGCGTATATAAGGCAGTCACATCATGGCTGCGTCCTTTCAACTATAGTAGATTCGTATAGCATGCTGTGAGCAGCGTAAGGTTCAACTTCCTGCCAATCTTTGATACCTCGTCTAGCTTCTCGAAAGAATTCTTTGGAAAATGCAGTTGAAACGCCTCGCCTCAGTTTTACTTACTCTATTTAACTTCTCAAGAGCTTGTCTTCATGATCATGTTCGTACGCCTCAACTACGCGACGTAGAGGATGCTCTTAGCAAGCGAGATGTACCGGCACTCGTGAAAACAGCAATAACAAATGTGCGAGTCTTCAATGGCTATACCATAGGCAAGCCACAAACCGTCATCATCGACGACGGATACATTACCGACTGCGACGAGGGCATCGAGAAAACCATTGACGGTGGCAATCGCATTCTAATTCCCGGGTTGATAGACGCTCACACACACGTGGTGTCGGTCGAAGGCCTCGAAAACATGACTTCATACGGTGTTACGACGATATTCAACATGGCCTGCTCAGACATCGAACTCTGCAAATCTCTCAGGTCAAACCCAGGCCTAACGTCGCTTTTTACCACTATGCTGTCTGCCCTAACTCCGTCCGGTGGAAACTCCAAGCTCAACCCGGTAGCGCCCGAACAGCTACTTTATCCTAACACAGACCCCAAGTCCCTCGTCGACTATTCTTTCGGTAACGGCTCCGACTACTTCAAGGTCGTAGGTGCACCTGATGGGCCGACCCAGAATCAGTTTGACGGAATAGTCAACTATACGCACTCGTTAGGCCACTTTGCCGTCGCGCATGCGCCCAGTGTCTCTGCCTTCACTCGGGCAGTATCATCACGGATAGATGTCGTGCAGCATATTCCCGATGACGGTGTACTGTGTTCTTCCGTTGTCGGATCTATGAAGGAATACAATCTAGCTTCTACTCCGACAATAGAGATATTCCGCCGCACGTACACTATACAGCCAGAGATACTGCAGTTTCTGCGTGGGAACAACTCAGCTAATGCGACATATGAGAACGTACTGAGTAATGTAAGACACCTACATGAAGCTGGCGTTCCTATACTGGCGGGGACAGATGCGGTCGGCAGTACGCTACCCATAATCTACTTTCCCTTTGGAGACTCACTCCACCAGGAGCTGGTGAACTTAGTGGATATTGGCATGACACCCGCAGAGGCTTTACGGGCTGCGACGATTGTTCCTGCGACAGCGCATAAATTGAACGATAGGGGTGCAATTCGACCTGGTCTACGCGCGGATTTAGTCCTACTAAACAGCGACCCTCTAGTGAATATCTCTAATACTAGAGATATTGCTAAGGTTTGGGTGGGCGGTGTAGAGTATTCTGATGTTGCGAAGTCTAGTGAGGCCTGAGAATTTACCTACCTAAGGTAGATAGGAAGCAGATGGAGAATTTTATCAATAGGGGGCAGGTGAGAGCATTCGGCTATAGACGCACTTATTATTCTAAACTACGGGGGTTAAGTACTACATTAGGCACTCTCCCAAATTGAAAACTAATAGTATTAATTCAATGGTATATTGCTAAAATTCATATTCATATCTACCTACCTACCTATAGCTATGTGTCCTCGGCCATCCGTAATCTGATGAGAATATGGTTTCCATTGTACTTAATAAATGAATATTTCTTCAAAAAGCAATACCTCTTCTTACACCCTATGAAATATTACGCCTCGTGTTTCAGCTCATCAAGCTAAAAAATATCGTCCCATTAATGTTAATCCCCGTATATAAGAAGCGACTCCCGCACCATTGCTTCACCACAAGCCTGTATATAGTTCATTCTTGAAATACTCCTGATTCGGGACAAAGTAAACAGCCTTCCCGGCGCCCGCCTCCTTGACAGCGGACTCAAACGCAGCTATCCCCTCTTCTAACTTGAAGACTCCCTTAGTTTTAAGATCCGCCCTCGCTTGAACGTGCGATATATTTGTTGCTATTGGTGGCGTAAAATCTTGGAACGCGTCAACAGGGCCATGCTTTGCGATAACAGCAATGTCTATTCCAATGGCCTTGCTCATCACAATCGTTTCAACTCTTCCTAGAGCTAATACTTTAAGTTCGGATAGAGTAGTCCCGTTATGTTCCATGGCTATCACGCGTGCTATCATTGCGAGTGCGGCATGTACTGCCGCACCGGCGTAGTTCTCAGTTGCTGGTGCGATGAGCAGTCTCTTCCACGGTAAGACCCACTTCGCGAAATCTCCCACACGCAACCACAAGGTATCATATTCTCCAAGGGGACTCTCACCAGCTCCGCCCATGTCCTCTGATCTGACAGGCCGATGATTCGCGTGACTGGGAAACAACCACCGTCGTGTGCCCTAATGATGGGCTTGTCTGTCACCAGATCGCCGACTCTGAGGCCAGTGGCGTCCGGAGGTACAGCAACAGCTCGTACAATAGCATTCCCGCTGTAACAAGAGGAAATTGAATGTCGTAGCTAAGGGTGTTGCTTTTTCTGAATACTTCTATCGCGTAGTTGAATATCCAACATCGACACAACCTTAGGAGGTTTAGATGCAGATGAAAACTCCAGCGCATTGCGAGTAGCTGGTATCTGGTCTATGTTTGATGAAGACATCGTGAAAAGATTCTTTCAGGGATGTTTACAAGGGGGGAAAGCTGATGAGGATAGTGTGAACTTATTGTTCATAGCCATCCAAGCACTTAATAAGCTCATAGCTTCACTAATATGTGAGTCCAAACACACAAGTCTAGCTTCAGTCCCCTAAAGATGAGAGCTACTTAGAGTATAAACCAACCCTCAAGATATTAATCATCACAGATAAACATGCCAACTTATTTAGTTAAATTCATGACAGTGAACACCACATTGATGGTCAGGGTTATCTATTGCACCGAATATTATCATTTCCTTGTTACTTCCTAATAACACAACTACTGTAATAGAATTCTGCTTTCTCGAATTAACTACAGCAAGTACCTTCTCGCAAACCAGATACCTGAGAACATAAATTGTTTAAATAACACATAGTAAGTTGGGAAGCATATTATAATTTCCATTGATACTAGTTGCATCTTTCCAACTTCTCAACTGTTAGCACTTTATCTCTCCGATGTGTGGGAGTTGCCTCGATGAGGAGGTATTGATATACCCACCCGCCTTGTTTAGAAAGAAGGCCCGTATGTCAGTTACTATTTACTTCTCGGTGTTCTTACATTTGATTATTTGGATGTCTATCAGCCTTGGACTTCCCATCAACCGGAACTTAAGCGGAAATTTCAGGGGTCTATGATAGCCTGGATACTTACCTACATAATACTCTCTAAACTATGTCAAACTCCAATCTTATATGAAGCTAGTTATATCTAGGGGTAGTTATAAGTATATACGCTATAGAATCGGAAGTTCCTGAAAGAGTCTGGTTATTCACTATAGTCTTTCTCGGCCTTCCCCCTTCCATGTGACCTAGTCAACTTTGGTCAAGTCAGCTTGAGTTGACTCTAGTCTCACTCCGATTAGGGTTTTAATTAGTTAATCTGACCTAGACTACCTAGTCTGTGTATTATAGTATTATAACTATGCGAATATATCCTCAAGCTCCTACCGGCAACGTTCGCTCCCCTAATGGTTAAGCCGGGCCTTCACCATCGAAGAAGTCCTCGTCTAGTAAACTTAGCAACACCTTTTGTCCTTCCCACTGTTCCTCGGCTGTAGGCCTAATTTGCTCAGGAGGCAATACGAAACCGAATCTGCCCGTGTCCCGGAGTTCAATAGTATAGGAGAACTCGGCACGGCCAATACTATAAACATGGTCAGGCGCTGCACCTGTCGTTGGATACAGAGTCGCTCCGCTGGGCCCGAAGGTAAACGTAGTTCGCGCGTCTGAACTATCCCGAATTGTTTCGCTGACGATTCCAGCTGCCTTAGTCCATTTACCAAGTTCGGGCGCGTATAATGTCTCCTTGTACCCAAATGGCGATAGAATATACTGTCCATAACTATGCCAGTCTATGTATAGCTTGATGCCTGCGCCATTGCGTAACTGACGTACCAACTTATCTAAACCCTGGTTCTCCGGTGTGTCAGAAGGTGCCTCGCCCTTATAGCTCTGCGAGCACGGGTTGGTGGAGGCGCCTAATGGGTTCGCATCCCATGCAAATTCCCAATTGCGGTTAATATCCCGACCAATACAAGATTCGTTCCCAGGTGGCGGTTGGCGGTTCTTACGCCACAAGCGATCAGTTGTTTGAGAGTACGCGAAACCTTTAGCTTGTCAGTGATTCGTCCTTTATGAGACGTGGACTGTACAATACTCACCGTCTGGGTTTATAATTGGTACGATGTAGAAGTCGTACTTATCTAAAAAGGAACGAGTGAGATTATCGCCGTCATTGTAGCCATTCACTAGCTGGAGTGTTATGTACTCGACGACCTAAAAAAGATAAGCTTGATATTATCTGTATCAACACAGGACCAAGACATACTGGCGATGTAATCCATTCTCTAGCATGCACATTTCCATGGTAGAGTACTGCCGGTTTGCCGGGTCCACTCGCGCCCCATAGATGGAGACCGTATATGTTTCTCCCTTCATAAGAGGTGCCAGATGAAATGAGCTCTGAGTTGTTTGGGAACGACTTTTGCAAATCCTCGAAATATTGGATATGATCCTGATAGTCGTGGTACGAATCATACCACGAGAGGTCTCCAGTCTGTCTGGAAAAGACGGACTTCGAAATGGACTCTGACGCAATTGAGTCTCCTAGGTTCTCGTGCATAACATGGTAGTCAAGGTCAAGTGCTTCGAACGTGGCAACCTGATCAGGGGAAATGAGGATATCTAGGTGCTTGTAGACATCCCGGTTCCACTGTTCGTAAAGTATTCCCGAGAGTTTCCCTTTTGTAGCCGATGGGTGCCCATGCGTGTTTATCCTCAAAACCTTGTATCCATCGTAGGATACGACATCACTCCTGGGAGCTGTTGGGAGGCTTGCAACGAGCGAAGCTAGAATTGGAGCTAAGATAGAAAGCCTCATTGCGAAGGAAGAAGTAGTAAATCAAGAGCTTGTGAAGCGAAAAGAGAAATCTTGTAAAGTACCTTTCTATAATATACCTTTATATATATACCATCAAGGCTTGGCTTGCTTACCATGAATAATAAGGTGATGTGATCCCCGATAGCGAGTTCAAGACTACGCGGTAGCATTGGCAAATGAACTATTCTCTTTCAAAGATTCGCAATTGGTGCGAATATAAATAATTAGGGGGTGATGGTAGGCATTTGCTTCATTTTGGAGAAATCGCCAAGCTGAAAACATCTTGGGATGCAATTCTACCTTCCAGATTGACTCTGGCGGCATCGACTGCGTGATTCTTAACATGTATTGCGCCAACTAAGCAAAATAGATATGTCATAGAGTTGAAATCTAATCGTCATTATAGTGAGCTTGCTTACTGGTGCTGGCATTAATTAGGTACCTATGATATGATATAATAACCTTCAAGATACTTTCTGTGCTTAAGGTTGTCAAACAGAAGAAAGGATATCAGAGATAAAATGCAGTTGCAATTTCTTAAAAGCATATTTCGATAATTTTATAAATTATAAGTTTACTATGCAACTATACATTATTGATTACATAGCAATTCACCCGGTCCGAGCTCGAGGCAAACTCCGGATTCCGAGGTTCGAGCCATTAATTAATTAATACTCGAATTAATGGGAGCTTCTTAAAAAATGTCATCATTCGCATTTTCGAGCTTCTAATTCTATTCAACCTCAGCGCACGATTCGTGACGTGGTTCTCAGCTTCTAACAGCTAGCCTGTTGTAATTCTACCACTAACACATTCCAATAGTTAGTATTAATAACTATAGACAAACAGGAATTTGTGTATGTGGCAGCAGTCAGTCAATAATGTCGCTGATTAGAGCTGAGAAGGTCGTCTCGTCCACCTTACGGAGAGGCACAAGCTACCCGACATCTCGAGCTTTGTTAACCCCGACCTTGACATTGGGCACTCTAAGAACCTTCCATAATACCACGAAATCTCCAGCACCATCACAACCCGGAATATCAGGCCTCGGTACCATCCCGCCCTCTTACTTCCAACGCCCCTCCCTCCCCGCAAACACCATTATACGCTTCGTACCCCAGCAGACAGCATGGATTGTTGAGCGCATGGGAAAGTTTAACCGTATTCTCGAGCCCGGTCTTGCTATCCTCGTTCCTTTTCTCGACCGAATTGCCTACGTCAAGAGCCTGAAAGAGGTGGCCATCGAAATACCTAGCCAAAGTGCTATCACGGCCGACAACGTAACTTTAGAGCTAGATGGTGTACTCTATACCCGAGTATTTGACGCTTATAAGGCCAGGTATGTCTAAAATCCTATATACACCATTTTACTTCACCATATATTTCCACATCTTTTCGTTCAACCAACCTACTTTACTAATACGCTGCCCCTCCAGTTACGGCGTAGAAGATGCCGAGTATGCCATTTCCCAGCTCGCCCAGACCACCATGCGCAGCGAGATCGGTCAACTGACCCTCGATCACGTACTAAAAGAGCGCGCCGCTCTCAACATCAACATAACCGCAGCCATCAACGAAGCAGCCCAAGCCTGGGGCGTTACGTGTCTACGTTACGAGATTCGCGATATCCACGCCCCGGCCGCCGTTGTCGAAGCTATGCATAGGCAGGTTACAGCTGAGCGATCCAAGCGTGCTGAAATCTTAGAATCTGAGGGTCAGCGCCAAAGCGCTATAAATATTGCCGAGGGTAAGAAGCAGAGTGTCATCCTGGCATCCGAAGCCTTGCGTTCCGAGCAGATCAACCGCGCCTCTGGTGAGGCTGAGGCTATTCTTATGAAGGCCAAAGCCACAGCGTCTGGAATTGATGCTATAGCCCACAGTATCAACAGCGGCGGCTCTTCGGCCCAGGGTGCTATCAGCTTAAACGTGGCCGAGAAATACGTTGACGCCTTCGGCAAGCTAGCACGTGAGAGTACCGCCATCGTGGTCCCGGGTAACGTAGGCGATATCGGTGGTATGATCGCTACGGGTCTCAGTGTGTACGGCAAGGTAGGCGAGGCCCAGAACCGCGCCATGGCCAAGCAGCTAGCGGAGAAAAATGAATCGACTCCAGAGGAATCAACCGGACCTAAAACTAGCCAGAGCGTCGTGGACTCGATGGTGCGCGAGTTCGACAACACAGCTAAGAGGAAGTAAAGAAGCAATTCTGTAAAATCCCATTTCGAGGAGCAGGTGCATTATTATGAATTACGGGGACAACGAGGGAAGGGCAGGTAAAGGAGAAGGGGCATGAAAATTTTAAATGGAGCTGGTAAAAAGCTCAACTGTACCACCAGGAAACATCTCTTGTACCTTCAATTGGTATTTGAAAAGTGTGAACGGGGACTGTTCGGTAGTGGTGAAGAAAAAAATATTTATAAAAAGGGCAGAGCATGGCGTCGGCGAGCATTGAGGGCGGAGGGGGCATACATAATCCCATCATCCCTTTAACCTCCATCACTAACATACTCTCTATCCCCCTTATCCATTTAACCTATCTTATGTATACCGATTGTAACTTCCCAGAACATTATCACACGCAACTCACAACCCCTTGAGAGGCAAACCGAAGGCCTGGGTGATGGTAGTATATCGGGTATCTAGGTAAAACTCGCCCGGGAATATCGAGATGAATATAAATCTACTCTCAAATTAAGACGAATGAATTGCATTTTCCTTATCATCACGGTGCTATTATACAAGTAAGGATCTACTTGGCATTAATCGATGTTTATTTTAGTCTTATACGACAACAGTAAATCAAGTCTAGCCGACCAAATAACTGATAAACTTACAACACCTAGTCTACTAATTATCAGCCTACTAGAAAGCTTCAACCTCAAATCCCCAGTTCGGACCCAACGACATCCAATGCTTTCGTCAGCAGCATTAATACACTCTCATCCCCACTAGTCCCTGTGACTTTAATCGCACTAACTAGCAACGGGTAGAGCCTAAGTAGATGTTTACGACTCTCGCTCTCAGCATTGGGTGTATCCGGGATAGCTTCAGGTTCGCTCTTGAGCTCTACCAATCTTTCTAGCACCCGCGTAAGCTCCTTACGTTGGCTCAATGGCTGCGGCATATGCCCACGCAGCGGCTGGTCTGCGATATAGGCTCTTAGCGTAAGAGCGGCCCTCAGTATAAGGTACGGTGCTGCCGTTTGTGCTAACCGCACATATAGAGCATGTGGAGATTCGAGCGTCATGTTACCTGCTGCTGACGATAAGCTGGGTGGCGGGAAAGCCGGAGTCGGCGGCTGGACTGTGATATGAGGCGTTGATGTTTCGTTGTGGCTTGTTACTAATGCAAACAACTCATCGAGGCAAACGTAACACATCTTCTCACGCTTGGCCGGGGTTGGATCCACGGTGCGACCACTCCGTGGTTTATATAGGTTCAACAGGCCAACCACGTCACCTTCACTATTCCCATATATGAGAGAAGATTCTGTCGGGGCCGGTGTATGTATAATAGACATGCGAAATAGGTTTTCTGCGAATACCTTCCTCGTCTTATCTGCTACTACCTCCGCACCTAAGGAGGGGATGATGAGCTCGCGCAATTTCAAGAATGAGGATATATCGATGTTCTGATCTTCTGCGATATTGACTCGATCCGGTGGTGCATCACAATCTGCACTGATAATTCCGTTCGCAATGGTAACGATTATTTCCCAAATATCTTGTAGATTTGACCGTGAAATATCAAGTTTCTGAAGCTGCGGGAGGGTAGCCTCGAGAATGACTAAAGCGGATGTTGTTGATTGCTTCCACGGCTGCTCTCCTTTGGTGATAATGGGAAATTGATACTTAAGCACAATTGGCCGCGACAAAGCCGTTAGCGCAGTCAGGAATGCGCCGTCATTGTAAATATTTACATCGGCAGCGTGATTCACAATGAGAGATTGGAGAATCGACATGCTGGCTTTGGACATAGCAACGTAAGTACGCTTCTGCGAATTCCGTTGATTCGACATGTCATATTCTTCGAGGAAAGCCAGTGAGATAAATTCAGATATCTGAGATATCAGAGCGGATGGCGCCCCTCGTAAGTCAGTCCTGAGCATTTTGATCACATCCAGCACCTGCCCTTGCAGGGGTGTAAGATGTTCAATATCCGCCACATACGTCCCAGGAGTAGCGACTTGCATAACTTCTCGTAATAGTGTCAGCATTCGGCGAATACGGTCAACGGTAAGGTCAACTTGTATGAGCCGATAGACATCGCGAAGAGCCGCGACATAGGCAAGAAGACAATTTTGATTATCTGTGATTCTTCCTGTGTTGCCTTTCCTAGAAACCGGGACACCGCGGGACCATAAATCCCAAGCTAGATCAATTGTGGTCTTGTTGAAATTCTGCTTTGTACCATTCTGGCTTTGCGAGAGCATCTGGGTCAGCGCTTTGAATGTTGCCGTGCTTATTTCCAAAACTTGGAAGTCAAGTAAAGAAGCAAAATGCCCTAGGAGTTGTTGCCAATATGAGTTAAATGTGGGATGAACTGTTAACACATCAAGGTAATTGGCAAGGAGGCTGGATATGCCGCTGAGTACAACGACGGCCGTGTCATACCAGTCATGGCGAATTTTCTCATCAATTTCCGGTCTTCCAACATTTTCAAGTTCTTTCTCTATAGACGAAAGAAGCTTGAAAATAACAGATTTGATACAGACAGACCATGCCTCTGGGCTAAGCCTATCCCCGTACGCATCAAAAATCCGTAGTAATGTCTGGATAGCACCTTGATGCGTTATTAGCATAGTAGCAGAATATAATCAATCTCCGGAAACTTACTGTTTCTTAAGTCAAGTCTCTCGTCGGTGGTTACGGTAGTCAACCTCAGTAGGAGGAGCATCCATAACGCTGAATCAGACGATGCATCCTCTGCATTTGAGGCCTTTTCGACCAATGACACACCATTAGGATCATCAATAAGACTATCAGTGATCAGAAGCGACCGACTCCTCCCCGAAAGGAAATCGGAAAGCACCCAGAAGAAGGTAACAGTCTAACAGATATGTATTAGTACGGTTGAAAAAAAGATCAATCGACAACTTACCGTTAACGCGATATTCAAATCGTCGTCCTGTGAGCAGAATTTATACAGGGTATCAACAAGAATCAGAAAACATGACTTAGGCAATGACCCAAGAAAATCAGAACATATCAACTGTAAAGAATTGAAAGCGGACCTAATAAGTTTTCCGGATCGTGTCAATAGGATGAGGGATTGGTTTTCGACGTCTCGTGTGCTCTCGTCAGCGAACCTCCTCTGAATAAAAATGCTGCCAATAACTTCAAACGTGATTTCCCAACCACTTAGAAGTGCATCACCACAATCATCAAGTAGGCTTTTGAGACCTTCAAGGAGGATCTTGTGGATGTCAACATCCGTTGAATGGGTGGTCACAGAAGTAGCACGGTCTTCCATTTGTAATGGCAATAAAGAATCACGAAGCGCTTCCAGTAGACGAAGCTGAACTCTACCACGTGTCTCATCATCGAGACTGATGGCAGCTCTAGCGGCTTCTAATACAAGTTGAACGAGTATCTCTGCGGCACGAGTGCGAATCTGTGCAGCTGTAGGGGCGGAGCCCAGCGTCTTGATAAGTTCAGACGTGATCCGTGCCCAGCCTGAGACGTCAGGAGGATAGCTGAGGAGTCTCTCAATATTAATAGCCGCAACTTCACCAATCTTCGCGAGAGCAAATTGATCCTCTTGGCTGAGCCCTGTGGATCCTGTCCCAGATCCGCCAACAAGTCTCCGGTGTGGTCCAGTCGGGGTCCGAAGACCTGGCAATGGGGGTGACGAGGGCGATGACTGTGGTCGGCTCGATGGTTCCGAAGCTTGGTCAGGCTGTTGATCTAAGAGACTACAGATTGCGTCAACAACCTCCACAAAAGCAACATTGGGAAAATCAACTGTGCTTTCAAAGAGTCTCGATGCTGCTGTTTCAACGGCCCTTATTTCCGTACTAAAGTTAGCTAGGAGTGAGGCAGCTTCGTTCTCCGCTCTTGGGTCCGGACCCTTTCCGGCGATTGGGGTTCTGCCAGGGGATTTCCCAGTTGTGAACAAAACAAGATCAGCCTGCTGAAGCGTTTCCAAGACAATCGTCCACGAAGAGCTTAATGTCGGTCCTAAAGCTATCCCTAGATTTAAGAGCGCACGTAAACATAGGAGGTTCCTAGTGTTCAGTGTCTGTGGTATGGTGTTGGCGTCCATAGATGCTTGCCTTTGTCTCTCACCAGCGGCACCCACCGGGGTTACTAGACTATCAACACTTAAAAGGCCTCTAGCATTGCCCAGAATACTGTTCGGGCCTTCTACAGCGGGGCCAACAGTAGAAGATTTGGAAGTGCTAGTATTAAGGCAAGCACTGAATACGTTCGGTGGAACAGCCGCTTTACCAAGCGTTGTAAGGAAAGCGTCTCTTGGAGTTGCGAGATGGAGTAATCCCGCAACATGGGCGAATTTTTGGAAGGCTCGGACGAGACCGTGATAATATTCCGAATCAAGTGCGGCATATAAAAAGGTAGAACATGTTGCGAGGATTGCTGGCCAGCATTCTTCGATAATGGCCGCACATATCTTAACGTCATTATGCAAGGGATGGTCCTTAACAGCTAGGGGATTGAGAGGCACTGGATTCTTCTTGAACGATCCAGATCTCTCAATAGAACTCATCGTGGCAGTCCTTTCCACCAATTTATTTGGGGCGCCATTATCGTCTTCATTTGGACCTGGCGATTCTCTCCCCATCTCTTGCTGCTTTGCACTGCGTTTGCGAACTCGATTGTCGGGAGGAACTGTGAGCGGCAAGATCAACTTAGCTAGTCCCTCAGACAATGAAGTAATGCAAGATAAAGTCAACGCATATACATATGATTCGGGGATCGCAGGCGGTTCAGTCTTATCTAGCTGGTCGATGCAGGCAACTCTAACCGTACTCCATTGAGAGCTAATCCCGGTGTTATGGCCTTCACCAACAGATCCGCTAATAATTCCAGTGACCCCGCTGGCCTCTAGCATTGCCTGATCTGACGAGCCCCCTAGATTGGCATACGGATTGGCTACAGGAATGGTAGATTGATGGCCTAAGCCGATAACCACTGGTTTCTCTGTGCTAACTCTAACAAATGTAGCAGTCAAGTTTTTGAGAACATCTTTCTCTCCCTCCTTGGAGTCGTAAAATGCGAAAATACGTCTGAGAAGGGGGGGCTCAGAGAATATACCGCGGAAGACCTCCATGCATAGTGCTCTCCTCCAAGTAGCTGTATCCTGATCTAACAACTGAGTTAGAGTGTCGAGAGCTTCGCCACCCTCCGATAGCAAAATATCTAGATGCTTCCGCAATAGCGTATATAAAATACGTACAAGTCGAACAGATGTCGCAAAGTTCGGTTTTCCGGATATCGCCTTGATAACGAAAGACATTACCCTCGTGCGAAGTATATGTGTTTGTTCTGGGTGACGCGATTCAACAAAAATAGCAGCGTGCTGACTTAAGACTGATTCTATCAACTCCAGGCCAAATGTCTGAGGAAGTCCGGTAAATCGGAGATATTCTGGTCGCTGGTTCTCCGTCATCAAGCATATGTCCTTGAAAATACGATAGGCATCCATAGACGCGGCCCGGAGCTGAACATCGCCATTGCCGGTAGGGGCATCGCCAACAAAACTTCCATCGGATACTAATTCTGAATCAAGTCAGGTTTTGCAATTAAGTGGAAGACATCAAACTTACTGTCTTCAACCGCTACCTTTTCAAATACGGTCATAACAAGCTGTTGGAGCGTAGCGGCAGCAGTATTGTTGACAATTCCATTTTTAGTCGTCTGCAGAATGAAGCAGATGTTCAGTGCAGTGACTAACAGATCACCTTGGATCTCTTTCGAATAGTTCTGGAGTAAACTAGGCAGAGCTTGTAGAATCTTAAGTTGCACATCAAGACCAGCAGAAGTAGCCTCTCGCAAGGCTTCCAAGACGGGACTCAACTTGGATCGCGGGAGCGCAGTAGTAAGAATAAGTCGTGACAAGCAGACAATGGCTATTCCGGTAAATTTAGCATTTCTTGTCCCGCATGCGATGACGAATGGGTTGACGAAGTTGACCTTTTGGGACAGTTCTAATTTTACTATCAGTATTTTCCAACATAGGGGCTTGTCTTAAACAAGGGCATACCAGCAGCTAGTTGGGCTTCATTTGCGGCACGAATTCCCTTCAGCTCTTCCAAAGACTTCTCGGCTGCCTAAATAATGAGTTAGTAAAATCCATAAAATGCAGAGAAGTAAAGCTGAAAGTCTGTTATCAAGTTATAAGTGAAATTTGGGTGAAGACATGCCTGTCTAAGATCGTTATGCTTTCGTTTACTCTCTTGTATGAGATTAGTTAACTCCGTAGAGAGGAGCTGAGTGGTCATCTTGGCCAATCAGGTTGAGTAGAATCCATCTGACGAAAACTACTCAAATCTCAAGTCTAGAAGTGAGGCGCTTATAAGATGCTCAATTTCATTGGGCATTAAAGAAAGAATAAAAGTTTAGGTCTGTTTAAGTTGAAGTTTTAAGTTTCACTGGTAAGCTTCAGGGTTCCTGCCAGATTCGTTGTAACTACCTTACCGGGATACCGGGAAATTATTATGTTAGGTATCGCTAGGAGGTAGTGACTAAGAAGCTGCGCCACAGGTTTCAGCCATATCCTTCCATATTGTAGCCTGGACCTTGTTGTCAGGCCCAAATGAACAGCTACGTAATCACTAAAAGAACCCATGAAGCAGCTTTGAAATAAACTATTGGGTGCCATCCAGGTCCATGCATTAGGTACCTACATATATGTACCAATGTATACGTAGTACATAGCGCCCGACAAAAACCCCACCATCCCGCATCATTCATAAGATTCCATCTTTATCATCGGCATGAGGCTGCGTGCTCATCTTCTCATATAGTCAACTTCGTTTTCACCATTTGAACAACATAACCTAGGTCAAGGTAGCCTATCAAGATACCTATCTAGCCTATTCGACCACGTCTTTTTCTTCCTTGAAATCTAGCGTCTACGTCAACTATGGCTAAAGTCCCCCGAAATTTCCGCCTTCTAGAGGAGCTAGAAAAGGGAGAGAAGGGCTTAGGAGCTGGTATATACATACTCTGCCCCCACTAAACCGTCTGTTTGCGTCTTGCGGGCCTCCGCTAACGTATGATATGTGATATCTTTAACAGAGGCTTGCTCCTATGGCTTAGATAATCCCGAAGACCTACTGATGTCTGATTGGAACGGTACCATTCTTGGACCTCCCCACGTCAGTTACAACTCCGGCGTGCCGTTCGTTCGTTTGCAAGGAAGTCCAAGCTAATAGGTTCGACTGTAGAGCGTACATGAGAATCGAATCTACTCCGTCAAGATGCACTGCGGTGATCAGTATCCCGACACGCCTCCCACGATTCAGTTCGTCAGTCAAGTCAATCTGCCCTGTGTCAACCAGAAGAATGGAATGGTAGATCCGAACCAGTTGCCTTGTTTGGCCCATTGGAAAAGGGAGAACACCATGGAGACTATCCTGATCGAGCTCCGAAGGTTAGTTTAACAAAACTTGTTGAGAATAGCATCAAATCAAGTTAGATTCCAACGGATTTCTAACTATTATTTGATAATAGATACATGGCATCCGGCCCGTGCAAGAAGCTCCCTCAGCCGCCTGAGGGATCAGTATACTCCGGCAATTAGGATGGTATTATGCACAATCCCGACACGTGGTACACCGATATTCAACATCAACTTGATACGCCTTGGCTTTTTACTCTTTAGCACATTATTTACAGAAGGGGGCGGACGTCATGAGTTCCTATTACCCCTAAGGACGCAATATGACTTTGTAGGTACTATCAGTACTAATGCGGGAGACGTCGATTGAAAGGGAGCTTTGGGAATTAGCCAGAGTCATAGCATAAAATAAGAAGTTAAATCACTAAAGAAACTCCCTACTATTGGTGCTCCAGGTACTTCATGTAGAGCATGTATAAGAAATGCAACAACATGGATATCTTGCACTTAGATACCATATAGTTACAAGTAGGTACCAAGATACTTCTCAATACTGATTTAAATACACGTGACTACGCGCAGCTAAAACAGGGCGGAAATGATTCCGTCATCTTATCGAAACTTTCCAACTTTGATCGCAAAATTAAAATCTCCCCGCGAACCCGGAATTGGTTGAAATATAGAGGTGGCCAAAACTTAGGAGCCTCCATGTCCATATGCCACAATACTTCATACCAGCCCGTAACTCAAGGCATCGGACAGCATGTAATTCAATATCTTCCTATCCAACATAACATTGTTGGACTAGTTAACAAAAAGAAACTAACAAAAACCTACCTAGGCTTCGCTCTCTACCGCGCACTCCTACGACAAGCCCCGCTCATCCCTCTCCCCGATGACCTAGCCACTCCCCGGGGTCCCGTCAACCCAATTAAACACCTAATTCGACGAGCCTTTCGCCGGAACACCTCCGTCACTAGCCCTCGTCTCGTGTATCCTGCCCTTAAGGCAGGGTACCAGATCCTCGGCCTCCTCCAATCCGCCACCTCGTCTTCCCTCGAGAGCCCCAATGCCGACCACGCCTCCATATTATCATTCCTTCGTGATCGCCATGACGAGCGCAGCCGCTCTCTAGCTGCAAAAGCCATACACCCCCCTTACAGCCGCACTCCACCCAAGCCGCACTCTGGGCCGTGGCCAGGCGCAGAACCTCTCCTCGTAAACGTAACGCCTGCGCCTACAGCCCAGAACCCCAATCCGAAACCTGTATTTGCAATACCGTCACGGCCGCGGCCCGCATCTGAACTCGGCGGCTCCGGGCGGCGGCGCGTGCCACATATAGATCTGGCGTCGGATACCCCGTTCCTACGCACCAAGAAGCCCCAGCCGACGTATCTAAGCCATATCCTAAGACACAGGATCCGCAAGCGCGTCCAGCGCCTGGAGAGCGTACAAACCTTATACGAAAATGATATCCCCGCCGCAGAGCTCGAGGACAACTGGGAATGGATGATGGGTACAATGTTACTTGAGCAGAGATCAGCGGAAATAAGGAAAGAACGGGATGGAGATAACAGACGAGGTAATGATACTCGTTCAAGTATAAAATCCATCGAGGCAGATGCCGCACGGGGCGAATTCCGGAATGAGACATTCCGGCAGACAGTCTACGTTCAAGGCATCATATACACGCAAAACGTGCTAAACCGCGAACGAGAGGAGCAGGTCGCACGGGCAGACGCCATGCGCAGGTTGATTATAGAAGAAGAGAAGCTGGCTAAGCAGGAGAAGGCGGAGAGGGATGCCAACAGGAGGAAGCACTGGGAGGCAAAGATGCAAGAATTACACGGCGCAATGTGGAAAGAACTCTTCCCAAACCTGGATGGGGAAGATAGCTCGAGTGTCTAGCTAATATCCCGGACCGCTATCTCGCCTCGCGAAATATAAAATATGCCCAAGTATATAAGTAATAGTCTCCCCTATATAGACACATGCCCCTTCCCTATTATTTACACATAATAACTAATAGCACTCTGTGTCCGGTGTAGCCCTAAACTAAGGATGATATGTGAGTAAAGATATTCATATAAGGCAAACTCCAACGCCATCCAAAATTCTAATTATAAGAGCCAACCGCGCTGGTTTTACTTTATTTAACACCAACCTTAGGTATCTTATCGTATATGTATAAATCTAACCAATCACAGCATTCCAGAACGAGCTCACGATGTCTTTAGGTCTAAAAGAAGGGGCTCGTCCGAGACAAGTGGCAGATCCAATCAATCCTAGTTACAAGAAAATCAGTCCTCGCTATCAACTTTGTTAAAAGAGTGCACATCATCTCACCTGAAATAAATTGATTCACATCCAGAACGACTCTCCTCGATGTTATTGCCGGGGCTGGTAACTCGATTTCGTGATTCGGAAAATAGTACGAAGGGTTAACAAATGTATTGGCCGTCACGTCGTCAAAGGCGGTAAAAGGCGGGGTGAGTTGCTCTGTATGCTGTGCACCACCGTAGAAGTTTGAGGAGGCGGGAATAGGCTGCCAAGAGTTGGTTGGCACTAACGGGGGAGCTGTACTGGCGGTGGTGATACCAGACCCGGTCGAGAGGGAAGGATCTCCTATCGTAGACGAAATAGTTGCAGGTGGTCCCAGAGTGAATGATGCATCTATGTGCGGTATATTCATTGCATTCGGGTGGATATCTTGCATGTGCTGGGGATGAGAGTGTAACTGTACGTCGGAAAACGCCCCTGGATGGATCTCGACAGTGTGTATATCGGCCGCCGTCGGGATAATTACTCCATTCTGTGCAAGATAAGTCTCTACTTCGTCCGAGTCGAACCATGTGCCCTCCCAACCGCTCATATTGATGTACTGGGAAGGTCCTAGTAGGGTGTCGTTTACCCTCGTCGTCCTCTCGTTGAAGGGTCCTGTCCCGAATCCTGGACTCTGGTAGGTTGACGAGCCCGAAAGACTGGATGGTCCCGCCTGGTCAGGGAAGTGAGTACCGGAGCCGCCGAGCCTATGAAATGGGTACTTCCAATAACTCAAAGGTTCATCCTTATTACTGTCGAGCGTAGCCACCGTCCGCGATCTTATCTCATCGACGGTTTCGAATAACATGACAAACCCAAAAACGCGCGTCAACTTAGCCGGAGGTGGGTTAGGCATTGAAATAAGAGCTGCAGCCCTTTCAACCGTGTGGCGGTGCAACCTTCGAGCGAACGACCACTCGTTAAAAGACATGGTGTGTGGGCCAGTGAGCCTGTTCCACGGATGACTCGCCCAGGAGGAATGCACTGGGTCTAAAAAACCTGTGTTGATAGGCACATTTAGGCCAAAGCTAGCGTTTTCGAAAGTCGGCGCCGTGATAACTTCATAGTTGTGGGCATGGGCGTTATTTGACACCGGGTCCAGGCCGAATGTTGCATCAAGTTCTGGTTGGGCCACGGGCTCATGTGAAACTGCAATGCCACTCAATAGAGCTGGTGTTTGATCATTAGGTAGCGTAGATACAGGTTCTTCATCGGTAACAAGGTCTTCAGGATTCTGTACGTCCCTTTGGTCATCGTCGGAGTGTCCTTCTGGACTGTTATGCTCATTGACTTGAGAGTTATCCTGTTCTTGGGTCTGTTTGATAAGCGTTTGGAGCTTTTGGAGTTGCTGGCTGAATTCAGGCGCCTGAGCTAGGAGTCCACGCTGAGAGGCATAGTTAAATAAGTCTTGATACGCATTATTGATTTCGCTGTTCACACTCTTAAGGTCGTCTATCTTGGCTTGAAGGTCCGTGATGGCATTTTCTTTCCTATTACGGTACGCCCGCTGCGCAAGTCGAATTTGTGTCCGTCGCCGCTAAGTCAGATGTAAGTATACATCTTCACATTAAGTAAGAAGGTTCTACGACGTCATGAATCTTGAATAGCAAAGGAGTATACTAAGTTAAATGTGGATGGGAACTCTGTGAAAATTGGTGCAAGGAGGAGGAATTGGAGGCATCCACTAACCTCGCCGGGAGTTTGGTCCTTGGTTTCAAGGCGCGGCCGACCTCTGGACCGTTTCGTCTCCTCCGCCGGACCATCTAGTTCACGATCGGCTGACTTCCTTCCCCTCTTTCTAGGGTTAGGAGCATTGTCAGTAGGGACGACAGTAGTATTTGGCTTCCGATTAACTTTAGAAGAGGGCCGTTTAGGATGCCGCCCACCATCATATTGCTCGGCGTTAAGCACAGCCACATTGGGGTGAAGATACCGCATTTGTGGTGCTTCCGGTAATGATACCACCGTCTCAGCAGTAGCTAATTGAAGGTTTGTATTCTCTATCTGAGAAAAGGATTGTGCCCCGCTATCCCAGGAAACGTCGCGGGTCAATGACGTATCAGACCGACTGGAGTCGCTATCCACGTTATTTAAAGGGTCTATCAAAGATGAAGATGCATAAGTATAGACATTGGCTTGGAAAGGTGGTATTGATGTTGTCAAGAGGGGCTGCGATGATAGGTCATTTTGACTTGGAAAGAATTGACTTGACTGGCCGGATTGGCTCAGTTGTCTTCCGTAGTCCTGCAGATTATCACCAACAGAATTCGACCGAATGTTGGTGTTTGACTGGGATATTGAGGACATGAGAACACTTCAATAGGATCATAAACCCCATGCTGTGTGCCGATATAGAAGCCGAAAAGCCTCCTAAGGTGTTCCGTACCGGATCCGGGGACTAAACGGTATGTAATAACAGTAGAAATTCAATTAAGAAATTCAATTAAGCCTTAATTCAGCCCACCTTTTTCCCCAGATATTTGGTTAAACAATCGCGCAAGTACCCAGTTCGCTTACAGAACCTAAGAAAATTATTGAATGGTCTGTACGAGTGACTGAAGTGGGAGGTTCTGATTGTTGATTACTGAACAATTTAGACGGTGAAGCTTCTTGACAAGTGACAAATGACAAATCTTTGTTCAATGCTCCGATTCGATACATGTTGTGTAACATAGAAAAGATGGAAAGAGGCACGTGATACTGACTAATCTAGACAATTGGCAGGCATTATGGTGGAGTTTAACATTCAGGGGGGAAATATATAGGAGATATGTAAACATGTATCCACCCTGCCACCTACCAGCCTACGTATAAGAGTAACATCGCCTATCATTAAAGGTCCACGATTATAAGATGTATTATGCTATAATAGGTAGGCTATAATAGGTAGGTACCTAACCTAAAGCTATTATGAGAATCTTAAAAGAAACTCTACTCCGCAGGTTCTATACGACCACTAAGAGGTACTTATATTCCCCAAGCGTACAATATCGAAATATGTAAAGTACTCATTAGCCCTTCATGGCTTCGAAAATCCCGTGGTAGGTACAGTTCTCATTCATAACTCTATATCTCTCTTCCCCGCTAACCCCGCGGCTCGTTTTTCTCGTGTTACTAAGGATGGCTGCAGCACGCGGTAGCCTATACTTCTCTATCTGCTTCAGGATTGCAGGGACATCATCGCGGGTTACACCGGGCTCAACCAAGAGTCGAAATGCTTCTGCATCCTCAATGCAAATGTTGGCGCCTTGACCTTGCATCGGTGTCATTGCGTGAGCAGCATCACCAATGAGGATAGCACGACCCGCAGTCCATCTATCCAGGGGCTCTAAATCCTGAAGGTCCCATACCTTTACTTCGGCCGATGCACTAGACACTTGTTAGCTATGATCTAGGTACTCTGCGATTTGGAGCAGTTGGCGTGTTCCTACGTACTTGATGAGCGCTTTCAGGCTTGGGTGGTAATCATCGAATATCTCCATTATCTCCTTATGATCTCCATCCGCGTACCATGAGTTTTCCGCGCTTTCACACCCCTCTCTGGTAGCAAATATATAGGACATGTTTATGTAACTGGTATGGCGGAGGGGGTATATGACTATAACACGATCAGAGCCGTCGCCGGCCTCAAAGACCTGGATACGTTTATCCTTAGTCTCCAAGTTTTGCCACCAGTCGGGCAACTGGCCAAGAGCCTTGATAGCTTGGCTAGCAGAGACGGCCACTCGGCAGCATGTCAACCCATTCTTCTTGGGCTGAGGACAATCTGCGCCAGCAATCAGGGGCCGTAGGTGAGAATGAATACCATCCGCAACTAGAATTTCATTAGACAACTATGCAGCACCAGTACCAGTATTCATACGGAGCACATACCAATGATCACATCAGCCTTAACTTTCGTACCGTTGTCCAGAGTAATCTCACCGGCTTCAGGGTCGATGTCTTGGGCACCATTGTTGAATACCATCTTGGCGGGCTCACCACTGATACCCAGATCCTTAGACGGAGCCGTAGCCAGACGCAGAAGTTCAGCTCTAAAATCAGTCCGCATGTGGGACACAGCCGGTGAGCCGTATCTTTCCTTAAAGGTGATTTCAGTGTCAAAGATAATGTTTCCCTGCTTGTCTAAAGTCCTGAACCCCTCAATGGCAACAGAACCGGATCGTTTCATGTCGTAGCCTAATTGGCTCATGATCTTGGTGGCATTGGGGAAGTTCGTGATTCCCTGTCCTCCGGTCGCGACTGAAGGGCTGCGGCGCTCATACACGGTAACTTGGCACTTCTCCCGCAATACACGGGCCGTAGCCAATCCGGCAAGCCCTGACCCGACTATGATGACACTGAGTTGGTCTTTGCTGGTCATGATGAATAGGATTGGCAGATATTTCCGAAGATATAAATAAAGTATAGAGTGGGATATAAGTAAGAAGTAGTTTTACCACTTTGCAATGAGCATCTGGAGAAAAGGACAAACGTGCCGGACCATTACCATTTATATACCTTAAGTAATATCACGAGACTAAATGGTCAATAAGGAAAACTATGATGTTCTGGGGAAGTAGCGAGCTGCAAGGCTATATACCTATACATAAGGTTCCAGGATGCCTGACTCAGGACTAAGTCACGTAGATTATCTGACTCCGCCAGACAACTACGTGACTCCTGACCGTGACAAGTAAGTACCTGTATAGCAAGAATACGTCATCTCCGACATACTTAGGTAACCCTAAAGGTGTAAATAGATATAGTGAATCGGGACTGCATCATCATGACTGTCTGGTAAACAAAACCTGAGGAAGGCTCGAATCTCCGCACTCACAACCTCGGATCTTCGTTTTCATATATGCGACATGTAGTAAAGCCACTTACCTAATAGGTAACTGTCATGGCTTTCTGTAGTATAGCCATTCAATTATACAAAATATATAAATATTAAGGTAATTTGATACGGCATATTGTAGTTATAGGTATTGTCTCAGGCTACCTTCTATGAATATTTTACCTATAAGCATGTTTAAGGCTGCTTATTAAATATATGTGATATCTCTTCAAGTCTTTGCTTCCATCTTCATATTAAAACACGTATAGTTTTGCTCAATAAGTAGCAAGAAACTCGGGCATCTATTGCAGGTAAATATCCGTGAATTACTCAATACGTGTAAGTATTCGAATAAGATTAGTTAGATACCTTAGGCACATAAGTTATCCCGTTCACTACTGGGTTTAGCTTAAGCGGCCTTAAACCATGATTCAAATTTTGTTAGTTGTCAGAAGGACATGAAAAAAATATAGCGCACTTACTAGCATAGTCGTCAGTACGTGAAGGTGCGCCGGCTACATTAGCGCGTCAGGTTAGGAGGCGGACATGATCTCGAAGGTCACTTGATGTGAATAAAATCAGCCATTGTGCATCTGTAGTCAACATGCGAAGCTTTGGTTGGCTCATTATATTTGCCATGCCGCAAAATCTATTCAGGCGGATATTTCGCATCCATAGGAGAACGCCACACTTCCATGTTGATACGATGCAACATGAGAAGTAAGCAACGTTAGCGACAAGATCTGCCCAATGGCAACTGGCTCGTATCAAGAATCTTTATTTTAGAAAATATCAATATTGTACAGTGAAGTTTTATAAGTAATTATAATGACCATATATCGCAGATTTAATAGCAATTTGACGCGAGCATGCTTCGGGGTACTAGATACCCATCACAGGTTAAGGCCCTCCCGAACACTCCAATATAGCAATTCAGGTGATCAACACTAACATTGTATATCCTATGGCATTCTCTTTCATCAAACGATATGCAAGTCACCTTCGTTCAGGGTCATTGTCCTTTACAATAGATGGGTCCACATCTTTATCAAATCACTTGTAAGTACACCTAGTTAAGAGTAGAAGCATTCACTTTTATAATCTATATTAAGAAATGATTAATGATTCGCAGTCGATACTACAATAGTCTTAGAAACCCGCTTACTCTAGTGAGGCGAGATAGTCCTAGATATCTAGGTACCTACCTACCTATATATTAATGATCTCTAAGGTGTTTCCCACCTTTCTAGTATCGGCCATCTTCAGCTACTACATTGGTTTACCTTGTCTAGCTCATTAAACAGAAGATCATGGCACCTGCCAATGCAACAAAGATCTACGCCAACATGTCCGAAGGAATAAGAGATTTCAGACCATCGGGTCCTTCTCTACTGAAACAGACTGACAGCACTCTCTTAGTTCTCTGCGCTTTCTATGTACTAGTTGCTGGTGCCATCGCAGCCTTTTTCGTCACAGATCGAAGGAGGATCCGGCAACGTATGAGGAGGAATTTGATCTAGCAATGTAGATTACATTGAAGATTGCCCATAGATAGGCGTGCCAGTTTCTTCTAGTGTTTGTATTATCTATGGCTTATAGTTAATTACGATTCACGAATACAGGCACTTCTTCTCCTAAACATATCGAGCTGTATGGTCTTTTGTTGGTCTGTTTAACCTACTGACTCTCTAGGTGGGCAGATAAAAAGGCAACCTCTACTCTCTGCCTGTGTATCAACGGAGAGGTCCTAACTTCGGTCGATTTTTTCTTTCGGCTCCGAATTTCGGCCAAGCATCTCCGCTTAGGAAATACTGGTCCCAAGTTATCCCTCACATATATTTTAATAACTCCAGGATGCTGGTGACGAGTTTTGATTAACATGAACAAGCGGTCTAATATTCAAAAGCCTGGCTTTATTAAATTATAGTGGGATATTAATGGCATTCTAATACGAGTGGTTATACTAAGTAATTGGGTCCAATAAAAATGACAATTAGCTCCTATATAGGTGAATAGAGTACAGCTAGATCCTCTTATTACATTTGTTGTTCAAGGCCTTCAAGCCTTGCACGCAACCAAGCTCCGTACCCAGCAAACATGCCAACGTGTTCCCACAACTCGCAGAAGTTCGCCAGTGATTCATATCGCTCCTTAATGTATTCTTCCTTACCATCCTCATCCCGTCCTTCTAATTCACAAGCAATTGCGTAGGAAACTTTACTTAAGCATACGGGACATAGATAGGGGGGTTGTCTGACATCTTCCGCTATCCGCGACGAGCCCTGCATAACACAAGCATAATAAACGCAATGGTCCAAACCAAGGCAGTGACCAAGCTCATGTACCACCGTCCTTGCAATTCTAGAGAACCACAGACCCTTTCGGTCCTCCAGAGTTAAGGGCTCTTTAAGACTTCTTGCTGCCTCCATGGCGACCCATAACGGCCCAGACATAGTTCCCCCCTCATTGTTCTCCCTGGGGTGTAGTCGGAGACCCTTTACCGTACCTGCGTCGTCGACATAGGACTTGCAATGAGAGGCAGGCCACATGTGCGCGAAATCGATTCCAGCATGGCTATCTAGAGCGGGATGATATCGTGCAGTAGAAACTACCGACACGCGGTTGCCTCCATATGCTCTACCACAGCAGAAGTCATCATCCTCGTCCTCGTACATGTCGTGATCAATGAGTAGAATGATAGAATATGCTTCTTTAGGCACCATTTCGATAGCGGCATCAAGAAGATCCTCGAGATTTAACTGTCCTCCAAAAATTCCATCCGGAGATGGCCTCGTGCGAATGCGAGTGCAGTTATTACCTGCGAGAAGCCCAACATACTGAGTCCCGTTGCTTGGCTCTGCCGACTTCTTTGGCTCCGTCCACGGAACGAACTGCAACTGGATGGGAAATGCTTCAACAGACAATCTATGGTAAAACGCTCTCGTATACTCGACGGCATGATCTGACGGCGGTTCTAACTTCCCACTGGCCAATTTTGGACTCTTTTTAACCTTTGGCTCCAGCCATTTCTTCATATAATCCACGCCAAGCGTGATTTCAGGCGTGTTCGCAACATACAACGTCTTGCGCTTTTTGTTAATTTTGCGGTTCTTGCGTAGCGGTTCATTAAGCCATGATCGGAACGACTGAGGTGGATATTTGGGGTCGTTCGCCAGTTCATCATCGGGCAGAACCAGCGGGCCTGGGAATACATCGGACAGTTTGCTCGTAAATTCTTCTGTAAGTTTCTCCAATGATCCAGCTTCCTGGCCTCTTACAGCCAGCGGATTTCGACCTGACTTCGTTGTCGCAGCCAACCTTCGATCAGGAGTAGGCCATTTGTATCCAACTTCTTCGGCGTATGCTGAAGGTTCTAGCTGCAAAGCTTCGTGAATACAATTTTGTCGAGCTCTTGACATCTTTCCCGGCGTGACGAGAAATATAGACTTATATTAAGTTAACATTATCTTGCAACTAAGTTTAAATTTTGACCCTTGAATGCGAGGACAAGAATCAATGGCGACTGTTGCCTAGTTTGACCTTTATGCAGAGGTTATTGCCAACAATTTATTTAATTATACGCTAGAGTATTTATTCATCTATCCGGTTTGCTTCTTCTTTGGACCCCTTCATTGACGACGAGACACAATACAGCTTTCCTAGCATGAGCTAAGTCAGATTTGCTATGGTAGTGTCTGATAGGTACTAATAAAGACCCTATTTACTTAACATTAATACATCTAACTACTATTAACTACCTAAAGTAATCTAACTAATTAAAAGATTGTCATATCTTGTACTTAGTCGCCATTTGTTTTATTTTATTCTTCCGTCGTGATAGATTAGCTAAGTTTAGGTAGTTAAGCTTGATCGACCTCCTTTTGACCATTCATCTCATCTCATGAGCTTTGTCTGCTTATCTAATAAATGCTAAATGTATGCCAAGTGGCGATGAAGTTCTTCACTGTGAAGCAGTTGGTACACAGTCTTTTTTTCTTTCAGCCAGCTGTTTTATCTTCGTGTCGGACCGCCAGTACCACACTTCTCAACAATTTCTCACTTCTGTTGAACCTTCGTACTGGAAATATTGCTCACCTCAACTACACCGAAGGTTATTGGGTCTAGACCTATCAAGCTAAAACTTGATATACACTTATTGAACGCATTCTCTCTCCAAATCACCAACGATATTAAACTATTTACGTGCGCTATCAGCTTGGCGCCATGGGGTCCGTTGAGCAAGGGTCATCGGTAGTGGAGCCCAGCAAAGATGAAGCTGTTATCAAATCCCATATCGAGCAGCTCACCGCAGCACAGTTACCCAACTCAGCCATCTACAATTTCCTACTTTCCGATGTGCAAATCCGCTCCGCCTCGAAAGGGTCAATGACGGCGCGTTTGACACTCACCCGGAACCATATCAATTCGGGCGGTGGCATCCACGGTGCCGTCTCTGCTGCTATCGTTGATTGGGCTGGCGGCATGGCAATCGCTACATGGGATTTACGTCACCGTACTGGCGTCTCAGTTGATATTCATGTCACGTATTTATCGTCTGCCGCGGAGGGCGATGAGATCGAGATCACTGCTACAGCCGATAAGGTTGGTGGCACCCTGGCATTTACTCGCGTCGTCATCTACAAGGTTGTCGATGGTGAAGCCGGCCCAGTCATTGCGAACGGTTCGCATACGAAGTACGCCAAACAGCGGTAGTGATGTCGGTCGTTGTATCGCGGGGCTTGTGTTTTAACTGTTTCTTTTTACCTCCGGGTTTAGAAAAGAGTCTATATGTCGCGCTGTTTTAGTATGATACCAAGACGCACTCGTTGACTAAGACAGAAGGTTAGTCTGGTCGAGGCTGAGTGTACGGAGGAACTAGATCTGGGATCTGAGACCATAGATGCCGACTGACTTTCAGGAGCAGGCGCGATGTCTACTGGATGTTGTTTATGACAAGACCCCAGCTTAGAACTTCTAAATAGGAGCTCGGTTTTATTAAAACTAGACAAGATTCCACCATTGGTAATATTTGTACCACAACATTACCCTTAATTTGTGTTAGCATTGATGTGAACAGTTCAACTCTATCTTATACGTTAGATTCTTACTAGCTTGTCTAGGTAATTAGTACTATCTATATTGAATGATATCCAACTAGGTACTCACTTCTTTCAGGACAATGCCGTTAACCAATTAAGCAACCTGATCGCAACTTAGGTTGAGTTTTATAATTGGTTATCTTCTTGGTCTAGCCTACTTAGATAGAGGATACCCTTGTAGTAAAAAGCTCCCATATTGTGTTACGACATGTCCTATCAAAATCCCTACCACCAGTGAAAAATTCCGGGGCCAACCAGCGATGAGGCCATGGTGGATCGGGATGTTAATTTATTGCCATACTACTCATATTCATTCATCCAAGTACTAATGCTTCACGGTTGAGTGAAATAACCACAGTTACCTATATGAGGTATAAGTTAATAGGTGTAGTCACTTCAAAGCAAAGCATCGACTGCCTTCTGCTCTTCCCCTAACATAAACTAAGAAATAAATTCACATATAAGATCAGGAACTATAGGGTACCAGGAGTTCTTATACGTCATTAAAGGTTACCAATTAAGCTTCATGGATTAGGAGGTCAGACTTAGGGATGATACTTGTAGTAACAAAGAACATCATCTATCATTGGGAGAATAGTCGTTTCAAAAGGTCTAAGCAAAAAGTTATCTTATACTATTCGTCTCATCCCTTCTATAACATCCTTAACCAGAGCCTGTCCCATAACGTTGTGCATATTTCATTGGGGAGCCATAGTCACTTCCAAGCTTATCTCACCTTTATCTTGTCATCTTCCCCTAACTCATGAATTAATCATCATATTAGAAATCATTTATTAGAAACACTTTCTAGAATTTCTCAGGAGTTCCATGAGGCTTAGCTCGCATTGCGCTAGACGCTCCAAACCCATGGGAGCGCGAGTCCATTTTGAGTTATGTACCTAAGACCAATATATTTCAAGGCCTCCTTTGCTCTATACCCTCGAAGTCAGCTGATAAATTAAAAGCTGTTCCTCATGTAAAACGAAGCAAGTTACCTAGGGACATGGTGTCTTTCTATATCCTTATATACTATAAGGGATACTTGTTGGGAAGCACCTATAGCCGTTTAGGGTTAGGTTGAATCAGATAGAGTATATGCTATACTATCTTGATAACTCATAGATATTGATAGGCACGAACCGAATACACCAAGCTAGTTACCCTAATAACTACTACCGGCACACCCGGAGCGGAGCTGTCACGGCACTTGAACGTCACGGAGAAGGCATTGGGAAGTGGAGTTAGGGAATAAGCGGGGGGGCGGGATCCGTAGGATCAAGATCGCCCGAAAGTGAACTGACAGCCAACCGCCGCAAGCGTGGTCAGTTTCGTATGTCTGCTAGGACACATTGGATAGGGTAGTTTTAGACGTGGAATGTATGTAGACCAGGTCTCGTATTAGGTAAATCGAGCAAACTACCGGGCAACACTAGCGGTGGAGGACCCTGTCCTCCCCTCAATGCCAGGACAACTACTACGAGGTGGAACGAGACACGTCGAGGTAGGCTCCGGGACAAAAATTGTTACTCTGGATAGTCTTTGGGCCATCCGGCTTCTAGAACTCCCTTGCTTCAATGATCATCTATAGAAGCTACGGATTAGGATATTCTTAATGTAATGGTGATGTGCATGAATAGTCTCGAGTGATGCGGGTGATCATTTCCAGAGACTCTGTCCGAGAACTCTCTTTTAGAGGGCGTCGATATCGTGAGCAATGCCGACCACACGCCAAATGTGTTTGTAGTCTGGCTACCTGCGCATGATAGCACCCACACCCGCACACTCTAAACGGCGACGTGCTTCTTGAACATGTGAAGGAAGAAGACGTGGCTGTTGACGAGACGCATTACCTACTCCTCATCAATATTCGACAGGTATGCCTAACTTGGTAGCACATGAAAAAAAGAACGTCTTTCGACTAGAGGCCTGTATTCTAACTACTGCGGGCTACTATGTTTGCTCCTGGGTTGTTTTTAATATCCTTCTTTCTGTGCATTGAAGTTCGACCGGAACTACCGGTACATATGCCCGGGAGGGACAACGCATGAGCGGGAACGATGTGATGACCCTAGTGATTAGCGGTCCTGCACCCCCTTCGCTGATGGCGTGAGCTCCCAGATCCCCGATGTAGGAATCGATGGGAAAACTTCCCCAGACTGGACTACACGTAGCTAAGCGGGCTCTCCCCAAGATTTGGGCTCTATTGGGAGTTAACGACTAGGCCTAGGTGCATCGAAAGTCCCACATGAATGAAGCTGCTTTCCTGAGCCGCTTCGTATCTTTGCAGTTGAAGCAATGCGTGTGTGCGTGTCCTTTTCTAGATCTTCAAGCTGTAGGCAGTGGCAAGGGTAATCCACCCACACAGTTCCCTATACTGTACGCATTAAGCAGTACTAGAATGTATGCTGCTAGCGACCTGCTGTAGGAAGTAGTTTAGGAAGCACGACTCTGAGCGGCATAGAGAAGAGGAGTCACCTCAGTGAGTGATAGCAATATGCACCATCCTGGACCTTTGCGGCGAAGGTATCCGTTAAACATGGGCTACGACGAATCTTCCACGCTGTAAGGACGGCTATCGTTGACCAGGGGGGTGATGGTGTAGAGGAAAGCCAACTCGGGTGGATTCCAGAGCTAGTAGGCTTGGAAGTCTGCAGTCCGTCTTGGTCGACGAATAGGCACTACCCTTCTCTATAGGGAAAATTATGACACATGTATGTTAGGGAATAGACCGCTGACAAGAATGCCCCTGGTTCATAATCGGTGTAACGGTGAGCTGGTGTGTCTCGCCATGTTGAAGAATAAGAGAGCCGTCGCCGGTCGTCGTCCAATCGTAGGGTTTTGCGTAAGCCCACTTGTCGGTCAGCTTCGACAAATGATATGGCTGGAACGCTTCTATCTATCTAAACGCCTAAAATCGATGGTATGTCTCCGATCAAGAGACAGTCGGTGGAGAAAAGTCCTCTTTTCTTCTTCTTTCGTACTTATATTAGGTACATACTTCGTACATACCTAGGTGTACATTTCAGGAGACAGATATGTATTTACGTTACCTACCTAAAGTATACGAATAGCATGATGCTAGAATGATGTCCTATTGTCAACAATACGCTGTAGATCTGTGCGTTGTGCATAAGTATTGCAATTTTCTGATTCTCATTAGAGCTTGTAGCTCACGCTTAAAAAGATAGAACAAGCATCATGATCATTCAGCTCGCATATGTATGACCAGAAATAGAAACAGAACAGCTGCAGAATATCAATTTAGGATAAGAATGGAACTATGCCCCAGGCGTGATTTTAAAAGAGAAGGCAGATAGAGTAGGTCATGGGCAATCTGTACCTACAGTAGAGCTTACAATAGCTACAACAGACATCCTGTGCCGCAGGTGGAGTAGCCTACAGGATGGTGTTATAGGTAGGTAGGTAGGCAGGTAGTATTAACTAACGCAGGAGCACGCAGTTCTGCGGCGAGGCAAACATGGTGGATTATGGATAGACTTGATCAATCAAACACACAGGCTTCGCATGTAATTTCGCTGTTTGAAACGCGAAGCAGCTGTCATGACATTCCCTGTATAATATAATATAACTTTTTTATTTCAATGTGCCCGGGATCATCTTATTATAGAGGAGCGTTATTGCTGAGTTTGTGTCTCAGGTCCAGATATTAACTACGCCGCTTTGTCACCTTATGTGTTTGGCTACTGTTCTGTCTTGGACGTGTATATAATGAACTACCTATATGGAACTGGGTAGCCAATGCGTTAATTGTATTTAGTAGATACCCAAGGCCTTTCAGGGTGTAAGGGTGTAAGAGTACCTATATATACTGTCATCATATGTAGAATATTGGTGGGGAATAGAAAGCCCTTGATATCTTAAACGTGGAAAGGGATCGCGGGAGCGGGAGGTCGAGATTACGGGTAGCGGAAACGAGATACTAGTACGAGCAGGGTTAAAAAGATTCTAGTTGGCTCTTGATAGTTTGGTCCTTGGTAGTCGGCGAACTGGGCATTAAGTGTCCTGCCGCTTTTGGACAGGATAGGGTTCCCCGGCTCTACTTTCAGCCAGTCTTCCGGCCGAGAGGAGGACAAAAAAAAAGAGAAGGAAAAAAAAGCTTGCGGTCAGATTCTGCACTTCACTCAAAGCATCAATAACACTGGGACCTATTCATGGACGTATGTAGTACTATGAAGGTGGGACAACTCAGCACATGGCACCTGCAGTAGCGACTGCATCTCAGCAGCAGGGTCTTGTATGCCGCTGTAGGTATCGTTGTATTGTCAGAGTCGGAAAGGAACACCGCATCCGCTATGTTGGCGGACCGGGTGATGGCAGACGTTACAGCGCACGTGGATTTAGGGAACAGGGTAATGCCGTTGACGAAATGCCGAATTTTTTTTCCTTTTTCTTTTTTTTTTCTTCTCTAATCCCACGCTGAATTTTGCCCGGGTGTATTACCTGCAAGAGTAAACTAATAAGTGTCATGTTAATGCGGCTTATATCAGGCAGGCTGTTAATATGTACCTTGATGTACTCACGGTGGGTTAATACAACACCATCCATGGTTAATTGTCTTATGGTATGCGGAGATCGAAAAAGAGACAGCAGGGA